GTAGCATGATATAACGCTGCAAGATAGCCCCATAAGACCCAGATGGAAATCCCCGAGATGAACGCCGTGAAACCCCAGAATTGACATGGAATGGTACAAGATGATCTGCATTGCATTAGTGTCGGAGATCACAAACTTCATCATCATCGCAACACATACCCATCTCTACGACCCAGCTTTGGCAGTGCAGGGTCGGCAGGCCTTGAGCTTGCACTTTGCGCATTCGAATATGAACCAGTGTGGGCCGGAGTGACAGCGGTTGCAATTCCAGAGGATGAGTGTCGTGTCGGACTTGATCATCTTGAAGGTGTGTTCGCACTTTCCGGGTTTTGCCATCTAGTGAGATCAGCCAGCGGGCCTGGTGAAGCAATGCGGCAGCGACTTACTCTGAGTGTTGCTCCGAGCGACTGGAGTGATTGAGCGACTGTCCCGTAGCACGGGCGTCGTGATGAATGTTCCAGAGGATATCGACGCGAGGCCCGTCGAAGCGGTGTGACTGAGTTTGATCGAGATCGGAAGATGCGGGTGTGCTAAGGCTTAGCTCGATGGACAGCTCTGGAATCCTGGCGATGTATCTATCATAGGGTGAAGTCGAGTAGACGGGAGGAGGCTGAGGTGAGATGATGCTTCACAGCTTGATGAGAAGAAGCAAGCTGAAACGCAGTCGGCCGGGACAGCTATATAGCACGGGCGGAGAGTCGTTGCATCAGACGACTTGACGAGGTCGCTTCCCGCCCTGCACGGTGAAGAATGAATTTGTCCTTTATGTGACCCTCTGGGTAGACGCCGCGGTCAGCCAGTGACAGCTCCGCAACACACCAATGCCGTCGAATGCAGACAGAGGAGGATGGATTGAGCCAAGAGGCAAGATCTGGTGATACGGCGGAGGCAGAAGGGCGGTGCGACGTGCTGGGCCTTAACGCTCCCCGTCGCCAGCGTGCGGCCATTGCGCGCCGAAAGTGGTAAGCAGAGGGAGTTGGGACAGAGGCTAAGGCGGCGTGGCTTCCTGCGACCCCGTCGGCGGCTGTGGGTTGCAGTGTTTGGGGGGGGGGGGGGGCGGCGGGCGGCGGGCGGCGGTGGGTAGATCCCTGCGTAAGGCTCGACGGGCGCGGCTGCTTTGAGCGATGGCAGCTGGATCACATGACGGTGTGGTGATGACGGTCCCGACGTGGACGGAGGTGCCGCTGTTCAGGAACCCATCGAATCGGCGGGCGCTCCCAGCACCCGGGCACTGGAGCGTACAGTAGCACGATTGCCCTGCAAGCATTGCATTGGTATTCGCAGTGGGATTTCTGGGTTAAGGTTCATCAGCGTGTGCCCTGAGATGGAGATGTCGTCGTGACTCGTCCCAGCTCACCACCTCACCACCTCACCTCTCACGATGCGATGCGATGCGATGCGACGTCGACGGAAAGTCGGGCAGCCAAGCACCTTCATGCAGCACGAGTGCATCGCCGCTTCCAGTGCACTGCATCACGCCGTGCAGACGCCACCACATCCACTCGCGCCCGCCTGTCTGCTGCAGCTACCTTACTATTACCTCAGTACCTACCTTACTAGTAGTAGTAGCAGCCACTCCCATGGGCGTACACTGCCACGGCGACCGCGACTACCTGATAGTATGCTCGAACTGGTAGCCCTTTCCTCGCCGCTCTTGAACGACGGGAGGAGCAGAGCCGACCGGTTGCTCGGGGGAGAATTGCGGATCACGTGCAAGAAAATAAGGTACCTCACATGCAATGTCAATGTGTGCCCGTGCCAAGACCTCGTCTTGGCGCCGAACCTGCTGCTGACATGTCCCTCTTTCCACATCGAATGTCCATATCGGACCCGTCACCAACACACCCACCCATCCATTTCCCATCTCCCGTCTACTACATCTTCGCACTATCGTTCCACACCATCCATCGCGATGCGGTGCAGACTCGATGCGATGTTTGCTCGCCCCGCCCTCCACGCTAGGACACGCACATTTCACACCACCTTGGACGTGTGTAACTGCCCTTCTTTCTCCCTCGATGGAATGTGATATTTTGCTATGCCCGAGGCGGCATCCCGCGTCTCCCAATTGTCACCATCGCACCAGACCTCCCGCGCACGCTTACTGACAGCATCTCTCGCGACCCGCTCGCGTCCCTGCTACCCGGTTACGAAAGCGAGACGGCGACGCAGCCACTCCTACAACACCGGCAGACGCTGCATCTCCCAGACGCTGCATCTCCCAGACGCTGCATCTCCCAGACGCTGCATCTTCCAGACGCTGCATCTGCATCTGCTCGCCGTCTCTGGCGCAGATTTGACGCCTGCCGCCAGCTCCAGCAGGCGACAATGGCGCCCTGTCAGATGCACATGCCACCTGCAGCTGTGGCGTGAAATGGAAAGCTCACCTCTCGACCCCTTCACAGAACTGCACACACCCTGAGTCGGTTCATGGGACCGACCAACTCCCGCATATGGCGCGGCTCTATGTAACCCCAAATCTCTGTCTTGCATCACAGAACCGTAGGTCGGAGCGTGGAGATGCTCGGTCATGTCTGTCCTAACGTCATCTCCATCGACACTGCACCTCTGGACCATCACACTGTCGAAAATGACTCTGGCAACAGACGCTCGTTGTACAAGCCGCTCTGTCCAATCTCAACCCACCTCCCCTCCTCTTTCCACAGCGCAAGGAGGGATGGGCCCCAGCCCCAGCCACAGCATCACCCCCGCCCTCCCTTCTCTCCTTCTCCAAAGCCTCTCCGGAACGCCAAGTATACCTACCATTATCTTCATTGCAACTTCAACTTGCGGAGGAACTCATTTCCGATCCAGACATTGCTCGCCTTCTTCCACCCATTCGGCTACACCGAGACAGACCGATTCGCCGGAGCCATCTCCTGTACATATAGAGCGGGTACGACGTCGCACGCACCCATAGTCCTCGGCCCATCTCCGAGGACGTAGACACGACACCTCGCCATGGCTGTGCGGCTCGCAATGACGTCCCCACTCGTGTGCAGATCTCATTGCGCAACCCGGGAGACTAATGCAGGAACGTGTCTCAAGAGATTCTCAGTGTTCCTGGTCATCGGGTCGACAAACTGTCAATGCAGCGCCCACAGATGCAAAAGAAGAGTTTGCATGTCGTGCGACGATGCAATGTACGCCTGGCATCACCTGTCCCTCTATCCCAAATTGCAGGTGCTGGAGCCCGACTTATGATTGTCCGGATCATTTCTTCGCGCCATAGTCCCGGTCAACTGTCAGAATTTCCACGAATTGATGAACGGCTACTTTGTGTCGATGTCGGCAATGCTCGCCTTGGGATTGCAGTGTGCAGCAACGTTCCGCAGGCATTGGCTTCATTCGGAACGCCGTGTATCCCGAGCCGCACTGGACATCACATTTTGATGATACTGCGAGAAGAGGCCGAGACATGCTCTTGATCTAGCGTTGACGAGCCAGCACACTTCTCTCTTCGATGTTGGCACTCATGCGAACGGGGAAGGGTCGGCGGACTTTGTGTAGGTGAAGGAACCGCTCGTAGAATGGTAAGTCCAAGCTCAACTTCTTCCACTGATACGACCCTCACAGAAAGCCAAGCTCGGCGACCTTCGAGCTCATACATTGTCAGAAATGCGTCAAGGATGCAGCGGATCACGGCGACTCTCCGATGAAGCGGTCGCTTGATCCCGATCAAGCTTACTCTTCAGTCAATGGGCAGTCCAATGGGTGCATATCCAAGCACAGTGCCTCATCGATCGTGAGTCAATTGGTCCAACAAGAACGTTGCTTCGCATAAGCCCTCGAAGGCCCCCTAATGCTACCACGAGCAGCAGCACGGTCAACATGCTTGAAGGAGCGCTGTCAGGATATCGGTAGATGTAGACCAGGCTCCGGATGCTGAAGAAGCGGGAAGCCCAATATTCAGCCAGGTCCGACCCTCATTTGTTGTCGGGCTCGGTCTACCTACAGTCCTTGCTAGATCGCCTTGCTAACTTACAAGCCATGCTACTTCGCCAGGGAGCTACAGCGTCTTCGCACATTGGAATATTATCTCGACGGCTGCTACGCCCATTTTGCACCATACGACGCGCTGTTGCCCCAGATCGACTAGGGTCATCACGACGACAATAAAGCCCCGCTGCGCAAAGACATTGTATGATCAACTCTGCCAGATCTTGGACTGTGTTGCCCGACTCGCCACGACCTCCCTTTCCGAGATCCCTGTAGTATTTGTGGTCGCAAACCCAACCGATCATATATATCATTTTCGCTCGATTGCTCGTGTCAGTGAAGTAGTAGATTGCAGGCTTTGAGGAAGAGGAAGCTACGGAAAGGAGGCTCTCTCTGAACATATTCTGGAGGTATGGGCGCGGGGAGGGAGAGCATCGGGCCGAAGCAATTGAAGCGAGCACTTCATGTTTGCACGGTGGGCGGATATCGCCAAGACTGGACAGGTGCAGTCTCAGAAGCTCAGGGATGGCCTGCTGTCTCTGACCGTGGATGATGAGCTGGCAAGTGGGACCAGCTCCAGCCATCGTCTCAACGTCTTGGCTGGAACCGTTCGCCTTCAGCGGTGACGCTGCTACGCAGGTGCGCGTGCCGTATGTATAGGTATCGTGAGATGGAGCAATAGAGCAGTTCGGTGTAGCTGCTCGTAGTTTCGCGGCATGTGATGTGAGAACGCGATGCGTCACGTGATCTCCCCGAGTCAGTTGGGCGAGGGAAGCTTCTCGATGCTGCTGGCAAGACAGCGGAACTTCTTCGAAAGCGCGTGCAGTGACGAGATTTGCGCGCAGCCAGCCCACTTGGCCCTCTGCATTTGACATCACCTCCACCTCCACCACACTCACGCACCCGCTGCCATTTCTGTGGTTTGTGGACGCAACCCAACCGCCCTCAACCAATCGCATCCGCGCCATCCAACTTTTTAAACTTTTTTTCGCACATCAACCGGACGCCATACACCGCAAACATTCCACCATCACCAACACTACTTGCTATTCCACGGAAAGATGTCGGTCGTAGGAGTCGACCTCGGAAACCAGAACACTGTCATAGTAAGTGTCCCGCTCACCTGGACGTCACCTCGACACGGATGGCAGCATGGCAGGATGGCAGAGCTACTCGACAGGGGAGATTGAGATGCTTGGGGAGAAGTAGATCGTCAGAACAGAAACTGACAGTCCTATAGGCAGTCGCCCGCAACAAGGGCGTCGACGTCATCACCAATGAAGTCTCTAACCGCGCCACGCCCTCCCTCGTAGGCTTCGGCCCCAAGAGCAGATATCTCGGCGAGGCCGCGAAGACGCAGGAAGTCTCCAACCTCAAGAACACCGTCGGTTCCCTCACACGACTCGCCGGTCGCTCATTACAAGACCCCGATGTGCAGATCGAGCAGGAATACGTCTCGGCGCCGCTCGTCGAGGTCAACGGCCAGGTTGGCGCGGAGGTCACATACTTGGGTCAGAAGCAGAGGTTCTCGGCTACCCAGCTGATCGCCATGTTCCTGACCAAGACACGAGAGACCGCGTCGAAAGAGCTGAGACTGCCCGTGAATGACATGGTCCTGTCAGTGCCCGCTTGGTACACGGATGCGCAGCGGAGGGCTATGCTGGATGCTGCTGAGGTCGCCGGCATCAAGGTCCTGCGCCTCATCAACGAGACCACCGCGACTGCTCTTGGATACGGTATCACCAAGCTGGACCTGCCAGGACCAGAGGAGAAGCCTCGTCGAGTGGCATTCATCGACATTGGACACACCAACTACACTTGCTCCATCTGCGAGTTCCGCAAGGGTGACCTGAAAGTCGTCTCGACCGCGTACGACAGGCATTTCGGTGGCCGCAACTTCGACAAGGCCATCATCGACCACTTCCGTAAGGAGTTCAAAGAGAAGTCCAAGATCGACATCTACGAGAACCCCAAAGCCCGCGTACGTGTCGCCTCGGCCGTCGAGAAGCTGAAGAAGGTCCTCTCTGCCAACGCCGTGGCACCGATCAACATTGAATCATTGATGAATGACGTGGATGTTCGTGGAATGCTCAAGCGTGAGGAGATGGAAGAGCTTGTTCGACCTCTACTCGAGCGCGCGACTGTCCCCTTGGAGCAAGCACTGGCAGATGCCAAGCTGAAGACTGAGGACATTGATCACATTGAACTAGTTGGCGGCTGCACGCGTGTTCCGTCATTGAAGGCTGCCATTCAAAACTTCTTCGGCAAGCCACTCTCCTTCACCTTGAACGCAGACGAGGCCATAGCTCGTGGCTGCGCGTTCAGCTGCGCCATTCTGTCCCCGGTCTTCCGTGTGCGTGACTTCAGCGTGCAAGACATTGTCAATTACCCAATCGAGTTCGCATGGGAGAAGTCTGCAGACATTCCGGACGAGGACACCAACCTGACGGTCTTCAACAAGGGCAATGTTATGCCTTCCACCAAGATTCTCACATTCTACCGAAAACAGCCTTTCGACCTCGAGGCCAAGTACGCCAAGCCTGAGCTGCTTCCGGGTAAGATGAACCCATGGATTGGGCGCTTCAGCGTCAAGGGTGTCAAGGCCGAGGGCGACGAGTTCATGATCTGCAAGCTGAAGGCACGCTTGAACCTTCACGGCATCCTCAACGTGGAGCAGGGATACTACGTCGAGGAGCAGGAGATTGAGGAGCCAGTGGCGGAGTCGAAGGACGAGAAGAAGGATGGTGATGTGAGTACAGCCCGTGATTTGCGTTCTCGTTTTGCTTTTGTGTCGACGGAAGAGGAGGACAAGGTTTTGCAGGTGGCGGCGTCGGGCTTTAACAATCTGCACATCGAAGAACGAGCGGCAAAACGCCCGCGATTCGAAGAACCATTGCTGACGAATCGACAGGCAATGGACACCGACCAGGCCAACGGTGAGGCCAAGCCGCCTGCGAAGACGCGCAAGGTAAAGAAGCAGGTCCGCAAGGGCGACCTGCCGCTCTCTGCCGGCACAGCGTCGCTCGACCAATCCATCAAGGACAGCTTCATGGAGAAGGAAGGTCAGATGGTTGCGGAAGACAAGCTCGTCGCCGAGACGGAAGACAAGAAGAACGAGCTCGAGTCTGAGATCTACTCGCTTCGTGGCAAGCTCGACGAGCCATACGAGAGCAATGGGTACGCGGAATTCGCGAACGAAGACGAGAAGGCCAAGATCAAGGCCAAGTGTGAGGAGCTTGAGGTATGTGCTACACTCCCGATGTCTCCTGTCTGATCAGTATTAATTGTTTCGTAGGACTGGCTGTACGAGGACGGTGAAGATGCCTCCAAGGCACAGTATGTCGCCAAGCTGGACGAGCTCCGAGCATCGGCTGGACCGGTGATCCAACGCTTTAACGACAAGCGACAGGAGGAAGAGGACGCCCGGCGGAAGGTGGAAGAGGAGAAGCTGGCCAAGCAGCGTGCAGAGCAGGAGGCCAAGAAGAAGGCGGAGGAGGAGAAGCGGAGAGCTGATGAGGAAGCGAAGAAGGCTGCGCAGGGCGAGCAGAAGCCGGATGAGGAGATGAAGGATGCCGATGGTGAGGGAACGAAGCCGGCCGACGTCGAGGAAGCCTGAGCAGGGCCGCGTTCTACGTACTCGGCGACTCCAGGCGCTTTGCTAGACGGTGCATGATAGACTAGGATCCCGGCGCGCTTCACGAGAAAACGGACGAAGTTAACTCTGATGAGCGCGAAGGAAAAGGGGTTTGGGGGATGGCATGAAGTTTACGCACGGCTCTGTTCTCCTTTGTAATCTCTGACGAGCAAGAAGAGGAGAATCGGAAGGGCATGGTTCTCCACGCTTTTGGGGGGAGAGAGAGGTATAGATAGAATCAATCAAATGACATGACCCATAAGACTGTGACACGGTCATGTGACACGGCCACGTCTGTGACCACGCTAGATGTGGTTCTCCGACCCGATTTGGGTGCGATGCATACCCGATGCAGGAGAGATGAAGTCCAATTAGACGCACGATATGCACCGGCGCGCAGGTTGCATGTGATGTCTTGCACGTGAGTCGACCGACCGACCGACCGACTGACCGACCAACCGACCGAACTGGCAAAAGCGTCCACGTCGCGCGTCGCAAGCTGTTTGTTGTTGCTGTTGATTTTTCACCGCCTTCATTTCGCTGTCATCTCCCAGCGACTTTGTACCTCAGCGGCAGCCATCTCATCCCATTTGTCGCGGCTGTGGCCGTAATTTCTCGACGGGGTTGGGGATCATGGATTGCGATGTCTGTCCTGCCCTCACCGCCTGCACTGGCCTGTCTTCCGCCCGTCTCCCGTCAGTCTCCCGCCAGTCTTCCGCCTGTCTTGGCTCTCTGCGTGTGGGGGGTGGGGCGAGGGGGGTGAAGCAAAATGGGCCATGCCATGCCATGCGACGCGTGAGGGCGGTGACGGGGCGCTGCGTCTGCTGATGCTGATGCTGATGCTGATGCATCCTCCTTTCCTCTCTTCCATCTTGCCCTCTGTGCTTTTGTTCGTGTGGAATGGAGCTCCGGGTGAGAGGGGTCGACAATATGGCCAACGCGTTGGAGAATAGATGTCCGGCCTGCACGGATCCAGGCAAACTGACTTGTGCGGGCTGTAAGAATGTCAAGGTGAGTCCCAAATACCATGCAATATCCTTCCAAACTGATGAATATCAGTACTGCTCCCCAGAATGCCAACAATCAGATTGGCAATTTCATCGCTCCCTCTGCAGATCTTATCAATCCTTCCTCCCCCAATGTCGTCCCGATGAGAGCATGCGGAGGGTCATTTACTTCCCACCAAACGAGAAGAAACCCGAATTCCGCTGGCTATCCGTCTGGAACGCGGAAGACTGCCAAGAGGTCCAATATCAACCTCTCCTCGACGCCGGAACCGGATCCAAGGCTCTACCGGAGACCCAACATATTCAAGAAAACAAACTGATCAATTTTGATCTCGGGAAAAGACGGATCAACCTGGTCTTTGACGACATGTTCTTCCAGAAGTATACGAAATCAAATCAAGCAGCGCGAACGGCAACCAATGGCAGAGCTGGCTCCGAATGGCGAGGACCCATGATTGCTTTTGCCGGTGAAGTTGATGATCCGGTAGGATGTGAGTGCTATCATAAGATGATCAAGGCGCTGGATATCGAGATGAGGGACTTTAGTGATTTGGTGAGCCACATGATCTACTACGGACGAGAGGATGAATGTGGGAAATTGCGGAAAGGTGGGAAAATTCTGGCTATGAAGATGAATTGTGATGCCGAGAGGATGGAGGACGGAGCGCCATTTACGCAAGTTGTCAAGGTTCCGAGACTGCATCCTGTTTTTGAAGGTGGTGGTGAGGTCTGTGGCATCTCCAAGGTAAGCTTTCTCTCCCACGTGAAGAAGACCTACGAAATCAAGGACACTGATTGTGTGGTCCCTATGTCAGCTCGTCGATATGCCTCTACTGTTGTGCAAATACCCCGACAAGCGATATCGAACCGTCCCCAACAACGAAAACCGAGTGAACCATTGCGTAACCTGGATGCAGCTGAATGTGGATCCTCACAGTGACAAGTTTGGCTGGGCATTTGGATGGTATTCGATCCGCCAGACCGTGCCAATCAAAGCCTCTTCACTAACATGGTGTTTTGTAGGATGGGAGGCCAGGTCCCAAACGTTCTCGTAGCCAGAGCAGACCGCAAACCACTCTCCGAGGACGTCCTACGAGCTTTTGCAGATTTCTGCTCCGACAAGATCCAACCTCTCTTTGAAGCCGCGTTGGAGAGCGGATCGCAGAGGCGGAAGCAGGCTGCTGTGAATTCCGTCACGCCGACCAAATGGAACTTGTACCTCAGGGTAAGGGCCTCGATTCTGCTCTGCGAAGATTAGGCATGGGCTAATGAATTTGGAATAGGATTACTTACGATTCCCCCGTGGTGAGGCGATGGGTTCCTATGTACCCGATACCACCGACTCGCCTGGCTCCGAGGACAGCCAGGGGTCCCCCAGCAGCATCGAGAGTGCAAGGTTTGTGTGAGATGAATCTTGCTTGTAGCTCATGTGGCGTTGGGTGGCTGTTTCGGATCTCTTAAATTGTCATAAACGGCCAGCGTGTTCGAGTAGGAGTCTGTTCTGATGCGGCGGAAGATGAAAGTTCGTGATCGTGATATGGAGTCTTGGCGAAATTTCCTCGCATCAGCATTCTAGCAAGTCGTTCTCTCTGTTAGCCTAGCCAAGGAAAGTACGTTTCCTATTCTCCGATCATGCTGACTTCGCATTGAGTGGCGGGCGGCTTCAGGCTGGGTTGCGAAGTCAGACGAAGTTTCAGCAAGACTAAATTTCATGCATCAGGATGCGAATGGAAGCTACTTTCAGCTGATCGTCAAGAAGTTAGGTGAATAGGTGTACCTCACAGCGACGCACGCCAGCAAACGCCACTTACCTCGGTGTTAGAGCTTCACGCTCCTACACAAACTGCCTTTCATTCGAACATCGGCGACGCACCATACCCTGGCGTTAGCCCCGTCCGACACCGTCGTGACATATCTCGGCTGCAAAACATTGCAAGAAATGTACTCATCACATCATAAAGGCCACGAGCAGCACTTCAACTACGAGCTGTTGCTCCAACTGCTACGTTCCGGCCACTCCTACGTGTCAGCACTGTAAAGAGACCCATGACTGCCCCAAAGCGTGCCAGCAAACTGGCCCTCTCACAGGCCACTCTGCAAGACATTCGCAGACCGCAGACTTTCAAGACCGGCCGAACGCAAGTCTACGCCGAGCAGTCTTCTCCCAACACTGAGGGTAAGGTTCCCGTTTCGCTGGCTTCCTATCAGTATCAAGGGTGGCGATGGCTTTCAAACTTTGGAATATAAAGAAACTTTTCCCTGTCCCCTTGACGAGAGCCTCCAAGACCATCACTCACCATCCCAAGGCTGATCAGCAGCTTCTATCTCTCATGTAGTTCTACTGCGACGATCTTGCATTCGCGAGGCAAATGAGCACAAATCAAGGTGATTCTCGTTCTGGATATAGCAACTCAATTTACCAACAAACGCGTCTCTGCAGCGTCCGGATATCACTACTGGTGCAAGAAACTAAGCTCAATATACGGGTCGATAGCAACAGCGCAAAAGTGTGATTAAAGACGAGTTGATGTTAAACTTCATTCCGAGCATGAACCATGACGGTCAGCCTTTCCGCCCACGGAAGCGGCTTCTGGATTTTGGCATGTGATCGCCAAGCCTTCAAAGCTAGCGAGGCTTGGCGACTCACGACGACGCGATAACGTAGATTCGATGTACGCCGCTCGCGGAAAATCAGCTGCCAGGATAGAAATCCTTTCCAGCAACTTGTCTCGGGCTCTAACACAACCATCCCTTACCATGGCGGATGAAACAGAACCTGACAAGCCGCGGCGGGCTGCCAGGCACCACAATGTCAAGAGACGGAATACTTTCCCCACAACCTACTATGCAAGAACTTCTTGCAATGCCAGACTCGCCCAGCTGACGACATGTTCCGCTTGATATGATCCCCGACCAACAGCAAAGAGCCTGTATTTAGATGGCTGGCCAGGTACATGAAGCCCAGAGAAGACCATGCAAACAGCGCATCGGTCTCCCTCTGATGGCCATCCCGCAGGGCCAGCGCCGCGCCCAAAACATCGAGACAGGCGACAACTCCAGCCCAGCAACCTCCGCGCAAGTCGGCGTCGACCCGACAGCCACCCACGACTTTGCAACTAGCGACGAAGGAAACTTCGTCTGGGCACCGACCGGCTGGCAAGTAAGGGGAAGGCAATATGCTCATCGCCCGAGTAGACCGTAAAGAGCTGGACCCCTGAAGTCGTCGACGCGTGTGCAGAGTTCTTTCTGCCAGCACCATATGCCCGCGTACTTTCAATTGAGAAATAGAGGTGCGGATGAATGGGAATAGAAAATTGCGCGGAAAGGCACACCGCATATACCCGCCGTGTGTTGTTGAAGGAGACGACAGAGAAGAAGTGGGAGACGTACGACGAGGACTGGGAGAAGTAGAAGCAGGCAGGAATCAGGGATGAGCTTGAGATCATTGGCCGCGTGACTGGAGCTGTGAGCATGGCCTTCGATGGGGAGACTGGAGATCGTCTTTGCAGTCACCTGCTCAAGCATGTTAATTGAGCAGTGAAAAGGTGCCCTTCAACTCGTCTGAGAGACAACTCCTGCTGATGCGGGTGCTTGAACAAGATCGATTTGCGTGCAGGTACCACCGACCGCCTCGGGTCAGCCAGCTCAACCTCGCAGCAGAAATCAAGTAAAGCAAAACGGTCCTCCCACTATCTATGTCCTCTCGCTTGAACTTCCACACTACTTCGTCGGATGTAGAGTGGAGGAGACGGTCGGCAAACAGGCTGTTTTCGGTGACTTCTCGCTGTACGTTTTCATATTACTAAATTTCCGAGCCAAAGGTGACTGTACATGCAAATAGTAGTATCCCTTTTGCCCCGGCCCAGTGCATAATCCTCTCCATTTTCGCTGGTCTTGTCATCAGACACCTGAGCTTGCAAAAGAATGATTGATCATACCCATTACCCTCGCACACACATCCCATCCAACCCGGAGGTTCGCAAGGGACGCCCTTCGGACCCGAAACTCCGCCCGTGAACAAATACCTTCCGCTCCCAGAATCATGTCCCTGCTGCTGCTGCCTTCTCCAATTATAGCTGTCCACTCAGGATAGCCTCCGTAGCACTCCCAATATACTGCCTCCTGGAATCCATTGGAACCCCAAATCTCCTCTCCAATTCCGCCTTGATGCTCTTCTTCGTAACAGTCATCAAATCAGCCGTCCTGAGGATCTCCCGAATCTCAGCCAAGATCGCATCATCAGATGGCATGTCCGACATATCTCCAATCGGCATGCCCATCTCCGATTGCATTCCAAGACTCATATGCGAGCCGTTATACTGCTGCATCTGCGGCACCGTGAGCTGGCTCATGTGTCGGCTCTGATAGCCGTTCACGTCACCATACACAGACTGAGGTCCGGGAGCATTGGGATGCCAGCTCTTGGTCCCGTACGAGATACCAGACATTTCGGATCTGGTATCGCCGAGGTCTCTGGCGCTGGCAGAGGCATCCCAAAGCTCGGCCTGGTATTCTTCCCACTTCTTCTTCGGGATGCTATCGGGATCGAATTTGCCCTCATCAGACACAATGATCTGCTTGCCTTTCTCACCGGTAACCATGCGTGTGTTGCCCCAAGAGAAGTCGTCCATGTTCCAAAACGCAATAAGTGGCAGAGCGCAGGAGAAGATCGGGGTGGCAACCATGTAAATCAACATCCAACCGACCATTTCCCATTTGCGCCGCAGAATAAAGATGATGGCTTGCAGACCGTAAATCGCACCAAGCAGGATAAACGCAGTTACCGGCACCGTGCTTGGATTCTTGGCCACTTCGACGATCAGGTAGACGATGTAACCGACGATGACAGGCTGCACAATGGTCGAGAGCAAGTCGATAAACACGACGAATCTCATACTGAAACAGCAGAAACCGCAGAGCTGTTGCAGAGGGATGACTTCGATCAGGTTGTGAACGGTACTGTTGATCCATCGTCGACGTTGGGAGGTAAAGACGGCCCAGCTGTCTGGTGCTATCGTCCAAGCATGTGCGCGCATGATATACTTCGTCTTGTACTTGGAGTGGTATTTCATAAGCAGCGTGGTCAGATATCTGTCCTCACCAAGGTGCAAAAGGTTCTTCATGTGAAGGGTGTCGACGCGAACTTCACTATAGTCGTCGACAATCTCCCGGGAAACGAAGAGCGGCTTTCCAGTCTCTGCAGCTCGGATACGGTACATGGTGAAACAACCGGGCAAACAGGTGACGGATCCAAAGAGCGATTCGAAGGCCTTGGTCAGGTTGTGCGATATGTAGTACTCGTACACCTGCATCATCGTGATGAATGACGCTTTGGCGTTGGTAAGGGCGGTTTCACCGCACACTGCAATCAACTTGGTGTCGTTCACAAACGCAGACACGAAACGTGTAGCGGAATCCGGAGCAACGACCGTGTCGGCATCGATTTGCAGCAGGAACTCATAGAAAGTCGGGTTGACTCCTATCACGTTTCGTATCTGGTGGTGGAGTTCGAGTTCTAGTGGCGTCATGGGCAGGTTGTAGTGGACGCGGTTGAGGAAGCGCATCAAGATCATTTGCGAGTCACGCTTGCCACGGTTGCCAGGTCTAGAGACTTCGGAAGGCTTTCCGACCTTGACAATGACAATGAAGGGCACAATATGTCCTTGTACTTCGTAAAGACCTGAGTAGACCTTGCCCATGTTGTGCTGCTTGAGACCCTCGCCCAAAGATTCGAAGCTGAGTGGCTCTGGATCGACGGTCTCTGGTACTCCAAGAATGTCCAAAACGATGCGCGGCGTTGGCCTGTCGTTGCCTTGACCGATAATCATGCCGTCGCAGATGATGAACAGCAATTTGCGCTTATCATCGTATCGCATGCGAGCAGCAGAGTCGATGGCACGGCGCAAAGAGTCCTCGTCTTCCGTGTAAGCTGGGACAGTGGCGATGACAAACTTGTCGAGGTTCTCCGGGACGTTCTTCTTTCCGAATTGTAGAGCCGCCAGAAACTTGAAGCAAATGACAGATACTAGCAGCAGAGATATGGCCAGAAGAATGTACTTCGCGAATTGACACTGTGGGCTGCTGCGCGTGTCGACATTGCCAACGTAGAAGAGATTGTCCATGCACACTTGCATACGTTGGCGAAGGGCGGCATCCAGCTTGAGATCCTCCCAGTATTTGGTCACGTCCTGACCGGAACGTTGCTGGAATAGGCTAACCACGGTCTGATCCATGAAGTTCGAGTTTGGTGGCGTCTCGGGCTTGTCCGTGCCAGGAGGGTACTGAGGCTGCCTTCCACCAGCAATATATTCCGTGAAGTCGTAAACTCGTCCGTTGATGTAGGCGATCGAGTTCTGCTTCTTGGCGAGGGTCTTGATATATTGTGGCGAGTATCCCACGTTACCCTTCCAGTAGTTGCCCTGAAGGTAGATCATCTGCTCAACGAACCAGGCTGGACGGGAATCGTTGGTTGCCCATCGGAAATCGTGATATTGAGCATTGGTGTCAGTGGAGCTGATTGCCGTGGTCTGTCCAGTGTAGTTGTGAGACTGGTAGTTGAGCTGGACGGCCGGGTCGATACCAGTCTCGTTGACGCCTTGGCACATGGCCGATACCTGAACTGGGAAGAGGTTGGTTGCGTCTGTGCCCGCATATTTCTTCAGAGCGGACTGTGGCACGATCGACGGGTAGTGCACTGGCATGAAGGAGTCGAGACTGAAGACGACTCCTCGGATGGCCACGTACGACTTGGCGCCGTCCTTGCCGTTGTACGAGGTCAGCTCTTCAGAGCTATAGACGTGCTGGGTTGGACAAATGATCCGTGGAAATCCAATCATAAAGAACACGACAAATGCACAAGACAACCAGATAATCAAGTTGATGGCCAGCTTTTCTCTCCATGCCATGCGGACATCTTTGCGAGGCATGCGTCCAACAGTCCTGATGAGGAAATCGGGGCACCACCAGGTGAAAGCGTAGACAATGAAGAGCCACCGAAGCCTGCTTCCAGATGTCGGACGTTCCTCGATCTCGGTAGCATGGACTTCATTGCCCTTCTCAGCCATCTGCTCGCGGGTCTCCAGGTTGCGGAACATATCGCCTTCGCGGAAAGCTGACGCACCGGCGTCGCTCTTTGCGTCCAGATCCCGGCTTCCGAAGTAACCAGCCGCTTTATCATCATAGTAGCCGGAGCCAGGAGTCTGCAAGAGCTGCACCTTCGACTCTCCAAAGCCTCCTTTCCCGGCGGGCGTGAGTCTACCAGAGTCGCCGTAAGCATCGTCGAAGGGACGAATCTCGCCCAAGTCACCAGCGCCAGCTATGTGTCTCCAGCAGCGCTCGCTGAGGAAGACACCCGTGGTACCGATACGAGCCTCGTTACTTGGCCAGCTCTTCTCCTCCAAGATCATCTCCGACTTCTCTCTTTCACTACCAACGACTGAGACTTCTCCTTCGGCGGTACCCAGGAACTCTCCAAATGGCATAAAGATGCTGAAATCCGCGTTCTTGAGCCTTTGAGCAATCTCGGCGATACCTAGAGTCTGAATCTGTGTCCTCACGCACTTGCTATCGAACTGATTGGCAATGCGTCTGTCGTTGGGCTTCAAGCAAAAGAAAAAGTAAGAGTTGCTGTTGGGCGCAGTGAGCGACTTAGTGATGTTGTCGAGAGAAGACAAGAACTGGGCAGCGGCACCCGATTGAGCTTCGCCCGGCTGATTAAAGCGCGAGAAGCTCCTGGTACGGCCTTCGTCACTGCCATTGTCGTCTTCGAACGGAGTGCGCTTGGAGCCCAGCTGCGGTCGGCTGCCTTTGCGGCGGGCCATACTTGGCATGCGAGACGGCTTGGACGCAACAGAAGCCTGCGTGACTGCAGTGCGATCCTTAGGATGGAGCACTTTGTTGAGGGCTTCCTGGCCGAAAAGCTCGCCTACAAATGGGCTGGTAGATGTGTTGACCAAGTTCATTAGGTCGCCAGAGATGACTTCGCCATTCTCCTCGAGAAGGCCTTCGACCGGGTACTCGAGCTCTCCAGCAAAATGCTTGACGGTGAAGCTCGCTTGAGTGTTGTGTGTGGCGAAGTTGTTCCCAGGTAGCGTAACAGTGGCACTTCCAACCTCGATGGCTGGGTTCTTCCCGTCAAAACGCTTCCGTAGAGATTCCAGCATCTGCATGTCAGTCTTGCCACGCTTCATCTGGTCGTCAAGAATGCTAAGCAGGCCATTGCCGGGCTTGAGAAGGCCCTTGACGGCATCGCTGTTGTCGAAGTAGCTCGTCGCAGGTACCTGAACCTCCTCCGTCTCGAGCAGATCAGCCTTTCTTTCGAAAAAGCTCTGCAGGCAGAAGTTGTATAGAGACTCGTTGGCGGCGTTGCACAGGAGCTGGTCCAGAACGCTTCCAGTGGAGGGAGTCTGAGCGAATCCGGGAAAGTCGACCACGGAGATGGTGTTTGCAACCGAGTCCTCAATCGCGCAGACTCTGGAGTTGATCCTCTCCATGATCAGGGCCACCATCAAGCTGTAAAGTGTCCGAGCAAGCTCATCTGCGTTCTCGCGCGCTCCCTTGGGATCGAGCATGATCGTCACGCGCTCGCGGTGCAGAATCTTGGTGCGGTATCCCAGAGACTGCTCCAATGTATGCGCGGCGACTCCCAAGAAAGCAGCCACAATCGCTAGAGTATCCTTGTTCTTGACCACGGTGATATCCTCGCCACCCTCATGGCCATATCCACCGCTCTCATCTGGTGCAGGGGTGGTTGCCTGCGAGGTCATGAACTCTAGCTGACCGATGTGCAGGATTGCCGCCAAAACCTCACACAAATGAGCAATCTCCTCTCGCGGAAACTCTAGCTTCCGCAGAGCAGTCTTGAAGTGCTGAAATCCTTCCGCATCGTTGATGCCAACCTTCAATTGCGACGGATGACCAAGGTATCGCCACCTCTTCGTACTCGAGCCCATCGAAGCCCGGTTGGCCACGCCATGGGTGAGGCCGTTGCCCAAATCGAGACCCAAGTGCTCTTTCTCGGCGGGAGAAGTGCCCGCAAGTAGGTAGTAGAGGACGTGGTAATTGCGTTCCCCGGGAGGTACGGCCGAAATGCGGCTTCGCTCCAATCTGTGGTCCAAAACTTTGCCACCGATCAAGGTGGGGTGCAAGCTCGAGGAGGTGTCATATTGTAGCTCGAAGAAGAGGCCGGCTTTCGACGCAGTCGGTGTTGTGACAGACTTGGTCGTAGTGAGGGTGTCGAAAACGAAAGCAGCAAAAGATAGCTTCTTCGAAAGAGGCGTTGACGAGTACTGGAGAAGGGAGGAAAGGAGGTGCGATCTTATGGTGGTCTTTCCGGTGCCCGATTCACCCCTATGAGAAGACGTCAGCAAAGATGCTCATCACGAAGTCTTCCATACACCCTTCGCGACTACGAAGCCGCGCTTCGCCATTCTTGGCCCCGAAAGGACTTACAAGAAAACAGCCGCCTGACTCTCCTGCTTGTGGCCAAGTCTCGTCCACATGCGAGCGGCCAGCTCCTCGGCGGCGCCCATTGCGCTGCCATCCTTGCCGCCATTGGGTCCCTTGGCGGAGGAAGTGTAAGTATTAACGGAAATGTATCCTTGAGAAGAAAGCGCTGTGATGGGTAGATGGCTGTGATATCGTGAGGCGATGTGACTGGTGATGTTGGTATCGCTCATGGAGTGAGCGGGCAGACTGGCCAGGTTCTGCTGGGTGGTCGGAGCAGTCGCCATGATTGAGTTAGTGGCCTCTCGGCCACGAGATGGTTGAGGACTGCAGCAATATGTGAGTGCCTCGTGAGGCGGACAGCGAATGAGGTGGGTTGTGGTTCGCGTGCGAGGCGGGTAGGAGTCTCGTCAGGCTGTGAAGATGCAGTAAGCCAAACCTAGGCACGCTGGGTCGACGGTGCAGGCGTGCGGTGAGTTGGGCAGCAGGTAAAGGGCTTCCAGAGCGAGCGACGGGGAGTTAGCGACCGACAGGCGTAGAGCAGCAACGACGGTGAGGTCGCACGGGAGAGAAGACAGGCAGACAACCAGCAGGAAGAAACTCGGCGTGGATGTTGGGAAGCGGGCAGCTAGGTCGACAGGCACACGGCAGGGCGGTAAGAAGGTAGGGACGGGTAACAGACAGGACGAAACGCACGAGACTAGACTGGAACGGGGAGTCCTGCAGCATCGCCTCCTGAGCCCTGAGCACGACGCGGCACATGCGAGAGGGAGCCGGCCCCCGCCCGAGTCCTCCCGTCTCGGCAGCCCGTGTCGTCCCAGATCATAACGTTTTTCACGAGATATTGACCGCGGCGCAGCAACGACGACGGACGACGGACGACGGACGGTGGCGAGGCGACGCAGCAGACCGCATGCACAGACGGCTGACCACGAGGAGTGCTCATGCATGCATTGAGAGCGTTGAACGACTTTTTGTGTCGCTGCGGGTGCAAGCGTCGCAGACGTTCATTGGGATCGAGCCCCTGTAAGGCAGCCATGTACCCTTGTAACAATCGTCTCCGCCTCCGTCTTCCTGGAGATTCGAGTCCCGTCTCGAACGCTTCCATCCGCTGCCGTGCAGCCGAAGCGACAGTCATTGCCACGCATCACGACAGAACCGGTGCATGTATGATGAGGAGATATCGAGCGAGGTGCTCAGGGCGCAAGTGAGCGGACGCGTAATGCACGATTAGTGCGGTGCTCGGTGCTTGTTAGCTGTTTACCTGATGCGGCGGCATGCAGTGGAGAAACGCGCCGAAAATAGGACTAGGGTAGCGCGACACCCACTTCTCGTGTTCTCATCAAGCACTGCAACCTTGAAGAGCCTGCCCGCGGCAGCTTTCGGCCACTGACTGCTCGCGCCGGTGCGTGGCAAAATTCGAGAATAGTCCAGCACACGAGCCTCGTTTCCCCCAGCTGTACAGAGGCGAGAGAGGTCTATTGTAACATGCTTGGAGACGTTGCATCTGATGAAGGCTCGAGAGCTTGAGTAATGGATATTGACGCCACCTCAGGCTGAGCGAGAGTTTGACCTCCAAAGTTCCCGTCCCGTCTGTGTTTGGGACGGTGTCAGTGTGGGAAAGCCGGGGCGGCAGGTGCGATGCGATCGACGTTGGGCCGTTCAGGCTTACCCCCCCCCCCCCCCTCAATATGCAGGCTTCCCCCCCTTGTTCCTCGGGAAGGTCGGGAGGCCTCGTCTAACTTTGCACGACAACCAATCCATCCTGTTGTGTGCGTTGCTCTGCTAGACTGCCACGCTACTACTCTACTGGCGGGAGCCGCAATCACGCTGTTTTGCCCTCTTCTGCCCATCTTCTTCCAGTCTCATCCCCCATCCCCCAAGCCCCATTTGGGTCTGTCACGACAGCAACACCTCCGCCACATCCCCCCAGCGCTCACACTCGCTCGTTGCGCTCCACCACTGCCACATTCGCTACACCCACATTCGTTCAGGAACGTTCAAGAAGGCCCGCCACGGCCCTGGAACCGCCTAGCGGCTGTTTCCCGAGCGAGAAGAACCCTCAGCATCGATTCCATCGAGACCCGCCCACCCTTACGGGGAATCTCTACTAGCAGACTGTGAACGAGACCGGAGAGCCCTTCGAGGGCGTCGTCAGCATCAGTACCGCCCACCATGGCGTATCGAATGTCTTCGTATTCGAACAATTCTTCTGCCCAGCAGCGGACAAACACCATGCAGCAGGCCTCCACACAAGTCTCCACCACCACGCTGTTGAACGCTCTGCACAGCTCCTTCTCGTCCGGAGCGCCATATCAACTGGAGTCGAGCACGAGTCTGGTCGTCAACACTTGGGTTACAGCCTCCAGCACTGGCCCGGACGGGCGATATGGCGGCACCGTAGACTCCGAGCTTGCCCGCAGAACATGGGAACACGCCAGGAGACGAGCTGAAGATGGCTGCATCATTCTAGGGTAAGAGTCAGGAGCGCTGTGTGATGAGATGATGATATGCTGATACTCTTGACCAGCTCCCTCCACCACTCTACCCCCTCCCTCTTCGCATCATTCGCTTCTGCTCTTCCTCTTTCCGTGCCGGGCACATTCTACACCGCCCTTAATGCTTTAAAGCCTTTCCTACATTGCGTTACGCCTTTCAATCCATCCTTGCCACGCTACTCCGCCTTCGCCGGCGTCTTTACCTTCACCTTGACTGGCGAGATCACCGGGGCTTCGCTATGCCTATCCACGTCGGGCATTGACACACAGAATGGCTTGCTTAATGTTCCAGCAGAGCCTGGGTACCGCGCCTTCGACGTCTTCTATTACCTCCTGACTTCCCAGTCACCGCAGGAACGCGAGTTTCTGGGACTGAAGGCACCAAACCAGTACACCCTCCTCCGAAAGTCCGAGACCTATCGAGCGCCATCCTATTTACCAACCGCCGACGATGCAGCTGCCGCAGAGGACCTCCGAGAGTCGCTCAAGTCAATTGGCATCAAGGGCAAAGCTTTACGCAACTTGCTCTCTGTCATTGCCGCCATTCTGCGCCTGGGCGATGCCATCGGCTTCCTGGTCGATCAGGAAGAGCTGGAAGCGGTCTGTGAAGAGGTGGGCGAGCTGCTCGACTTGGACCCAGAGGTGATTCTAAAGAAATGTGTCACGGAGGAGCGTGAGGTCCTGATGGGCGCCATCTACGAAGCGCTCGTCGACTGGGTAATCATGCAGGCCAACGACGCTATCAGGACTGAGATCCGCTCCGGAAGAGCGTTGAGCGACGGAAGTGAGAGCGGACAAGCCACACCACCCAGCAGCGCGGATGATGCGGACAGCGTCAGTATCACCCTCGTGGATGTGCCTGCTCAGACTCTCGGCAAGGCAGCTGCTCTGAAAACAGTCTTCGACGATAGCAATGGGATCAACGCTGAAATGAAGGAGGATGGCGTGCCAATAGTTCCGGCCGGCTCCTCGGTCATCCGCGAGATGAAGGACGCCGTATCACAAGACGAGGCGGACCTGGACATCCCCGGCAGTCATGCTCTCAGAGAACGTGAGGCCGAGATGGACCGCAGACAAGGCGTATTGGAGAAGGTCGGCTCGGAAACGGACGACGACAGCTTTCTCCGAGCAATTCTCTACCCCCTCTCTGGCCATGGCATCAATCTTGGTAAGACCGGCCGCTTCTCTCTGATGAATGTCCTGGGCAGCAGCAGAGTCTGGTTCCAGCTTTGCTTGCATCCCAGCGATGACGCTCCCGCGTCTTTCGCCAGCCAAGCACCAGGCTCCATCCCTTGGTCCGCTGGCGCCGTTTCCAGCCAGATCCGCGCGTGGAGACTGCCAGAATGGGCGAACTTCCGGACCAGGCAACTGGACTTTACTGCAGATTTCGATGTGGATGAGTTCGTTGATCGTTATCGTCCTTTGGGATGCTCAGACGGCAAGGAGGGCGTCGAGACCTGGCTTATTGAACGAGGCTGGAGCAATGGCGAAGTGGTTGTTGGCCACGAGCGCATCTGGATGCGGGAATCAGCCTACTGGGAGGCCGAGAGCATGCTTGATATGAAGCCATCAGACGATTCACGCGACCTACCACCCCATATCCTGGGTGGGATGGTCGGCGCGGCTGGTATAGAGACCGGATACTCACCGCAGAATGGTGGTCTCGACGGTGGCTTTCACCATGACGATGGCAGCCGGGAAACGATGATCGGACGACAGCCTAGTCAGATTGCTCCAAGTCGCATGGGTGCCAAATCCCTTGCTCCCACTATGGCGCAGACTGTCCGCAGTGTAGGCGGAGGCGACTATGGTCTCGGATTCAAGGGAGACGACAAGCGCAACTACGTCGGCTTTGAGGGCGAGATCGATGCTGAGCTCACTGCCGGCAAGGACGTGATTGTTCAGAAGACGACGCCTGGCAGACGAGCATGGGTCTTCCTCACATGGGCTCTGACGTTCTGGATACCGTCACCTCTGCTAAAGCACATTGGTCGCATGAAGCGACCTGATGTGCGAATGGCTTGGCGTGAGAAGTTCGCTCTCATGATCCTCATTGCTCTTCTGAACGGCATTGTTGTCTTCTACATTGTGGGGTTTGGCAAGCTGCTATGTCCGAATCGTGACAAGGTCTGGAATCGTAAGCAGGTCTCATATCACCAAGGCGACGACGACTTCTACGTGTCTTTCCGGGGCGGTGTCTATGATCTCTCCAAGTTCTGGAAGTTGCAGCACTCCGACACCAGCATCGACACAACCACAACGAATATGCAGCCTTTCGCCGGAACGGACGTGACAGAGTACATTGTTCCGCCTTTGACAATCGCCTGTCAAGGCCTGGTCCCAACAGCCTCTACTTCGCTATACCTGCAGAGTAATACCACGCTTTTATACCCGAACGCAGAGCACAAATCCGGACCCACGATGCAGCCGGACACGACGACCAAGCTTCACAGCCTGGACTGGTACAAGGACGACTTCCTACCGCGTATGAAGGAATACTACAAGGGCGAACTCGTGTACGAAAAGAAGACTGTCGCCAGCGATGGCGAGAAGTACAGCCGAAAGTGGTTCATCATCGACAATGTGGTCTACGACATGACCGACTACTTCTACACCCAAAAACTGGAGAATGACCTGGCCTCGTACAGCTTCTTTCCGGATGATGTTGAGAACTTGGTCAACCAGAATCCCGGTGGTGATATCACCAAAGATTGGAACAGTCAACTGAACGCGACAACAAAGGGAAACAGTATCAACTGCCTGAACAACATGTTCAAGATTGGCTATACCGACTTCCGTGACAGTGCTCGCTGCCAAGTCAACAATTACATTCTGCTGGCCTTTACTATCGTCCTGTGCATTGTCATTGCCACAAAATTCTTGGCTGCACTGCAACTTGGTTCCAAGCGCAGGCCTGCACAGCAGGACAAGTTCGTCATCTGCCAAGTGCCGGCCTACACTGAAGGTGAAGACTCTCTCCGGAAAGGCCTGGACTCACTTACGGCGCTGGCTTACGACAACAAAAGGAAGCTTATCTGCGTTATTTGCGACGGTATGATCGTCGGAGGTGGTAATGACAGGCCGACTCCCAAGATTGTGCTTGATATCCTCGGCGTCGACCCCAAGATCGATCCCCCGGCTCTGCCTTTCAAGTCGCTCGGCGTTGGCGGCGAGCAGCTCAACTACGGCAAAGTGTACTCTGGCTTGTACGAGTACGAAGGTAATGTCGTCCCGTACCTGGTCGTTGTGAAAGTCGGCAAGGAGTCGGAACAAAGCAAGTCCAAGCCGGGTAACCGGGGAAAGCGAGACTCTCAGATCCTGCTCATGAGCTTCTTGAACCGTGTCCACCACCGCTCCGCCATGAGTCCTCTGGAACTCGAGATGTTCCATCAAATCAACAACATCATTGGTGTCGACCCTGAGCTCTACGAATACCTATTCATGGTTGACGCCGATACCAAGGTCAAGGAAGACTCGCTCAATCGACTGGTCGCATCATGTGCCAATGACGCGAAGATTGCTGGTATCTGTGGTGAAACATCTCTGGAGAATGAAGAACGCAGTTGGTGGACCATGATTCAGGTCTACGAATACTACATCTCCCATCACTTGGCTAAGGCTTTCGAAAGTTTGTTCGGCAGTGTGACTTGTTTGCCGGGATGGTGAGTGTTCTCCTTTAGGGAGTGTCTGACTGAGCTAACAACCTTCCTAGTTTCTGCATGTACCGACTTCGAACAGCAGACAAGGGACGACCCCTCATCATCGCCGATAAGATCATCAACGAGTACTCCGAAAACAATCTCGACACGTTGCATAAGAAGAACTTGTTCTCTCTTGGTGAGGATCGTTACTTGACGACCATCATGACCAAGCACTTTCCAGCCATGTCTTACAAGTTCTTGCCTGACGCGTACGCGCTCACTGAAGCTCCGTCTCGGTGGAGTGTGCTGCTGTCGCAGAGACGTCGCTGGATCAACTCAACCATCCACAACTTGGCGGAGATGTTGCAAGTCGACCTTTGCGGCTTCTGCTGTTTCTCCATGCGCTTCGTTGTCTTCATCGACCTCTTCGGTACTCTCATCCTCCCGGCGACCTTTGCCTACCTTGTCTACCTCATCTATGCTGTTGCCTCTGGCACCGGACAATTCCCTCTGATCTCCATTGTCATGTTGGCAGCTGTGTATGGTCTCCAGGCAATCATCTTCATCATCAAGAGACAGTGGCAGCACATTGGATGGATGATTATCTACATCATGGCATTACCAATCTGGTCATTGATTCTTCCGGTCTACTCATTCTGGAAGCAGGATGACTTCTCGTGGGGAAACACCCGTATCGTTATCGGCGAGAAGGGTGATCAGAAGCTGGTCGCCATTGATGAAGAAGGCTTTGATCCCCGCAGCATTCCCCTCCAACGATGGGACGATTATGCTTTGACCAACAACCTCCCAGGCCGTCGTGGCGTCTATCCGGAGAAAGACCCTGCTATGTACCAGGACGGTGGGTACGAGATGGACGACATGCACTCGGTGTACTCGTCTGTGAAGCCGGCTTCGACGATTCTTACTGGGTTCCCTCAACATCAGTCTTTCCGGCCGCCTCAGTCGCCCGGTCCATTTCAGGCAATGGGAAGGCAGTCGGCCTTCTCATCCTACCGAGACAATCCTCAGCCACACGAGCAGCAGCGGCTGATGTCGATGGGTGGCATGAGCGACCACAACCGACAATCACCCTACAGCCCTCGCCATCAATCGCAAGAGAACCTCCTGGGCGGTGGCATGAACGGCATGAGCTCCCCGAACCTCCACCAAGGACCGCCTCGGAATCGGTCACCACTTGGAGGAGGTCAGCAGGGCATGGGCATCAGTCGGCCTGGTAGCACCAATCCAGCCGCTCAGCTGTCTGGTCTCGGTGGTTTCCAGACACAGGGTCCCACCAACGAGATGATCTCCGCCGCTGTGAGCGAGTGCCTGAACGAGGTTGACATGGACTCTGTCACCAAGAAACAGCTGAAGGCGCTGGCGGAGCAGAAGCTGCAATGTCAACTTGGTGGAGACAAGAAGAGTTTCCTGGATTTCGAAATCGACCGTCAGCTCGCGATGATGTAGGCCATGAAGCCGACACCCGTTTTGAACGTCACAGGAGAGCAAAGCACGCAGTGGACAGGCGAAGTGACGAAATTATCTAACCCTGCGACCAACGTGTTGCTTTTGAGATCACAGAGGCGTGCTCCAAGTGGGAAGAAAGCCAGAATCAATCAGTGGACGGTGTATATTCCTACCCAATTCACGTCGAACAATGCACTGGCGAGGGAGGGCTCACCGCCGCGACCTCCATCTCTGGATGCGCTCCGGAACTCAGGCGACTCTTTTGCCTTGGATTCGAGCGACAGTCGCAGTCATGGATTTTGTAAATGAATGGACGGGATGTGACGGCATTGGCGCAATCGATTGGGCGCACGGCGTTTGACTTGTGCGGTAGGAATAGGGTCGGGGAAATTCTGGGGCAAAAGCGATGGGATGAACAGTATCAGCAAGAGAGATGACACTACTACTAGCAGTAGCAGCACGCTTTGCAAAAGGGCAGCCGATCTTTCTCTGGATTGAACAGCTTTTTGTGGCTCTGGAGAGCAACGTGGGTCGGATTGTAGTGATGCTACTGTTAATCTAATGACACTGAGACAAGTGAAGCTGGTTTTTCTTTTCCGCTCTCTGTGACTTCTCTCCTTTTTGCATGCTCTCTGCGATGCAACGAGCTCTGCGCTTGGTAGACGATATCTAAGGGTTGCTGGATCAGGGTTTCTTGAAATAGCATAAACATATGGGACAGTATGTCCTCACTGGACCGACTGGATCTCGTGGTTTGTTGTCGATCTGGACTTTCCATCTTAGATGCCCTGTATACGTGCGCCTTGGGTGTTCTCGTGCGAACAGAATCTTGCTATCAAGATTCGAATCGTGTGCCGTGACGAAGGAGATGGGTCTTGGAGTCTGCTCTAGTTCCTGCTCCAATAGATGTGAAGTTCAGAGGTAGGCTCAACGACATCCTCACGGTGAGCATACTCTCTCTCTCTCTCTCTCTCTCTCTCTCTCTCAAATCCATCAGAATTATTCACGCCATTCCTATCTCTAAGGTACCACGAAGATCCCACTCTCTCTCTCTCTCTCATCATCTCGCATTAAACCCCCCATCAACAGGCATATTGACCCCCGTCATCCAACCCGCCTCCTCACTCGCCAAGAACACATAAGCCCTCGCCACATCCTCCGGAAGCCCCCTCCCTCGAAAGGGATGCAACGCATCCACCATGTCACCCTGCCCTTGCCCTCCCTTTTCCGCGTCTTTGAAAATCTCATCCGTCATGTGCGTATGCACAAACCCGGGACAGACAGCATTCACGTGTACACGGTAGGGAGCACAGTCGAGAGCGGCGGCTTTGGTGAGGTTGGCTACGGCGCCTTTGGAAGTACAGTATGCCGAGGCGTTTTCCACGCCATTGAGACCGAAGACGGAGGCGGCGTTGAGGATCCAGCCTCGATCGCCATTGGCATTGGGGAGCGGGGTTTGCGTGATCATCTGTGCGGAAGCATATTTGATTCCGTAGAAGACTCCGTTGATATTCACGGCCGTCGTTCGATGGAAGAGATCCAGGGGAGTTTCCCAGATGGGTTTGGGGGCGCGGGATTCCATTGCGAAACCGGCGTTGTTGATCACTGTGAATCCAAACCATCAGCATCCAAAAACCCCTCCCTCCGGATGACTTGTTGCACGACGTACTGATATCCAAACGTCCCCATTCTCTCACAGCGCTTTGCACTGCATTTTCTACAGATTTGGAATCGGAAACATCGCAATGAACAAAGATTGCTTGGCCGCCCATGTCTTTTATACGTTGGTGTGTGGGACCGTTGAATTCGTCCTTGGGGGCGTCTTCTCGCCATGTTCCCTCGTTGATATCGGCGCAGACGAGTTTGGCTCCTTCGCGAGCGTACGCGAAAGCAGTCGCTCTTCCAATTCCAGATGAAGAGCCGGTTATGAGGGCGATACGGTCTTGAAGGCGGCCTGACATTTTGGCCAGGTAGCTGGGTATGTCTTGAAAGGGTGACTAGCGATAGAGAAAAGACGACGGGAAGAAAGAGAAGTGAGGTCTCCAGTGGACTTCTTAGCTTAGCTTACCACAGAAAGACTATATGAATTCCGAGGTTAGTGGTGGTGTATGTACGACCGAAACGATCCACCCGTCCATCATCCGCCCACCTCAAGAGAGCCCGATGGAATGGATCGACTGCGCTATATGCGTGGCTGACATGTGCGCGTTGAGTCGGGTGTTCGTCCTCGCTAACAATTCGATGGGGACTGTATGCGATCGCGCCGTGCGCATACAATCCGTTGTACTTTCGCAGGGCAATACCTAGCGGCAATCATGAGTCTTGGGGATTGTTCCGAGCGGGGTTGTCGAGGAAGAGCTTCCCCTTTCTGCGAGCTCCAAGTCGGGAGCTCTTGAAAGTCTTCAGATGCCTCGGGTTGCCCTATTTGCTGGCAGCCGAATACTTTTCGTGTTGGCGATGATGCTGTGACGCGGTGTCGTATAGTCGAATGGTGATAAACTTTCCGGGCCAATTCGCGGCAATGGGAGATCCCGGTTCGTTGCGCGCGCTATCATGTTCTTTCAATCTGCAGCATAAATCTTCTCGAGGCTCCATCAACAGCATCGGAGGGATAAGGAGCTGTAGACGGATGTTCCGTATCGTCCGGTATATCATACTTGCTCGTGGGGCATCTTCTATCCAATCCGACTCCCAACCATGCGTTTTTCTATCCACAACGCCGCGCTATGAGCGAGTAGTGTAAGCATCCATCTCCCCGAATCAACTGCTCTTTATCTTCTCGATGTTAGCCTCGGCGGTCTTCTGCTTCCTCACAGATTGCACCTCTTCCTTCTCTTCTGCCAGTTCTTCCTTGGACTTGATCGCAACCTCAACCTGCTCCACAGCTCTTTCGATTTCGATTTCCATCTCGGGCAGATGGAAACCCTCAGCAAGCAGCTTCCCGTTCCATCTTTGTAGCAGCATGACTTCCTCTTGTCCGCCATTCGTTTGAGCATCTACCATCTTTGCGACCTGCTCGATCTCTTGCTGAGTGGGCCTTGAGGTATCCCTAGCCGCCTCTCGCGCAGGATGTAGCAGGCCCGCTGCATACATTTCGTCCATCTGTCGCGAAGCGGTGTTCTGGATGAGGTTGTGTTTCGTAAGGTGCTCGAGCAATCTGGAGCCGTAAAGGGCTTTATAGTGCGACCAGGCGCGAAAGACAAGGTAAAAGAATGGGAGATTGGGAATTCTGCGGAGAAGAGGTCAGACATGTAGTGCGCTCCAAAGCCAGGTGTTCTCACATAGGAACGAGCGTGAAGGGCAAAGTGACAGGCATCCAGGCTATACACTGCCACATCTTCTTGTTGTGGAGTCCTTGTCGCTCCGTTGCGAGCGCCTTGAGGATCTTGGAGACGTTTTGCTCTTTCAAAAATGCGCCAGGATATAGACACTCGAATTTCAGCCTGCCATTATCTATATCTTCTAGCCTCTTCTTGGTGGCCGGAGGAATGGATTTGAGGCCCCATTCCTCGTAAGGTATGCGCCTGAAGAGCTTGTTGCCGTAGACGGTGACAGCCTTCTGCCAACCCTTGTCCGCGTTTTCCCAGGTCGCCCATGTTTGCGAGGCTTTGTTGATGATGCGTTCCTGGAGGGGTGGTTTCGCTCCTCCCTTGAGTTGTTCCTGGGCTCGCTCGCAGTAGATCAGCGTCCGACGCGTCGAGACGGGCAACAAGAAGAGGCGCATTGTCGATAGCGATGGTGATGGATGAATGATACAGAGTAGTGAAGGGGGAAATACGCGTCAAGAGGACATGATTATGGATGTTGTTGTGGCCCTGGACTGTCGGGTCGCTGTCATCTTCACGGCTGCAGCGTTCGCCTAGCGATCCCGCACGTGAAAGGCGCACAGCGGGAATTTCTTGTCATGACGCCATTGTCGATCGACTGCCCAGCGGTTCGGCCCGCGGCCCGAACCGATCGTAAGTCACGTGTGAGTGAAAGGTCGGGTCGGTCGGCAGAGCTGCATCTCCAACTTAACCTCACGTCTGTCCAGTTGTTTGGGAATCAAGAATAATACATCTCGCAGCACGGCGTCTAGGTCGTCTCACAGCACGTCGTCATCCGTCACACGTTGGTCAACGAACGTGTCTGGTCGTTCACAGGTTCAGGAAGCGCTGTTCATAAATTGTTTGGACCCGCCCGGTACGAGTGCGCCAGACTGCATGCAGGTCGTCTGGCCCCATCCAATGGGGAACGCGTGTATTGCAGGAACGGTGCAGGAACGGTACAGGAAACGGGTTTCAAAATAGGACCTCCCTGCGGGCGATTCTTCTGATATCTCTCGCCTGATGATGACGGCCGACAGGTGAGTCTGCGAGGCACCACTCACCGCCGCGACAATTCATGAGATGTGAAGTGTGAGGTGTGAGATGAGGTGGGAGGTGGGCTCGGCTACGCCACTTCATATATTCCACACCTCCTAATGCCGCGTTTGCCATCCTCCACTACTTCTTCCTCCTTCCTTCACGCCCGTCCTCTACCTCTTGCCTCCTTCACAACACCTCTTCCACCGCCGCGCGTCGGCTCGCAACAATCATCAACACGATCTTAATCATGCGCTTCTCAACTGTTGCAGGTCTGGCATCCGCCACTCTCGTTGCTGCTCAAGCCCCCAGCATTACCCAGTACACATCTCACGACATCCACAATGGCCAAGCTTTTCAAAACGTTTCCGACATTGCCGACGAGGCCATGAGATCCAACATCGCCTCCCGAGGCAACGTCCAATGCACATACGAGAATGCCGACGTACGGAGAGAATGGCGAACTCTGTCCCAGCATACCCGCAAGAGCTTCACAGACGCCGTCCTCTGTCTCCAACAAAAGGCCCCAGAAAAGATGACTGCCGCCGAAGCGCCCTACTACCCCGGAGTCAAGACTCGCTGGGACGAGTACGTCGCAACCCACATCAATTACACCCTGAACATTCACGACACTGCCGACTTTCTCGCATGGCACCGCGCTTTTACGCATTACCTGGAACAGGATCTCAAGAATCTCTGCGGCTACACCGGCGTCATGCCGTACTGGAATTGGGCTCTGGACTATGCATCGCCGCAAGACAGCCCCCTCTTCAACGGCGACGAGTACAGCATGAGCGGAAACGGCGAATCCATCTCCGGCCGCTCCGACACCTGGCTCGCCCAGCAAGAGGTCGACTTCCCTCCCGGCACAGGAGGCGGCTGCGTGACCTCCGGCCCCTTCAAAGACTACACCGTCAACCTCGGCCCCCTCGACCTGCCCAACGCCAACAACGTCAATTCCACCTTCGAATACAACCCCCGCTGTCTCGAACGCGACCTCAACCCTTGGGTCTCCACCAACTACAACACCTACCGCAACCTCACCGACCTCCTGCTCGAAAACACCCACATTGAAGATTTCCAGGCCATCATGCAAGGCTACAACAGCGATACCAACCGCTTCGGCGTCCACGGCGGCGGACACTGGCAGGTCGGAGGCAGCATGATGGACTTCCATTCCTCCCCGGCGGACCCCGTGTTCTTCTTACACCATGCCATGATCGATCGGGTCTGGACGATCTGGCAGAATCTCGACATCTACCGACGACAGAATACCCTCATGGGCACCGCGACGCTGGGATGTGATGTTCCCGATTGTCCCGCCATGACGCTTGAAGACAGTTTGCCTTTTGGTTTCGTCACTGATGATCCGGTAAGACAATCGATCCACACACACTCTCTCCCTCTCTCTCTCCCCTAACCATTACTTAAAAATAATCTAGCGGAATACTAATGCCGTGACGAACAGGTCTTTGGAGATCTAATGGATACTTTCAGCGGGCCTTTCTGCTACCGCTACGATTCCGCCACCTCATAGTGTGAGTAAATGGCAAGGAAATGGTCGATGGATGTAAATGTTTTGTAGATGCATGCATGGAATGGAACGTGGACTACGGCGGAAAGAGATCTGCCGAATCGAAGACGACAGTCGTAGACTTCTCCCACGACAGCGGGATGGATCGGGATGGCAGCAAAAGATCATAGAGCTAGACCGAAGAGCGAAGACTGATAGAGCTCACTGGATCAACGAAGAAGATAATCGATAATGTAAACAAGTTTTGAAACACGTTTACCGCGATGCTGTCATTTCGTTCGAAACATAAAATAAATCTGGGCTCCTATGCCTGATGGCTCTCTCAAGAGTAATCGAACCTATCCGGCAACATGACCGGCGCCGCCAAGGTCCATCCAAAGATTCCATAGCACACCCATGCGCTGACAATCTTAACCCAGCTGGCCCAGTACGTCCTTCCCACGGGCACGAAATCGCCCTGTTCGATATCCCGATCACCACCGATGTTCTGCGTGAGCAAGGTCGCAACCCAAGCCGTGGCGAGCATGAAGATGATGTGGAAGAGGGAGTAGTTGTATTGCGTCCTCTGCTTCTCATCATCGTTCTTGTGCTTGGCCTGGTCTTCTTCGTCTTCATCGTCACTTTCGTCGAGAGCGGAGGCTGGGAGCGCACCGGACTCCACTGCGCGGCGGAGAGCTTCTTGGCGCATGGCCCGGCGACTTTCGGGTTGGGTGTCGACCAGATCGTGGCCGGGTTCGTCGTCGAGAGCGACGGAGCTGTAGCCTGGCTTGCCGCTTCCCATGGCCAGACCGAGGGTAGCAGCTCGAGTGGTGGTGTAGGCACAGGTGACAAATGTGACGACGGCGCCGATGACAATGCTAGCGGTTCGTGTTCCAGTCGCTCGGACCAGAGGATTGCAGGATCTGTCGTCTGGCTCCATGGCTACTGCGCTCATGGTCAAGTATGTGCAGTAAACCGAGACAATGGCTGCCTGAGCAAGACCTGCCCGCGGGTTGACGGACTGAATGCTCGGGTGGATCGACATGACGCTGATGGCGATGAGGAAGATCAGGTTGAGCGTGATGGCGGCTTGGTTCATCGAGCATCCACTTCCGGCGAAGAAGACGTACATGACGATCACCATGGCAAAGCTTCCCAGGTACATGCCCAACGTTGATCCTATCAAGACGCCCCTCCAGACTCCCGAATCGGTATCCTCAATCTTCTCGATACAGTATTCCGCAAAGGTATGCGCCAGATCAACCAGCAGGACCAGACCCAGCAGCAGGAACAAAACGGCGCCCACCAGGGCGACATAGTTGCCCCAGACCTCGAAAAAGGTATTGGGGATCAAGAAGCTGAGCACGATCAAGCCCAGCCAAACGACAATCTTGGGACCCCAGAATCCATTCTGAAGGGGCGCACGTCCGTCTTTTGAACTGTTCACTCCCAGCAACACCACAGCCAGCACCATGTGGAACAACCCCAGCGCGAAGTTGACTCTGTGCACCGCGGCGAAACCGAAGCATTCGTGCCCCGCGCAGTCGATTGTAACGTAGTCGAGCAGGACGCCTTGGAGTTTCTTGACGGCCCACGGTGTGAGCATGAGCCAGGAGAGGAGAGAGTTGATGAGGAGGATGAAGGCGTAGGCGATACGGGTAGCGATGCTGTTGTTGCATTTCCCGCAGGCGGAACAGACGGCGCTGCAGGTTGCGGCGCCGCAGCACGAGGCGGCGAAGGTCATGAGCTGGGAGGAGGGTCAGTTTGCGCCGGAGAGGGTGGTGGTGGTGGTGGTGGTGGTGTGGCGAGGCGTACAGTTCCCACACTGGGGACTGCCAAGAGCGGCAGAGAGAGTAATGCGCCCATCGTTGCGGTTCGTTGCGATGAGGACGAGGCGTGATGATGTTCGATGTCAGTGTCAGTGTCAGTGTTACTGGCGCCTGCGATGGACCACGACTCGGCGGCGCTTCGGGTCGATCCGAGCCCGTGACGGGCCTTTGACGTAACACGGAAATGCCAAGCACAGCTACGGGAAGAAGGGGTGCCTCAGGCATGCGTGACAGACAACGGACGATGTCGCTGCCCAGATCGGATCAATACTACACTCCCCGCAGCGGAACGAGGACTCGACTCGATACTGTACAATATGTCCTGTACAACATGCCTCCGCTTCTCTCGCTCGGATCCTCACAACGGCTTGTCTCTGGCATTCTCACGGCCATGCTCGCCTTCATCCTCCTAGCGTACACCTACTATGCCGTTGGTGTTGACGGAGGGACCGGCTTCACCACCACCGGCTACTCAAGCGAGTCGGGACTCCCACGAGCGTCATATCACCACGGTGCTGGCGTTTTGCGCTATGTCAATCCAAGAATCGGGACATACGGCATCACGCCAAACGGCAATGGCGGCATGATTCCATCAGTCAGTCCGCCCTTTGGCATGACGAGGTGGACGCCACAAACGAGAGAAGTAAGTCGATTGCGTGTCATCGAGATGTCGGTGAGTTGAGTTGCTCATCGGAATCAGAACTTCATCTCTCAATGTCCGTACAATGAACTCGACACCCACATTCACGGCTTCCAAGCGACCCATCAGCCCGCCATATGGATGGGCGAGAGCGGCCAGGTGGTACTCACGCCGGGAGTGGGGGCAATCAGACCCTCTTTTGTGCAGAGGGCACATCGGTTTAACAAGCGAGATGAAGTCAGCACGCCTTACGTCTACCAGGTCACAGTGAATGCCGAGGCCGAGACAGCGAACGAGAATCTGACTGAAAGCATCTATTCGCCCGTACCTGGGGGCGCACAACCCGTTCCGGACGATGTGCGTGAAGGGGCCAATGGGCGAACAAGAAGGGATCTTCCAGTCTCGGAGGTAGGGCGGACGCAAGTGGAGGAGCCCCGCGAGACTCCAAGCTGGGACAGAGCGATAAGAACTGCAATGACAGCCAGCGCTCATGTCGGACACATGAGGTTTGACTTTCCGTCTGGACCTCCCGATGAAGAGCCATATGTGACCGTCCAAGCGACGAGGAAGAACTGGACTGGCTCCATTAATATCAACCCTACGATGCGAGAAATCTCGGGCACTAACAACCAACGCCAAGACTACCTTCTCGGGCCTCTGAAAGCACCTCAGTTCAACAGTCATTTCGTATCCCGCTTTTCCAGGCCATTCAGCTCATTCTCGGTCACTCTTGGCGGAGACCCGATCCCTGATGTACGAGCTGGATATGGCTCAGAGATCGGTGCTTACGTCAGGTTTGGAAAAGCAAGTCGGGTGGAAGTGCGTACTGGAGTGTCTTTTGTTAGCATTGAACAGGCGAGGAAGAATTTGGATCTTGAAGCACCGACTTCCTTGACGTTCGATGCGGCGGTGGACAATCTGAAAGCTGCTTGGCTTGAAAAGCTCCGACGGGTCACCATCGAAGGAGTCAACGATACAGACAGCGATCACGATCCACGCACAATCTGGTACACTGGGCTCTTCCATGCTCTGCAGTATCCATCAGACTTTTCTGAGCCTACCGGGAATGGCGACCTGCGGACATTCTACAGCGGATACACCGATCGTGTGTACGTGAGCAACGACTCCTACTACCAGTCATGGTCAATATGGGACACTTTTAGGGCGGAGCACAGCCTACTCACCCTTTTCGCACCAGAGCGGGTCAACTCCATGATGCGGTCACTTCTCTCGATCTACGATTGGGCCGGCAGACTACCAATGTGGGCCAACGTCGTTGAGACGAATATAATGATTGGCACCCACGTCGACGCCGTCCTCGCCAATGCGCTCACTCGGGGCTTCCGCGATTTCAACCTCTCCAAGGCTTGGGAAGCTGTCGAAAAGAACGCATTTGTTCCCCCTCTCAACGACACGACTTTGCTTTACTACGACCGCGAAGCTGAAACCCCGGATGAGGTGCGCGCTGGTCTTACGAGCTACATGTCGCATGGTTATGTTTCGAACGACGGCTGGTCTGAATCCGGCTCTCGAACTTTGGACTACGCTTTCGATGACCACGCAGCCGGCGTAGTCGCGACGTACGCTGGCAAAAACGAGACAGCAAACGCTCTGTACGATCGCAGCATGAACTATCACAACATATACAACCCTGGAACTACTTTCATGGAAGCCAAGAATCTTAACGGAACCTGGGCCGGTCGTGATCAAGGCTGGACAGAGGGAGATGACTGGATCTATACTTTCAACGTAATGCATGATCCGCTCGGCCTAGCGAAACTCATGGGCGGCAAAGAGAGGATGAAGGCAAAGCTCGATGAATATTTCCAAGGAGGACATAACGATCACTCCAATGAACCCTCACACCATGCACCGTACATGTATGCTGCAATTGGTTACCCAAACGACACACAGACTCTCGTCAGAGAGATCGCGTATCAGAATTACAATGCGACTCCTGCTGGACTCAGTGGAAACGAAGACTTGGGACAGATGAGCGCTTGGTATCTTTTCTCGTCTTTGGGGTTCTATCCGGTGAACCCGGCTTCAGACGAATATGTGGTTGGGTCGCCATTCTTCGAAGAAGTCACAATCAGACTTCCTGCTGGAGCTGCGACAGGTGGTGATGTCGATGCGGAGAAAGAGCACACACTGGTCATTACCGCGCCAGATGCACCGACGAAACCTTTTGTGAAGGATCTGAAGGTCGATGGTGTGTCTGTTGAAGGCAGACCGGTGCTGCGACATGAGCAGATTGTGACGGCGAGGAAGATTGAATTTGAGATGAGCGATACGCCGGCTAGCTGGGGAAGAGGTGGTGTGTGATACACTTACAAACGCGCTCAAATCGCCTACATTGTCAGCGATGCGTTTCACCATACAGTTGCTTTAAAGGCTACTGCAAGCTCTGGGTCACGATGTTCCTGGCCCGGCCTTGATTAAAATCGCGTCGACCACATGGGCATGCACCGGACCCGAATTCAGCTCTCCGGCCAGGTAGAACAGACTTCACTCTTGGGCATGGCCTTGGTCGCTCTCGGTTCTTCTGCTGCACCTGAACTATCAAATGGCGTACCAAATCGGGGTTGCCTCGACTTTTGCGGTCATCATTATTGCTCCCTTAGCTTGCCTCATGGGCCAGAACGTGGCGCAACAGCACGCGGAAATAACGTCGGAAAAGACTGGCAAGCCGTGTGTCGTCAGCAACATCGGACAGGTTCACGAGGTTGATGCATCGACAAAGCCAACTTAAAGAAGCACAGCAGAAATGTCCCGGGAAACACAGGTGCTGCAACACGCCCGTTAAGCAAGTGATCCGCTGCACGGTAGCTGTGCTCGACCTCCATGTGGCTCTCGTGAAGCTGGCGGTGATCTACAAGCTTAGACCACAAAGTGCTTGTGGTAGCAGTTGCTAGTGCGCAGAAGTCGGCAGTGCTGTCGATAGCGGGCATTAAATCGCCCCTAGACGGTCGTATACTTTTTTGACAACCTCCTTCTGCTGCAATGAGCCTGCGTGGATGTCAATTGAAGTCGGCTTCTGATCAGGCTGAGATGACCTGCGCGAGTTGCGGGAAGAAGGCAAACGATCTTGTGGCTTATTCGGGATACCGAAGCCTGGGGAAAGGTGTCTATGAGGCTGGCTGATGGAGATGCTCCAGACACCCACCCAGGTATGCGGCAGAATATTGATTTGTAGGGACAAGGAGAGACGTGGAAGGTGCACGGACTTGTGTGTCAGATGCAACCTGTTCAGCAGCTGACTAGTGGACGAATAAGTGATTTGTGTAAGACGAAAGGCGAGCTAGTCAATTAAGGATGCCTGAGGCATGAAGCTGCATCTCCAACTCTATTCCGGAATGTGACGTAAAGGCTCTCTCACTCTCGACCTCACCTTTTGAACAACACTTTCCGTTCCAAATCGCAAAAAGCAATAATCTGTAAATATTAAAAATCTCCAAGTCCCGCAGCTTGCCATCGAAAACCAGGTCATACATACATACATACCAATCGAAGAACAGCCAGCATGACATTCCAACAGGAACTATCCTCCTGGTTCTCGCCTCTGAAAGCATCCTCATCTCCACCACCCCCGATAGGCGCCCCAGCACCCAGCCCGCCCATCCTGGCGCTCGAGCCCGGCAAACGCACCATCATCGCCTTTCTGCGCCACTGCGGATGTCCCTTCGCGGAGAAGACGTTCCTTCGTATGCGCGAGGCGGCCAAGACGCATGGCGATGTGGAATTCCTCGCGGTGAGCCATTCGAGCCGGGAGGCGACGGAGAAGTGGCACAGGTCCTTGCCGCAGTTTGGGGCCGAGCCGGGGAATTTGCGGATGGTGGTGGATGATGGACGGGAGGCTTATGGCGCTTATGGTAAGTGATGATCCAGACGGAAAAGACCTTGAAAGCCAGGATCGGTCGTGGGATGCTGATGCTGATGCTGATGATGATGATGATGATGATGATGATGCTGATGATGGTGATGATGTCGCTTAGGCTTAGGAGCCAGTAGCTTCCTGCACGTCCTCGATCCGAGGGCTCTGTCGAACGCGTTTGGACTCGGGAAGGAGGGCATCAACGTCCGGCCGACGGAGAGCGGAAGTCGCTGGCAGACTTCGGGAACGTACGCGATTGGTGACGATGGCAGAGTGAAGTTTGGAGGACCCGCAGCGAGGTCGGACGACATGCCGGAATTTGAAGAATACGTGAAGAAGCTGGATGCTTAATTGCGTTTGGAGAAATCGAAGCACCGGGTATGGTTGTTGAGCTTCGCTGATGACATGTTTGATGAATGCGCTGATGAATCAGACCGTACCATCTCGCTTTCTCATCGATGCTCAGTATCGATTGCTCGAAGATCACTTCTTGTTTCTTGGCTTGTTTTCGACGCCACAATCCGTTGTGCACGCTGACCTTCCGTGGCGGACGCAGACGGTCGCTCCGTGCATTGTGAGCATCCCATAGTCTGATCAGCCCACCATAGCAAGGGAGCAGCTGCCAGCGCTCCATTACAGCAACCGCAACTCGACGGTCCTTCGACCTGCGCTTGTTTCCTGCTCGATGACGGCTGAGTATGCCCTTGACTATTGACTCGCCACATGGATGATCTGAGACGTCGTCTGCGAGCGAGCATGCAAACTTTCGTAACCTCATGAAGCAGCCCCTGATATTCGCCATCCGCTCGTAATTTGATCTGGATGTTGATCGGAGGCTGAAAGTCTCTACCGCTCCCGTCGTTGACGAACATGACGAGAACTTTCAACATCAGCGTTAAGATCCTGATCCTTCCGGGGTTTTGATTGATCCGAAGGGTAATGATTTCTGAAATTCTTGCCGTTCACGAGCCTTATTGGTTCTGGATAACAGCCGAATCACTCTAGCTCGAATGCTGTGAAGTGAATGGTTGCTAGGTGCCAAAACAAAGTATGGATAGTTTGCAACGGCTAATTGGGTTGGAACCGAGCCCGCATTTGCAATGTAATGGCACCCCTGAGCGAAAGGAGGCTCAGTGGGAGGAGCACACGTGCTTCAGTCGGCGGAAGACGAGGCTGGAGAGGAACGATTGTCCACGGCTGAGCTGGAGCATGCGCTGGAGGGCTGTTGTCCTCGATCTCCTGAGGACCAGAGGCAAGAGTTCTGCTCGAATACCACACACACCAGTTCCCGATGTCCCCGCGCAGTAAACCCTGCGTAGTACAACGCTGTCCCTGGATATGAAGCATCGTTACTTCTTCTTCTTCAAACCGGCAATGCGCAGCCGTATGATTGAAAGAGGATCCCCTCCATCAGATTCTGATCAAGAGCTTGTCAGCCTTTGCACAAATTGGAAAGGATGCTGGCTCGGGACTTACGCGCCATCTGCAATTTTTCGTGGGAGTAAATCTTGATCATCTCTTCTTTTACCTCCATGCCCGTCATATGTCCCGAGCCTGGTTCCTGTCGGGATCCAGTGCGGGCATAGCTAGCCGGGTTCGGATTGTAAGATTTGGCCGGGAATTCGTACGACTCCTCGTCCTCGGTGAGCTTGGAGTTGTGGTTGACAGCCGGGGCGGCATAGTAGGTGTGTGACTCTGCACCGGGCCTGGCCGAGGCCTATGGTAGACTGAGGCAAGGTCGGAATTGCTGATGTGGGTCTTGCTGCGCTGCGGAGGTGATGGGAAGGCAAGGCATATGAGTCGCTTTTCGTGCTGGGAATGAAACCTACCGTATATCCCAGAAAGACGGTGAATCTCGTCGAAGCCACTCCGAATGGCTGACGGATTTCAAGGAGCCGAGAAAGAGGAAGTCATCCAGGGCCGGGCCTCAGCCAGAATCACTCTCGTCCTTCCTGCAGCGACTGCTGCCTGCTCCACCTTCTCACCCCTGGGACCCAAATCTTCACTCTCCCTCCTCTTCTTCGCCGCATCTCCCCCATCGTCCCCCATGGCCCTTTCGGCCCTCCGGACAAACCTCGACATACTCTCGCAGAGCCTCTCGAGCACAAACTCCGCCTCGCCGATCCCCGCCATCATCGGGCTATCCTCTCCAATCCAATCCCATTCCACCATCCCCTCCCCCTCCTCTTCCTCTTCGTCTTCGCCATCCGCCTTCCCACCATCCTTCGCCGTGAAGCGTATTAACTGCGTAAATTCTACCCATTCCTCATAGCTGTACTTCTTCTTCGCGTTATCTTTGACGTCATTCGCCGTGCGCCGGATCACTTTCGTGAGTTTGCGGGCGAGGTCTTGGTAAGAGGGCTCTTCCTGGGCCAGCTCGTCGATGGTGGGCGGCTCGTTGCCTTCGTCCGGATCCGGGCCCAGGGGGAAGCCCGATTCCAGACGCTTCTCGTGCTCTTTGCGGTCTTTGCGCTGTTGGAGGTAACCGACGAGGGAAGGGAATTGGTTGAGGAATTGGCGATAGGCGCCCTTCTGGGGTAGCACGGTGAAGTCCGAAAGCCTGCTGGTTCCCGATTTGAACTTGTTGATGACCGTTTCGCCCAGATCTCCCACCAGGATTGTCATGGTAGGCACGGCGATCAGACTCCAGGAGACGAAGAAGGGCCGGCCGGCATTGCTCTTCGGGGCCAAGTCTCCGTATCCGATCGTGAGCAGCGAGACGTAGCAGAGATAGAGAGCTTGAAAGTAAGTCATGCCCTGCGTGTTCTTCTCACATTGCCAGAAGACCACGGCACCGACGGCCCAGAGGATGCCGAATGCCGTGACGGACAGACACAACGCATACCAGTTCTTGAAACGGCGAGTGTTGTTCTGGATGTTACGCATGGCATTGAACCGATCCCGCTCCTCTTTCAGCAAGATGAGCTTGGGCTTTCGACTGCCAGCTCGGCGTTGAGGATGCAAGACCATCGATCCAACCATCTGCAGCGTATTGACGGGTCCCGTCGTACGACGCCGCGTGTCCGGGCGATTCGCGACATCCGCATCGTCAGTAAACCCAATGATCCTCTTCTTGGATCGATCCACCGGATCGAATGGCGCCGAAATGACCGGCCGTTCGCCTCCGCTCAGAACTGCCTTGCGATGACGTTCCTCCAACTCCATCGAAGAAGTCACCGTCCTCCCCACGGTCCTCGCCCGGGACCTTTCCACGTGTCTCCGCACAATCTTCTCCGATCCCAGCTCCAGGGCGAATTTGGCGATGCTGGAGACCATCAATCCAAGCATGATGATGCCTCCCACGGAATACGGAAACACGATCCCTCTGCCCACGTTACTGGTAGGTGCCAGGTCGCCGAAGCCCACCGTCAGGATCGTCACGTCGCAGAAGTAGAGGGCGTCAACGTATGCCCAGCCTTCCTGTCCATCGCCGTAGGTCTGCTCGACTCGTGAAAAGACCGCGGCTCCTCCCGCCAGCCAGACGAAGAAGAGCATGGTCTGCAGAATCAAAGTCCTCTGCGATTCGGTCAGAGTGAAGTGCTGCGGGTAGTGGCCGAGAAAGTAGCCGAGCATGTTGACCATCAGCAGCATGGCACAGATCATGTACATGCACGCCGCAATGACAGCATACCAGAACCCTTGGGTGTAGGTCTGCTGGGGCCGCATCGGAGGGACGTAGATCTGCATGGACGCCATGATGCCAATCAGGATTCCCGTAGCCAGATACCAGCACAGAATGGTGACGGGCAACGCGATGATGTATCGGATCCGATTGGTAAAGTTGCAGAGCAGGAAGAAGTTCCCGATGAAGCCCACGATGAGGCTCACGACATTGAGCCAGTAACACCATCTCGGATCGGCAAAATCATGGCCCATCAATTGCGGTGCCAGTGCGTTGGTATCGCCATTCCAATCGCACGCCTTGGCCTCGGCGGATGAGGAGACGTCGGAGACGAGACACATCCTCCAACTGGTCACCAGCGCCGCAATGCTCAGCACATTCGCCAGAGGGCCGATGGTGGCAGCGAGCAGGGGGATCGCCGTGCTCGCGAACCACCAATCCTGCTCATCGTCATCGTCCCATTCCCGCAGGTGGAATCTCCCAAAATGTCTGCCCCCAGCATAGACATCGGTCGTCTGGCGCGGGAGGAGGACGATAGAAGATCTCCGACGGGAAGACGATGGCCGTCGCGAGGAGCGTCGCGGATGGTGATGGAAGAAGTCATGAGGATCGCGATGCTGGATTCCAAGCGGTCCGCTCTGCCAATCGCCATTCTCGTAGCCGTCCTTCCCGTGCCCCGCATTCGCCGTCGTGTCGTCAGCCGCCATATTCGTGACCAGATGGATGACACCGGTGTGATTGTCGGAGCCGATGCCACACGCGACGCATCCTCGTCAGGCAGGACGTCGATACCAACATATATCTATCTATCTCTATCTCATCAGCAAAAGCAAACCGCGGAGTAGTAATCAACAGGTACTTCCAGGTATGCACTGCACGCCACAGCCAGAGGAGCGGCGGCTTTCCATCGAATTGATTGGACGGCCTCAATTCAACGGCAGGCCTGTCCTGCACAACTTCTCACTCGGCCCTCCGCGGAAAAAGTGTCCCAATGCCTGCCTGCACTCTTCTCTCTTCATGCTGAAAATTCGTTTCTCCTCCAATACACTTTACTTTACGACGCGAACACGTTGGAGGACATGACATGACATGACTTGGGACCAAGGATACAAGCACGTGACTGGACATGTATTGCCTCGTCATAACACGTGAGGTGAGGTACACTGCACGAGCAGTCCGAGTCCAAGTGGTTGGTCACTACACATCGAATATTACATCCATCAACACTCGCGTCCGCCGCCACACTATCTCGGTCGGAAGTTTTTGCGCTGCAATCCGTCATCCACATACGGCATCCGATCCACCACATCGAGCGTTTGCGGCGCCAGCTCGGCGATCGTCTTCGCATCCCCCACCAGGCGATATTTCTCCCCCAGCTGCGCCTTCATCGAGTCCCCCATGGCCGCTTCCGCCCGCCGGAGCCACACCAATCCCGAGCTGAGATGCACCAACGTCCGGTACTGTGGCATCACTCGCTGAGGCGGCAGATATCGCGCCCGCATGTGCTGCAGCTTGTGCTGACGCGCCGACTTGCGCGGTTGTCCCCGGATCGTGAACCACCCCGGGAATTCTTGGATCAGGTACCGTTCCGTCAGCGTGAAGGCCAGCAGCACCAGCGGCGGTTTGGCATGGCACAGGGATTCGATGAGCCGGTTCCACGTGTAAATGTCAAGCGTATAGCCTTGATCGAGAATCTGCGACACCGTCTGGATCATGTCACCCGTGCGTTCCTCTCGTCCCAACGCTTTGAGATACTCATACAGTGGCCTCGAGAGAACATGCCGGAGGCCGGGAGCTGGAGGGCGAAGGGGAGAGCTGTTTTCGGGCGAAGGCACAGTTTCGTCTTCTCCAATACTTGTGTCATGCTCGGCAGGGGGACCGGTTTCAGCAACATCGCTGGTATTCGGCGAAGAAGCTTCGTCGTCACTCGCGGCAGAAAACCCAACTTCAGCCACATCGCTGGTGTCCGGCGGAGAAGCTTCGTTGTCTTCCGTGGTATCAGACCCGATCTGCTCAAGGGGCTGCAGGCCTGTCAGTCCAGGCACGGGGGTGAGAGGAGCGAATTCATCGGCTTGCTGCTTCGCCAGCTTCCACAGTGCTTCAACAATTTCATACTTCTTCCGATGGCAGAATGCACGCATGAGCGCCGTTAAGATCCGCATAGGTGGTGGATCCGGTGACTGTCTGGCCTCCGCTGTTGCTGCTTTGTACCGCCGGAACATCTCGATGACCGCCTCCAAGCAGCGTCGGCTGCCGTGCAGCAACATGGCGTGTTCGACGTACTCGCCAATGTCTCTACCGGTGGTCGACGGCTCGGTTCCATGAGAAGGCTGTTTCAGAGCGATCTCGCGGCCGTCTCGGTACCCAAGCGTGCTCTCCAGTTCCTTGATGACTACGTCCAGAGGCGCAGGGCGGATCTCCTCTTCAATAGGTCGTGCTATCCGTCTCTCCTTCTGTTCCTGCAGAGCACAGGCTCGGAGGTAGATTTTGCGGCTGGAAAGGGTGTCTCGGACATTGTTCTCTCGCATCTCCTTGTATATCCGCAGGGCATCTTGGTACGAGCGCTGGTTGACGAATCCCGCCATGATGACGGCGTAATGTATTGCAACTGGCGAGAGGTTGGCCTGGGGCATGACTCTGGTCATGATCTTGTAAGCAGCTTGAGTTTGATGGAGTAGCGTCAATGCTTGCATGAGCGCGCCATACGTGTACGCATCCATGTGTATCTTCTTCTCCTTCATCCAGGCGTATACCCGCATCGTTCCATCCACATCTCTGTTCAAGGCGTGTGCCAAGAGTAGAAAGTTGCAGGACATGGTGGGGGACCCTTCAACTTGTCTGTTCCTGAACTGCGTGATCGCGTCCTCGAGTACGTTCTGGGCTTGTTCCACATCGCCGCTTCGGATCAGGGCAAGCATGTGACTTCCAATGAGATGGAAATGCTTCTTTACGTTGCACAATCTATGATACTGTTCAATCACGCCCCTCACGCTTGCAACGTCACCTCGTCGAGCATGTATTGTCGCAATCGGATGGACAGAACTGATATCGGGAGTCATCTTCTCCGACAGTAGCTCATTGAATACCGCAAGCGCTTTATCGAGCTCGTTTGTGCGCTCATATGCATGTAGTAAAGTATTCCAGCACGGCAAGTCCAACCGATCTCCATGTTCGGAAGCCATGTCTCTCACCTTCTGGAAAGTCTTCTCAGCATTTGGAAGGTCCGCACGTCGAGCGTGAACATAGATGAGAGAGAAGAACGACTTTCGCTGTTCCTCGTACGGATACTGTTGTTGGAGACTTTCAAAGCACTCCTGCACACCCGAAGCGTCTCCAGAACCGGCAAAATAGCGAATTCGCTCGACGATGGCGGCCGCGCTGAGTCGACCGTGCCATTTCCTCCAATCAACCATGATTCGATTGGGGGTGATTGCGCGGAAGCCCTTTTCCTCAACCCTTCGGTCGAGATTGTGCCACATGACCTCTTTGAAAATTGGATAAAGAGTGGACTCCGGCAGTCGGGCGTTGGGAAGCATACGGTAACGTTGGTAGGCGAACGACACGCTGTGGAAGACGCGATCAAATTCACGCGTGATTTGGGTCTTGAAGACCCGACTAATGCCCTCCATTGTCGAGGCCAGATAGAGCTCCAGGGCCCTGAGTGCATTGGGACTGAATCTTTCAACGTAGTTGATCAAGTAAAATATGTCGTCACCCCGGCCCGACCGGTGATGTTCCAGGGCCGCCCGGTGTATGGCTTCTTCTGCGATCCTGGCAACCAAATGAGTGTAACCGACCTTCTCTTCTTCGTTAATCTCGGGGCGCTCATATTTCATCCTCACGATTTTCCTGGCCAGGGCGGAAGCAACAGGTATCAAGTCTGGCATCTCTGCAATGCCCAGCCAGAAGAGGGCTCCTTGGTTGGATTGTGCGGGGAAACGAGGGTCTGCGTAATGCTGGTCGTGCGCTTTCTTGACTGACACCGCAGCGTCCAAAAGCTGGTACTTCATGGCGTACCTGAATAGTTCCAAGGTGATCTGTGAGCCATTTGCAATAGTCTTCAGAGCCTCCTTTTGCAAACCCAGCGCACTTTCCATATCATCACGGCGCAGGAAGGCGGCGAGAGCCGCCTGGTACGTGGACAAAGACCGTTCGTCCGTCGGTAGCGCCCAGTAAAGTGAGATGCAGTGCGCGTCCGCAACTTCCGTATGCTGCGCAACAAGCCAGGCAATAAATTCGTTTTTGAGGCGAGTGTCTGCCTTGTCATCCTCTTGCAGACGGGAGAAGAGGGCCCAAGCGCGCGATACTCTGCTCTGTCTTTGGGACTGCTCTTCCGGCACCTTCGATTCTTTCAGAAGGTTTCTCAGCACGCGAAGTGATGTTACAGAATCCGAATGATCCGAAGAGTAATTTTCAAGCTCAGCGAGATCGGCTGGAGAATCCGCAAAAGCATCCCGTTTCACCTCTTCATCTTGGTGGTCGACCACGTCTTTTAGAGAGTCTGTTGCCGTGCCCGCCTGCGATTTCGAACTTCCTTCCACCGGGTTGATGAGCATATCCCCGACGGCACTTCCAAACCGCACACCCTCTTTTGCCGATTGCTGTCTGGCACGCGCCCCTTCCTGTCTGTCTCGTTCGATGTGGTCCGATAGGGCATCTTTCTCCGGCGGCGCAAGGCGGCCCGATTGCGCACTTGATCTGGACGAATATCTCCTCGACGCCTGAATGGATCCGTCCGGCAACCTCTGTGCGTTCCGAATCTCCGAACGCTCCCGTTGCTTGCAACTTGTCTTGTGCAGCCAGGCTAAAGCATTGGGAGGGTAGAGGAAGTCGAGGAGAGGCGCAGCGTGAGAAGGTGCATCTCGCCCACTGCTGGAGCTTTGTCTTTGCTGATGGTTGAGATGACCATCGCTCTTCAACGGCAGATCGGTGGGCATGGGCAGCAAGGAGACTGCCCAAGGTGGGAGGTCGAGGTCGCCAGCGCCATGATTCCAGAAGGCGCTGTGGAGCAGACGCCTGCTGCGCGGAGCGCGAACCCGATGGATACGTTGCAGAGAGTCGCAAGCTCCGGCTTTCAGAGACGCAGTGGCGCGCTCTAGCATGCCACAGCCCAAGGAAAACAAGGCTCTAGTAGGTCGATGGCGGCGTGTGGTTCATTCCCAAGGATCTCGTGATGTGTTGTCGCCAGCAGAGAGATGTAGAGGGAGTGGGTTCGTATGTGACGCGGAGGAGACTCGGATGGATGGTAGGCGATGTGGACAGAAGTGAGGGAGGATGGGAAGTGTTGGGAGAGGAGGCGAGATGGGCGTCGATACATTTGCAATTGGTCGAGGTTCTGTTTCTCGTGGAGAAAACATGTAGAGCAGACGGGACGAATCGATGACATGGAGAATTCGCTAGTCTAGTCACGTGCCCACTTCCTGCGAAGTCGCCGCCGCGCTTCTTCTAACCCTTTCAAGTTCCTCCTCGCCCTGGACACAAACCGCCTCCACACACCAGATAAGGTATGCTACAGCAGGTATATGCCACAGCCGATATGCTGTGCAAGTCGGAAACTTCAATCTCTACTACGCCCGTCATGTCCCTCCTCCAAACACGTCAACTTCGTCGGCGCTACGTCTTCAGAGCCCTCACTCCAGGTAGGTACTCTGAATCCAACAAAATCGACGGAGTAGACGCGCGATGCTCCGCGGATCACAGCAGAGTGAGTTGGAACATCTCGAACTGAGATTAAGAGAACGCGAGGTAAGGAATTCGAATCAAGGCAGCGGCTCTCGAGATTTATGTTCATCTGCATTCGCTTCTTTACCAGGAACGTCGCCGCGTCAAGATCCGGGTCACGACCTTCTCAAGGCGACGTTCGTCCCGTTGGTGTGGATGTGAAAGTGCTCTACAATGCTCAACAGTAGTGCGACCATGTCCTGTCTGCAGCAGATAGCAAGACATCGTGGCGGTCACATGCTTGGCGGTGTCTACAGACGCGGCCGCAGATAGGTGAGGTGAGGGGAGTTCGCTGCAGGTACGAATGGCTGTGCTCGCTCCATCAGGCGCAACGTACCTTATCTTCTCTTAGCCATAACATCCTATTCTGCCATGCTTTGCGCACAGCATCGAAGACAAGTGGATGGCGCGAACTTCAGTCGACTTCATGCTGTACTGCGACTGCGAACACCTCTACATCGAGATCTGACTCAGCGTATAGGGGAGCCGCCATGCTCTTTTTCCACGCAGCAGAGTCGACAGGATCGTTTAGCTGTTTATTCCTTCGACGATTTGGGTGAATGGTTTGAAGAGCCCGACGCCTCGCCACAAACACGAGAATTCTGCATGGCCCTCCACTGCTTATCAATCAGTCGCAGTTATGCCCTTGCATCCGATCATGGCCTTTCCGTCGTTATGCAAATCAGTCAGATGCGTTGAATGGAAAGCTTGGCCTCAACGCAGACGGGGAAACGCGGCCGCGTCTTGACGTCGACTGATGGCTCGACATTTGTTGCCATCGCCTCCTTACTTCAGGTCAGCGGTCAAGCCATGACACGTGTTGATGATATGTTGCTTACCGGCAAGTTTTCCCCGAGTCTCCAGCCCACGATGCTCTGTAATCCCGCGAGGTTTGCAGAACGAATGGAATCCTCTGGGCGCCGGAGATTCTACGGCAAGAATCTAACCGTCGCAACCCGCATTCCTGGCACGGAGCCAGCGGATCCTCTGTATCCAATGCTGCGTAGGATGGAACTACCCGTTGTGGGTCCGTTGTCGTGTGCTCGTTAAAAGGCTCGCTGGGCTGCGCCATCTCAACTTGCCCTCACTAGAAGTCGAGATTGTTCATCACAGCATTGCTTTTCCAGCATTCTTGAAAGCGGCTCTTCACACGGCACAATGACGGACTACAAGTTCCAGGGATGGATGGGCCTCGACAAGGACTCCGCCGAGGGCAAGATGGTCTGGCAGGAGTTTCCAAACGTCAAGCCATTCGAAGAGACCGACGTCGACATCCAGATCACCCACTGCGGTATCTGTGGTTCTGACCTGCACACGCTACGATCCGGGTGGTGTACGGAAAGCTGGCACCCCGAGAGCTTGAATATCGCTGACATTGTCTGACTGAAGTCCCTACTCCCTATCCTTGTTGTGTAGGCCATGAGATCGTTGGCAAGGCGGTGCGTGTGGGTTCCAAGGTCGAGAAGGGCATCAAAGTTGGAGACCGCGTCGGCGTTGGCGCTCAGGCCGCTTCGTGCTTGAAGCCAGACTGCGAGGAGTGTGCTGCTGGTATTGAGAATCACTGCCAAGGCACGGTCGGCACGTACGGCTCCAAGTTTCCAGATGGCTCCGACTCCTACGGTGGATATGCGGATTACCACCGCTGCCACTCGCATTTCGTGGTCAAGATTCCAGACGAGATCCCGAGCGAGGAGGCAGCACCAATGCTCTGCGGCGGCATCACAGTCTACTCTCCTCTGAAGCTGAACGGCTGTGGTCCTGGCAAGAAGGTCGGCATTATCGGCATTGGTGAGTTCTTAAGATCGCCGTAGCATGCATGAGAGGCTGACTTGGGTGTCTCAGGCGGTCTGGGTCATTTCGGCGTTCTCTTCGCGAGAGCCCTCGGTGCTGACAAGGTTGTCGCGATCAGCCGCAAGAACAATAAACGCGAGGATGCTCTTAAGCTTGGAGCAGATGAGTACATTTCGACCGACGACGACAAGGACTGGGCTGCGAAGAACTCCCGCAGTCTCGACCTCATCGTATGCACCGTGTCATCCGACAAGATGCCTCTCTCCGACTACTTGGCTCTTCTCAAGGTCCACGGAACTTTCATTCAGGTTGGCGCTCCAGAGGACAAATTGCCAGACTTGACTGCTTTCGCTCTCGTCATGAAGGGCGTCAAGATTGGTGGCTCCTTAATCGGTGCGCCGGGGCAGATTGAGGAGATGCTGCAGCTCGTTGCGGAGAAGAAGATCAAGCCCTGGATTAACACTCGGCCATTGAAAGACGCAAACCAAGCCATTCTGGATTTCGAGGCCGGTAAGCCAAGATATAGAATCACGCTGGTCAACGAGAAGCACCTGTAAAGAACGAGCTGTTTTTGGCTGTGGACAGTGCGGTTTAGCGCAGGCGTAAGGTAGTGGAGAGATAGATGACTGAGAACGAACCCGAACTAGATGTCAACCTTGGGATCCATCAAGGTGTCCCATTTCGTGCGATGGCTTCATCAACCGAAACCTGGCACATTGCCCTGCTCACAACGATTGTCAGTACTAATACCCTCGTCAGTTGATCTAGATACCCACTTGGTGATTTATTTGGTCATTCGCTAGCATCGTGCTCAGTGCTATTTCCAAAATGTCGAGGAGGCGCTTTGGTACTGCACTATTACAGGATCAAAGTTGAAGTAGAGGTAGTCTGCGGAGAGAAGGCAGCGTCAGGGGGATTCGACCCTATTCGAGAGCACCAAGTAATGTCCTTTGGAATATTGGCATGCTACCGGTGTAGACATACTGGATGTACCTTACCCGCTATCGCTCACCTCCAATCAAGGACTTGCATCAAGTCTTGAATCTGCCTAGTTAGGCATTGCGTGTGGCCTCTATTGCCGGTCCCTAATGCCCGCCAAGTATATATGCCAGCCGATGCAGGGTCTTTGATGTTGGTCGACATGTTTCTCGTACGCTGGTGACGGGGGGCATCGCCGCGCGGATATACGGATTGCGGTTGCCGCTGCGGGACTACCCGGAGCGAATCTTGATCTCCACGTCCGCCTTGAGTGCTTCCTGGAAATAACAACAACCATTAAAATCATCAACTTCTTCCTCACGAGCAGCGCAAGCCGAGAAATCTCAATAACATCAGCTTGCATGTCAGTTGAAGACTGGATCTATAACCATAATGCTGATCAGCTTGCCGAGGAATAGTCTCGAATCATTTGGAAATGCTACTCGAGCAGCGCAGTGCTGGCGTGAGAATTCGTGCCTTACTGCTAACCCTGGCGGAGCACACCGTGCACGGATCGAATATCACATGGCTAGCGCAACAATCTCCAAGTTATCCGAGTTCAACCTCGCCTAGTTTACACAATGTAGCACCACATCAGAAATCACTAAATCGTACATTATCGATAGAACAATTGCTAATTGTGGCGCCGTCTACCAGGGACACTCACTTTGACGGAATTTGGAGTGGCAATGCAACAAGTGCTTGCCATGTCAAGCAAGTCTTCCCTGCCGCAGTGAGCAGTACCCTCACTGTGTGGAATAGGTGCTCGTGTTTGAAGGATATAGAAGGTCAGTAAGCAGTCCTGATTGCACAATCTGAAAACTCGCAGAAATCTTCGTAATGCCAGAGGCTTAGGTGCCCTCTCTCATCATGGTGGCCAATACCCAACCGTCGACATGTGTCCTCGCTTTCCCTCAGGTCACGTTTGCTCGCGAACAATATTCTCAGGCGGAGCCCAGGGCAGATGCGTGCAATGAGTGCAGTCCGCAGGGTAACACGGCAGTCTCGCGGTCATAGCTACATCGATATCAGCTCTGACCCCATCATAGCCATCATAATGTTGAAGCATACCTCTACAGCACTCCAAGTAGTCGTAAAGGGAAGCAATACCCATTATTGTGTCATTGCTGGCGCACTGCACAAGTGCCGTCCGATGGGATATCAGTGGGCCCAGACATGCGTACCCGTTACATTCAGTCCAATGTGAGCATTGTTGATGTGATTTCGATTTGTGATCTGCAAAACCACTCACGATGGTCATGCTGTAGTCCTCGCATGTTCCCAAATTGATTGGAACGGAGTCATGGGCATGCATGAGTCCAAGAAGCAAAATGGTGGCAAGGATCGAGATGGAAGCTTTGCAACATGTCATGCAACTGGAGGATTGGATTGAAGAATTCGTTATGCGTTGTCTCGGCCATCAGGCACAGGTCTCCGTTGGAGCAAGTCTAATGGAGAACGCGTAGAGGAGTTTCGGCTAGCGTTGGACGAGCTAGTGAGAGAGATGGGCGCTGAGAATGAAAGTCCAGAGGAGGAACTGTGAAGTGCTTTCTTTGTCTTCAGGGAAGCCGTTCTGCGGATGGGAGAAGTGGAAGCGATAATCGCTCGCTCTTCCCTCACCAGAGGCCAGAATTACCTGAGGTAGCCACAGTCGATGCGTGGCAATGGCAACACACTTTGATGCAGCTCGTCTCTAATAAGTAGAGGGCATTTGAGCCAACCTCCCGCCATCCGTAACCATCGTCTCTCCGTTCAAGTAAGCCCCCGCCCGACTCGCCATGAAAAGCACCAAACCCGCAAAATCCTGCTCACTCCCCGTCCTCTCCGCCGGAGAATTCTCCTGGGCCATGATGTGCGCATCCGCAAACGCACCAGGATGATTCTCCAAACCATTGAACTTTCCGAGTGAGGAAGTGGTGTTGGCAGTCATTTCGGAGGGATACAGACCTGCAGAGATCCAGCATTAACATCGGCAACACGAAAGGGCAATTCGTTTCCTCAGACTTACCCGGATTAACAACGTTGCACCGTATATGCAATCCCTGTTGCGAAAAATTTGTAGCCAGCATCTTGACCAAGTGATTCACCGCCGCCTTGGAAGTACTGTAGGCAAAACTGCTTGCCAAGTGCCTACTGAATCCAGCGATTGAAGAGGTCACCAGGATCTGACTGTCCTGAGCCACGTTCCGCTTCTTGTTTCCGGCATCGAGCAGATCCAGGAAAGCGATAGCCGTGTAGTAGACTCCCGTACAATTGATATGTAGAGTCTTGGTATAGTCTTCTGGTTCAGACTTCCAGAGCGCGGCTTGGTATTCCTTAACATCGATCTTCTCCTTGGAACCCTTAGCTTCCTTGAGAGCAGAAGAATCCCCTGGCCCCATGATTCCGGCATTGGCGAACAGGAAATTGATGAAGCCTTGTTCTTGCTTCACTATGTCCACAACTTGCTGGAGGGATTTCTTATCCGTCACATCCCCGACTATGGGTATGATGGTTCCGTTCACTCCGGTCTTGGCAGCATCTTGTAGGGTTTTTTCTCGACGCCCAACGATATAAACGGCCTTCGCTCCATTGGCGTCCAGTGCGCGAGCAGCGTAGAGTCCCAGTCCAGAGCCGCCACCTGTGACGACAGCCACAAGGCCTTTGACACTGAAGAGGTCGTTGATCTTGTTCGACGCCATAGTATACTCTATTGTGTATGTTGTACGACCGTGGTATGTACCTATATCTCGTAAAGTGGGTGAAGGAAGTACGTCAAAGAAGTTGAGAGGGTGGGTGAAGATGCAGACGAAACGCTGGTGACATCACGTCAAGTCGGCTGGCACCGCAACAATGGCATCATTTCCATCCAGCTGCCTCGAAGATAACTTTCGCATGTCCAAGAGAGCAAGAAGCTGTGTACTGATCTTATTCTCGTCCGTAAACAGCTTTACGACTCGCTTAGTTGCTACAGGGTAGACACGCCACAACCAAAGTATTGCCAGGTTACCTTCCCACTATCCACGTAGTCAATCTTAGACTCTTATTCATTCTTGGCATGAAACCAATACACTCAACCTCTCTCTCTCTCTCTCTCTCTCTCTCTCTCTCTCTCTCTCCCTCTCTCTCTCTCTCTCTCTCAACATCTCTCTTTATTGGTGCAGCGGCATATGACCTCCTTTATGCTGCCCGCGTCTCCTTGCCAATGCAGCCCATCCACTGCATCGTGATCGTGCGCTCGGTCGTTTCAGCATATTTCGTATCCTCTAGCCTTTTACTGTGCCTTCTTGGGAGGGGTGGACTGAGGGGCGTTTCCTCCCTGGACGTAGCGGTTGATATCGGTCTGGTCGTGAACCTGCTTCGCGATGTTCTTGGTGGTTTCCCAGGCCTGGCGAGCGGCAGGTGGGACGTCCTGGCGCTGGGTGAGAGCATCACCACGGGCACCGAGCTGCTTAAGCATTCCTTGAACAAAGGTGCTCTGGCTAATACGCGCACGCAAGAAGACGGTGTAGACGAGGAAGATGATCCAGCTGCCCTTGACGAAGATGATGGCGGATCCGAGGATGCGGAACCACAGCGCGAGCTCGAGGCCAGCAACGAGCGACATGCTATCATCATAGTAGTCCTTGACGAAGTGTCCAATGTTGTCGGCGAGCGCGGAGCTCTTTGGCTTCTCACCTGCTGGCGTAGCTGGTGGTGGCTGGATGGTTGGGAGGAGGATGCCGCGGGTGTAGGTCAGGACGTGGAAGACGCTGTAGATGGCGTAGGGGAGCATAGCGAGCGGGTACTGGCGGGAGAAGAGCCACAGGAGGGCCATTGCTGTAGAAATCAAGCGTGAGCGAGCTGTTATAAGCCAACGTGTGCGAGGCATAGCTTACCCAGGTACTGCACATTCTCGTCACCGACGAGCGCCAAGGGGCTGCTGGGCTGCTTGCCGCTCTTTGCGCGCGCGCGGTATCCCTTAAAGACGACGATTCCGTAGGTGGCAGCGGCGGCAATGAAGGCGGTGCGGTAGGAGAACTGGGCCCAGCGACTGTAGTACTTGAACATGATGTAGCTGAGGCCGTACCTAAGCGTGCACAGCAGCAGCGTGACATGGCCGACGAACCAGGCGAACTGGAGCGTCTGGGCGAGCTTCAGCACGCGGCTCTGGAGCGACTCGCCTTGCGTCGGCGGTGGTGGTGCCATTGTTGAAGTGTCGGTATTGGAGATGTAGGTGTTCTGTTCGGCTGCTGGCTCTTATCGCTTCTGTGCACGTGTGTGACGCGGTAGGGTAAGGATTCGGGGATGATGCTAAGGCGCAAGTACTGTTAATTTCAAGGAATCCCAGAGCATGCGATCCAAGCAGCAGGACGGTGCGGTTGGCAGTGGCAGGGCGGAGGTGTTTGGTGTTTGGCGGACGATGCAGGAGGAACGTCGCTTCTGGCGAGTTTCAAATGGGGGAAGCCTCATCGTGGACCCACCTCTCCGATGACGTTTGTGCACCGTCCACCTCCAGCTCTCTTGGCTCTTGCAACCTGCTTTGGACAGATTCGTTCACCATCCATGTATATTTCCCACCACGGCTCGTGACTGCGTCATCTGCGCGGAACAAGCAGTTGAAGTTGTGAAAAGGAATTCTGCATTGAGCAACGGAAATGCACTCTGCCTGTTGCAAGCGGTCCAACCAAGGGCAGAAGTGGGTTTTTATAAGGAATGCCAGACCGATCTGATTCTTCAGCCCAAGGGATTGCATTGCAATGCTAATGTGACTTGAGAGCGAAACGACAGAGCGCCGAAGCCAATGAGGATGGTAGCGTTGGCCATCGCAATGTCCAATTCCCTGCCATCAGGCTGTCATCTAGAACGGAGACAGGCGCACTTCTACCGAGAACAAGGTATTTCAAGACGCCCAATCCAACATACCAGACAAGAATGCGTGTTGAGCATCCCAATACATCTACTTGCGTTGCCGGTCCTGATGTCGCAGCCACCGGGTGAGCCCGAGTATGGCCACTCCACATGCCATCTACCGCTTCGCAAAAGGCTCCAATGATTCAGTACGCCGGTAACGGCCTCGAGTAACGCACGTCTAGCAGTTGCAGCATTTTCCGTATCCTCGATTTTCTAAGCTCGGCATCAGAGAAAGAGACGACTGCATTCCCTCTCGCTTCCCATGCGCCGACCCGGGACACGTTTGTGCATTCATCGTATCTAGATGTGCACTCATCGTATCTAGATGTGCACTCATCGTATCTAGATGTGCATTCATCGTATCTAGACAGAGCAAACTGTTCAATCGTCTGCAAGCAACCACATCATGCCATACCCTAGGCCTGCAATTGGATAGGATTTGGTTCCTGCATTTCCGTTTGACCAGGTCGCCTTGCCAATCAGAAGGAGTCGAGTGTCGGACTTGGCGGTCCTCTGCTACGCGTCGCGAGTTTGAACTGCCAGTGTTATCCTAGAAGCAAGAAGTGAAGTGAGCCACAAGAACACCGGCTTGTGAGCACGTGAAGATGAAGCTAGGCCCTAGGTAGAAAGGAGGCTCGTGCCCGCATGAATAAGCTTTCGGCGAGCTTCCGTCATCCCAAATTTTGTGACGATTTTCCGTTCTTCTAGTGAACTTGACATTGCTACCATGTGACGAGAATTTCACCTCCGCTTCACTGCAGCTCTCACTCTGGTGATGCCTCGCTAGAGGTCATCTACCGCTACCACAAACACCAAACAGCCTCCACACCACGTACCACCCCATCCGCCGACTGCCTCCGGAACCGACGCGAGCAAAATGCGGCAGACGTGCATCTTCTCCGGGTCCTCGCACCCGTTTCTGGTCGACGCAATCTGCGAACGACTGGGACAGAAGCGGGCCAATGTCGAGCTGAAGAAGTTTAGCAATGGCGAGACGTCAGTCGAGATCAGTACGTTTCCTGGCTCGAGGAAGTGCGCTCGCTGGCTGACATGACCATAAGAAACCTCGGTCCGCGACCAGGACGTCTTCATTGTGCAGAGTGGCAGCAGCCAGATCAACGACAATGTCATGGAGATGTTGATCATGATTTCTGCCTGCAAAGGCGGCTCTGCGCGCTCCATCACTGGTGAGTACACGACACTGACCGGCGACGACTGCCTCCGAGCTGCCGCGGTTATACTCGGATAGAGAACCTTGCTGATCTGGACGTGTCTCGTAGCTGTCATGCCCTACTTCCCATACTCGCGTCAGTCGAAGAAGAAGGCGCACCGTGGCGCCATCACAGCCCGCATGCTCGCAAACCTCATGAAAGTCGCTGGCGTCGACCATGTCATTACCATTGACCTGCACGCCTCGCAGATGCAAGGCTTCTTCAAATGTCCAGTCGACAATCTCTTCGCTGAGCCTTTGCTGGGCAGATGGATCAAGATGAACGTACACGAATGGTGGGACAGCGTCGTCTGCAGCAAGAATCCTGGCGGCACCAAACGAGTTACGAGCTTGGCGGACAAGCTGGGACTGAGCTTCGGTATTGTCACCACGGACCGGAGAAAGCCGCCGATGGCACGAAGCATGTACAACTCGGTAATATTGGAGAGTCTCGGAGCAGATGGCACCAATGACCGCACTTCTTTAGAAGACGAAGCGGTGCAGAGCAGGATGAACTCCCCTGAGAGGCTTTCAAACTTGCCCAAGGAACGTGACTGGGCGCAGGGTAGGAGTCGAGTGAGCTCCAGGGCTGGCGCAGAGAGCCACTCAATTCCACACAGGCCCCAAGCCCCACCGCGTGCAGCAGTATCCATGATTGCTCCAACCAAGACCAGAGTCACTAATGGCGATCACGGCCCGAGTCCACTCGCACAGGCATCTCGCCCAGATTCGAGGGACGGCGAAGAGAAGCCCGAGGAAGGCGACGACGAGCTGGAATTGACACGAGCCACCACCGTCCCTACTGTTGCAAATCTCCATTCACAAGACGAAGATGGCTACGAGGAGCCCGAAAACGACGACGACACCGACGAGCGTGCGAGGGACGTCATCACTGGCCGCCTCATCCACGGTCACATTGTTGATGACGATGTCCCTTCTCCGAGCGCATCTCAATACTCGGGCCAACGCGGACATCGACAGTCAAGTGAGGACGAAGAGGCCCCAGCACATATGATGGAGTCGTTCATGTCGACGACCTCTTCTCGCTTCCACCACCGTCCGGACAACGGTCTGGGCGGTACTGGTGATGCTACCCACTCTGACGAGGAGGAGGAAGAAGCACTGCAAAACCCAGATGTCGAGACTCACGTCACTCTTGTCGGCAATGTCAGGGACAAGGCTGTGATCATCGTGGACGACATGATCGACAAAGCTGGCTCCTGGATTGCCGCCGCAGAAACTGTGGTCAAGCGCGGTGGGGCAACGAAGGTGTACTGCATGGCCACGCATGGTCTGTTTGGCGGCGACTGCCTGCGGCAGCTGGAGGAATGCGACGAAATCGACGGTGTCATCGTCACCAACGCCTTTCCAATTCCTGACGAGAAGAGACAGATCGCGAGGAAGCTCACGGTGCTGGACGTCAGTGGCCTCCTCGCCGAGGCTATCCGGCGGAACCATCACGGAGAGAGCATTTCTCAACTTTACTACCAGTTCGACTAGTGGATCGCCTGTCTCCGGATACGGACACCGAAGATATGACTGAAATGGCTTCATGGCGTATAAGGATCACTGTTAGTGGGCAGGGCGGACGTCTGGAATGCGACATGATTACCTCACTCTACTTCCTCCACTGGAGAGGAAGGACGACCAAACGGATACAGGGGCAAGCAAGATGGTCTTTGCATTACTACTCTATGCCTCACGGCCTCGACCTCGATGGAACTTGAGATCCCCTTGAGGGGCTTTCAATGACAGATTTTTCTGTCGTGCCCCCCTTTTTACTTTGACCATCCCCCCTTTTTCATTTCCACATTTCTTCTCTTCTCTCCTCCCGATTACTACGCAGCGGCGCAGGTGCTCGGCATCTGCCCGAGCTCTCTCCTCTCCCATGAGACTGTCTCGGAACGGAGTGTTGCAAGATACGAATTTCTCTCTCTCTCTCGCTGCCTTTTCTTTTTTTTTCTGAGAAGGAGAGAATGAGAAGAAATCTGGGTTAAGAAGGCATGCTCTTCAGGTCTTTTCCTCAACTTCTTTTTTGTTGTTGTTGTGGTGGGAAGACTGACGCTCTTGGATGAGCGGCGGGGGAGATGTGTGCAAGAGAACTTCCTGGACAGACAGACAGACTCAAGAATGGACTTCACTTTCGCTTGACTTTTACTTGTAGTTTGTGTGTGTGTGTGTGACTTGCTCTCGGTTGGAGGGGGTGTGCGTGTGTGAAAACCAGACCACTCACTCCACGCAAGCGAAGCCGGCCTGCTGCCGGTGAACAAAGTAAATGTGGACGGGATGCAAGTAAGTAGAAACATCTAGCCTTCTGAAAAGGTACGTACCACAGTATCCTCATCAGCACTGCACTAGCCACGAATCTATATATTCCATCTGAGCACAAACAAACAAACAAACAAACAAACAAACAAACAAACAAACAAACAAACAAACCTGTCCCCTGCCTGTCGTTGGAATTGCTCCTCTCTCTCTCTCTGTCTCTCTCTCTTCTATACTCATTCATTGTCTCCCTCTCTCTCTCTCTCTCTCTCTCTCTCTCTCTCTTCGTCTCCGTCTGCCTCCGCCGCCCTCGTACTACAAAAATCACCTCCTCACGTTGAGAAAAGCTCAGGGGGGTATCTCGAACGAAATCAAAGATGCAAAAAAATTTGAAGAAAAAGAAAAACTTGAAAACAAAAAAAGGGAAAAAAGCCCCACAAGCCCATCCAATCCAATCCAATCCAATTCATGAAAGGGGGGGACGGAGGGACGTCAGAAGAGCTCCCAGAATTCCATCTTCTGGACCAAATCCTCCACTTTGCGGCGGAAACTCCGCTGGACCTCAAAGACTTGCGAGGTGGAAGCGTCGGTGGAGAAGACGGAGAGCTGCGCGTTGGCTTCGAGGAGGAGTCGTGTGCGGGGTGACGTGATGATGGAGGATGACTGGGGGGTGCGTGATTCCATGTCAGTGTTGGTCGCATCATTCGAGAGATGTGTATATTAATTAATAGAAATAAAAAAAGATGGGGGGGGGGGGGGGGTGAAGAATGATAATAATAATAATAAATGGGCGGTTCTCACGTGGATCATCTCCAAAGCTTCGAATTCCGACTGCAGCACGGGATCGGTGTATTGATGCAGTGCGAGGAGGGTGTCGACATCATGCTGCATGGGCGCAAAGGTATCCACGACGTCGATGCACATGGTATCCAGTAATTCTCGTAGTCTGCCGCAGAGATCCGTATTGTCTGCGAGAGCGCTGCCGCCGCCGCTTCCTGCTGGTGGCGGTGGGGGAGATCGCCAGTGTTGGAGGAGGATCTCGGCGACGTCGAAATCGCTACCGTCCACGAGAGGCGCGAGGAGTCCCCGAAAGGTAGGTTCCAGCATCGCGACTTCTTGGGGTATGTCGGAAGTGCGGGAAGCGTTGTCTAGCTCCGAGATGCAGGTTTCTATCCGGAAAGAATGGCCCCGGTGGTATTTCATCGTCGCGGCGAGGAGCTGCACGGAGCCGAAGAGGAGGGCGAGTGCCTCGATGACACAAGTATCCGGGGTAGGACATGAGCATGTTGCAATGATTGCAGCAGAAGAGGGCTCGTCTTGGAGGAGGAGATGGCCGCCGTCGGAGAGTCGTGGATCGGGGAGAGGGAAAGCTGGGGATACTGGTGTCGGGAGCAGGGGCGCCGGGGATGCAGGAGGTTCAAAGCTGAGATTCTTCGCGGACCAGCATTCCTCCACCGGCGGGAAGTAGGAATCGTAGCAGCCAGCGTCGGGCATCCTGTCGTTGTTCGGGTTGGGAGCGACAGTACGAGGCGTGACGGGCAGGCCGGGATTCGCGTTCTGGTGCATCTTCCTCCTCTTTCAAATCCTCTGGGTCACGGCAATCCCATCGCACATGGCGCCGTTTGGCACGTATAGCGGGGGGTCACGGACGATATTTGACCTGCTCCATCCCGATCAAGACTGTCGCGCAGGAGGGAGGGACCAGGGTAAGGCGCCTTGTGATTTTGGGGGCATCCCGCTTGCTCCGCTTTGAGACAACGACATCATCATCGTCGACGCTGGATCCTTCGTCATGAGAAATTCTTGTCGCGGTATTTGACGGGAATTCGTCGGGTGACGTGAAGGGGATCGAGGACCGGGGTGGAGGGGGGACGGTGTTGGGCTTGGCAGTGCGGCGCAGGGAAGAGGGAAGCGCGAGGGAGGCACCGTCGAATTGCCATTGCCATTGCCATTGCCATTGCCATTGCCATTGCCATTGCCCTTCCCCATGGTCCCGATCCGCTCTCTCGGTAAGGTAACACATTGTACTAAGGTAGGTATGTAATAAGGGAGGCGGTCTCGGGCACACGTGGCGTAAAAGGTAGGGCGGCGACGGAATTGCTTCTTGTGGGACATTGATAAAATATTATTCCGCCGCAGCTGGAGCGAGCGGTACTTGAAGCATTCCATTATTATTGAGGCATCACCGCGGGAGAATATGTGTGGCTGTGCATCTAACGGCCGGCCGGCCGGCCCAAGGCCTCCAATTTATGCATAACAATTGAAGGCATTGGCTGGAAGGATGAATGAATACATAAGATGAGGTGGCGACCTGCTGTCGTCGAAAGTCTCACGCGGAGCGAACGCCGGACACGACCTCTGATCAAGTCCACGACTTCAGTCACACCTGCCCGGAAACGGAAATCCTCCTGTGTGAAATCTCAAGGTGCCTTTTGCGGTGCGAGCGTCGTAGAGATTATTGACTCAGGTCTGGCAGACTCCATTAACGCTACGAGTCTGGGAGGGAGTCGATACAGTCTACGCAGTGAATGGTCCAGCCATTTCCTTTTCCCAGCTTCTTGTCACATCGAAGCCCCAGCCCGCATGGCCCTCTCATCCTCGCATCCTTCCCGAAGCGAGTCGTCTGTGAACAGCAACACACATTCAACTCCGATGCGTATGGTATGGGGTATCATATGCAAACGCCCGAATCTCCCAAACGCCACGCTAAAACTTTTCCCCGTCGAGTCTGCGGAGCTCGTTGCATTGGATCAAAGCAAAGGTAAGAAAGGTCCCAGAAGAACCTGAGGCACAGCCGTACAAGGTGGAGTAGATGCTGGTGTCATCTGGCCACCTTCCCAATCGGTCAATGTTCCGTCGATCGTGAGCTTCAGAGGCTGTTTCTCGGGCTTTTCCGTGGGAGAGTCGGGTCTCGGTCCCTCGGCCTCGACCATGCTCGGTGGCACGAAGATATCGATGGTCCTTTCAATCTCCTCCGTGGCCGTGAAGCTATGCAGTCGAAAGTCCAGATGCGAGAGGAGTTCCATGCTGGACTGGTCGATCTGTTTGGCGGACCACACCCCTCGGCAGACTTCTCGGGACCACCACGAGGAAGAGGCGGGATCGTCGTACATGTACGACACGGCGAGGCTGAAGGCACAAACCACAAGAAGTTCGGGCGGGGTGGCGTCGAAATGCCCAAAGCCTGTCCGGAAGGAGTGCAGGGCGGTGAGGACGTTGAGTGCCGTGGCAACGACTTCCAGACGCAGTGCTGCCCGGATTAACATTTGCTGGATTGTTTGGACGTCGCCTGGTGTCGAGCAGATGTCGATGCTGGCTTGCTCTGCAAAAAGAGTGGCAATGTAGAAATCTGGGACAGGTCAGCATCTCGCGTGGAGATTGTGGTGACGAGCACATACAGTCCTGCGACTCGCCATCTTCGTCTTCGTCTCGGGCATCGTCGGCGAGGTGGATGGTGTCAACGAATGGCGACCTCTTCTGCGGCGGCGGAGGAGTTGGGAAATGCGAGAGAGAACCTTGATTGGCGAGGAAAGCATCGAGGTCGTCGTCGCTGAGCGAGTGGCAAGCGCTCAGGGCGGGAGAGGGCGGGAGGCGGTGCATTGTATGGTGTATGCGAAGGATCTCCCATGCCTGTGAAGACGGTGCAGGGCTTGCAAAGGATGGTATTAAGGATGTGATGTGCGAGAGTGGGAGAGAGGTCGGCGGTGGTTGAGGCAGAGCGAGCGTCGAGGTTGGGAGATTTGGCGGAGGCTTAAAGAGTCATGGCATGCTTGGGTGAAGGCGGGCGTGCGTGCCAGACTTCTGTTGTCGTCGGAGATGCAGAACACAAGAAGGAGGAAATGCAGAAGAGCAGGATGGAGCACAATACAGAGCACTGCACTGGTTCCTTCCTGCCGTCTTCTCGATTCAGCGGGCAAAGAGGAGAGGATTCGCTTAGTTTGCAGGTAATACATGAGTGGAGAGGCGCGTCGTCTAGGTCGTCTAATGGGCCGGGCCGGTGACGGGCAGTAGCTCCGACTCGACACGCTTGGACTCGGGAGAGGGCATACTAAGCGATGCCGATGACTTTTCGCAGCATCCTTCACCGCCGTTCAACTGTCCGCCATCACAGTGTGGTCCGCCGTTCATACCTACGTACATCACTCTTCTCGGCAGAAGACAGGTGCAAGTGTGAGATGGCGTCGGCTCACCATTCGCTTCGGGAGCTCGGACCGTCGGCAAGCCGAGTGGGGGGTGGGGCTGAGGAAGGCGCGATCCACCCACCCTCTGCAAGCCACCTCACGCGGACCGGGAATGCGACTCGACTTTCAGGAGGCGGTGGCCCTTCACATGCAAATGCGTCATTCGGCTCGGTACATGTACTCCATCCATCTGCTCGACGTGCTCCTTCTCCATTATTCCATTCCTACCACTTGACGCTCAGCTCACCTGGCCATCTCACAGCTGTGACCAGCACAGCTAGAGTGAGTGCTATGTATTACATGTACTCTCTTATGCCCGCGCTGTGCATGGCAAGAGCTGGGGTCCGCCTTCCCCACTCGTGCACCACCTCACCTGCTCCTCCCCGCTCTACGAACTGAGCAACTCCCTCCTAATGCAAGTGCTCTGACAAGGCAAGATTCATAGTCCGATGTGCAGCAAGAACGAGCTCGATGCATACTACAAGGTAGGTAGGTAGGTAGGTAGGTAGGCAGGCACGACAGTCACTACAAACGGGAAGTCGCAAGTGACACCAACACCCCAAATACCTCTCGTCCTCAATCCCTCTCTCTCCCTCTCTCTCCCTCTCTCTCCCTCTCTCTCTCTCCCCATCCCAAACACCACACAGGGCATCCTCCAAAAACCACACACCATCTCAATCATCCTCAACACTCCACACTCCGCAAAAACCAAATCATCCGAACCCAGGAAGCCATCCATCCTCTTCCCGCCAGAAACTGGAAATCCTCACGACAACATTTACTCCTCGCCGAAGATGGCTTCCACAACCCATCCATACACCTACCAAAAAGCCTCCACCCTCGCAACCCGCGCCCTCGTCACCACCCCTTCTTCTTCATCTTCCGCCGCCTCCTCCTCGGGAAAGCCAACCGAAACAACCTCCTCCGCCTCCCACGACCACGATTCCACTGCCGACGCACCCGTAAGGAACCCCCCTTCCTCCTCCATCCCTTTCTGAACTTATTACCCCCCCCAAAACGACTCACACAGCATGAAAAATCCTACTAGATCCTCCAACGCCCCTCCTCTTCCAACTACGCCGAAGCAGTCGCGGGCGCCGGCCAGATCCCTCCTCCCACGGAAAATGACGAGTCCAACGTTCGACCCGCTTTGGATAGACAGCAGAGCTGGAATCTGTCGGATAGACGTCGTCAGCATCATGAGGCTTTGATGGATGGCTGTGGTTCCAAGATGGAAGCGGGCTATCACAGCACCAGCGCAGGACAGAAGTGAAAAGGGGGAAAGGGTTCGGAGATGGAAAATGACCTGTGAGGAAAAGGCGATGTGTCAGCCTGGAGAAGTGGATTGGATTCTTGTACCTGTATGACTTGAGTGAGCACGACCTCGACTTTGGGATGGGAAATGCGTCCTGGGAAACTGTGGAGAATGCGGCTGCTGTTGTGTGTGAAAGGCTCAATTGCATTCTGTGACTCAAGAGAATCTGTCAAATGAGTGACTGCAGTTAATCTCGTCCTTCTTCCCCCCTCGCCCCCTACCTTACAACTCGCTCCAAAATATCAGTCTTGTGTGTGCTGCATGACATCATAACGCTCTTGCCCTTGGTCCGCGTCCATGACTTGCTCACTGCTAGATGGGAGCTCGACTTGTAGCCGGTCATCGAATCCGCGGCGAACAGGTCGGAGCGCGCAGCGAGTGCTTTTTTCGGGACAGACTCGTCTGGGTCGTCGATATCTCGATCGAATCGATCGGCAAGGCCATGCATGGTCGGCATTGATCCTCAGTCTGGCAGAGGAGGGTTGGCAGAACCTCCTCATATCATGTCCTCGTGGCTTGAGAAAAGGTGCTGCTTCGTGGGAACAAGCCCAATATGATACTGTGAGTCGTTTCGTGGAGATGACACCGTTGTGCTACCTCGTCAATCGTCGGCGTTACGTCCTGCCATCGGCCGCACACGTGCAGCCGGTCAGCCATTGTGATTCTTGCTGCGTCCCCGTCGAGAGTTCACCGAGCCCTTGTCGACGACGTACTGGTCGAGGCTGGAGCGGGACTCGCCCTCGCGACGCGCGGTGGGTGTACTACTGGGTGGGTGCTTGCCGTACCAATCAATGTCTCCCAATTGCAGCTTCCTCGCCCGCTGCTTGCTGCGCGTATTCCCCGCCTTGTCGTATCGCGGTCCGCCGTGCAGGGTTTCGAATTGACCTGTCTCGTCAGTAAGAGAGTCGCGACGCTTGCTCGGATCTTCAACAGGGGGGACGAGGGTGACATTCTCGTCCGCGCTGGTGGTGCTCGATCGTTGAGAAGCACCACGAGGCATTTGCAGGCTCTTGTTGAGTTGGCCTGCGCCCACGAGCCGAGTGCCACCCGAAGAAGAGTTGACATAATGAAAGGCGGGGCGCCCACCATCTGGCTGGTCATCCGTCAAGTCGTAGTTGAGGACGAGGTTCTTGATGCGTTGCTGCTCCGCCTTCTCGGCTTGCTGCTGAGACCGCATCGCGACCGCAAAACTCGAATCCGAAGGCAGATCGATGGAGCGCGTCTAACAAGTTAACGTCATCATCACACAAGCATAGTCTCGGTCGAGTCATACCTGTTGCCGATTGCCCTTCTTACTCAAGAGGGCAAACTTCATCGTACCACCGTGGGCTGCGCCCGGCGCAGGCGACTCCGCTTCACCACTGTCCTCTGCAGTAGTCGTTGCATCGCGCACCGTTCGTCGCATCGGCAGCGGTACGTCGAACATCGTCTTTCGATCGAACTTGCGTGATTCTACGCTGTCTGCCATCAACTTGGCGAGTTCACGGTCGAACTCTGCGTCAGCTTCTGGATCTCTCTGATCCTCGGGTCGAGTCACGACAATGTGCTCCTCCTCGTCCGACTCTTGGGCGGCGACTTCGTCATCACCTTGAGCCGCAGCATCATCGCTGTCGGACTTGACATTAGTGCCTTCTCCATCAACAGTCGCTTCTTCTTCGCCGTCGATGCGTCCGTCGTCCGAGATGTTTCCGGCATCTGGCTCCTCTGGTTCCTCCGGCTCCGCTGTCTTACCAGCAGCAACGTCCTGGTAGTTCTGCTTGCAGGCCTCGGAAAATAGTCCGGCCGCTTCCTGCAGGTTGCTCAAGACCAGCTTCCACTGCGGACGCAGCATGTTGTACGTGTCCTGGACAACGAACTCAATATCCATCGGTAGGGGGTCCTTCGTGTTGATGTAGAACTGGAAGAAGGTCAGGAAGAAATCCAGTTTCTTCTTCGCTGCTCCTTTCTCGAAGCAATGCCCGCAAGTCTCAAGCAGCGAGCACACCAGTCGGATCCGGAAGTAGTCGTCAGGCAGGTCGATGGGACTCAGACGACCAGGCTGAACGTATCCGCCTTCGTGGCCGTAGTTGCAGATCTTGTACAGCGTGTCGAAGATGAGCTGAGAGTCGACAACGCGGTACATGTAGAGCTCGCCAAGATACTTCACTTCGGCAATACGTCGCTGGTTGAATTTGAAGTCGTTGATTTCCAATCCAGTGACAATTCGGTCAAGAAGCTCGTCAAGAACGGTAACTGCAAAGCCAGTGTGGAATCTGTACAACGCTGCCAGCATCATTGCCAGCAAGTAAATGTTGCCAAACTTGATCTTTCCAGGCTTCACAAAGATCTTGCGCAAGATCTCGACAACCTCGGGCTCTTCCCAGTGCAGCTTCCGGACTTGCTTGATGACTTTATCCAGCGTCTTCTTACTCAGATCGACGTAGATGAGCTTCCGGACGTAGAGATCCAAAGCCGTGCGCTCCTTTTGCTGAATGGCGGCGCGCTCAGGAGGATTGACATAGTACACGGCATTCTCGATGAGCATGCGCTCCTGTTGGCCCAGGTGTTGCGCTGCTTTCTTGCGCTGCAGCGTCTCCAGGAAAGAGCTCATGCGGGGCGATGTCTCCGGGTTGCGCAGCAGGTACCTTCCACAGTTCTCCAAAAGGTTGGCAATGATCTCAATGTTGACCCGCGAAAAGTCGTCCGAGCTGACCTTTAGACAATGGAAAATGACGTGCTCTGGGACGACGCCAAACTTGGTGAGCTCGGCGAGGTACCGGATGTTGACCATGCGTACTTGTCCGAGAAAGTCCTTGGACTTGCGACGCTGGAGGCTACGGAATTCTTCGTCGAGGTAAGAAATCAAGCCCTGGGGGATGTCCTGCAGATAGCGCCCCAGTGTAGCAATCAAGCGGGCGTACAGCGGCAGCAAATCGGTTCTGCCCTTGGGTACTTCTTCAATGGACTTCAGAAGACGATTGCGCGACGCCTTGGAGTTGAGGAAGCAAAAGTCGATGGCAAACTGGTCCACCTGATCCTTGGTTGTAAGCTCGTGCAAGCGAGCTAGGAGCGCGTCGACTTGCGCGCCCACAGTCTTGTTGGCAATCGCAGTGGAACCCTCATCGTTCTCGGCCGGCTTCTCCTTGGCTTCACTGGAGTCCTCGGTCTTTTTACCAACCTGCTCGTCATTTTCCGTCTTCTTCTTCTTGCCATCCTCAAGTAAGATGCCGGGTACACGGTCCTTGAGATCGACGATATTTTCGTAGAAGCGACGCTCGTCCTCGTCTTCCCAGATGCCAGCGCCCTCAGCCTGCCCACGGAGATACTCGCCGGTCTTGACCAGACCAATGCTGCCTTCCAGTCCGTTGGCGTTCGCATCCTTCTCGGAGAGATCGGGCATGTCTACGCCGAGGGCCTCTGCCAGAGTCTGTGCACTGCTTACCAACTTCTCTTGCGCCTTTAGGGCCTTTTCGTGGTTGGCCTGACGGTCTTCGAAGACTTCACCAGACTTGACATAAGCTTCCGCATTGCGCTTGCCTTGTTGAGTCAGGCGCTGTTGATCGCGGACGATGTGCGCTTTTACGTCTTCAAAGTATCGGGTAAGAATGTTCCTGAATCGCTCCTGGAGTGCCGGTGGGGTCAATGGAGGGTCGGGACTCGCGCCATCGTCGTGCTCGGTCGACGTGGTCGATTCGGCCTGACCGTGACCAGCAGTGGTTGCTCCATCCTCTGCCACCTTTTGTCTTCCTTCTGCTTTTGACGGCCTCGAGCCTAGAATATCCCAAGCGAATGTCTTCACGAAGAGGACAACCAGTGGCAGATTGACATGCTCTCGGTCGTGCCCCAACATGTCCTTTAGCACCTCCAGCGGGAAAGGCGCCGGATCATAGGCATCTCCTCCAGCTCCACTTGCTTTGCTTTTGGAAGCACCCTCTACGCTCTTGACTTTGCCAGCTTCTTCAGGCTTTGCGACATCCTCCAAGCTCTTGAGTACCCCAACAAGCCATAGCTCCGTCGCAACTCTCAGTAATGTCCGCTGCCTCGCTATACGATCCTTCTCTTCTCGTTCGCGCACATCAGCAGCGAGAGCTTTGAGCTGCGCCTTGTCTGGTGTAGCCAATCCGCGTCCGACATACCAAGCCAGATAAGACGTAAATTCTTCGGGACCGAATCTCTGATGCAGAGCACTAATGACTTCGACGCCCGCGGCAATATCCCCGGCAACCTTCAGCTTGGTAAGACCCTCGTATGCTGCAGAGATGATTTCTGTGAGGTACTTGTGCAGAGACAGGGAGCGGATCTCCTGGAGGAAGGTGCCGACGTTGGCAGCGGTGATGGCTGTTCGCAGACGCTTGATGAAGGCCGTGTTCTTCTTGAGGTTGGAGTCGAGTGAGCCTTGAACTTGAAACCCTAGTTCGCCATTCCAAGCCCGAATGTTCTGCTCATTTAGGTCGCCTTCGCTCTGGTCAGCCACACTCTGCGCGTTCTGGTCACATTACGATATCGCACGTTTTCTGCGCCGCTCCATGGCGGACCTGGGTGACCGACGCGGTGTGTCATAGAGGGACTGTCGTTCAGCGAGCGCGGGTGGTGGTGTGCGATAGTGGGAGGAGATGGAGTTGATTGTTGTTTTGGTCGGTGATGTCGGAATTATTGATACAGTGCAGCACAGCAGCGGATCAATGAATTGGTGGGGTCCCTGGATCCCGTGCGCTAGCGTGCGGCTTGCTTCCGCTCACGTGCCATGAGCCTCACACAGCCACCTCAGGAACAAATCTCAAACTCAAAATCTTCACAGCTTTGACATGCATCAGACCTACGCATTAACTCATTTCTCGTCGACGCCTTGTGTACATTGTCCCTACTCTTCCACGCGCAATACGACTCTATATCACAATACAATGCCCATGAACTGCGTGGTTGAAATGCCACTGTCCGACTTCGCCCAACAGCCTCTGTTTCCAAGTGCACAATGAGTGACAGGATGTTCCGGCAACTTCAATTGCTATAATACGCCGTCCTCTGGAGCTTCAGAACCTCAGGGTGAAGAGGACGAGAATGGACGGCCTCGACGTTCCGCAATGCGTGCCAACTCGGCATCTCATCGCACCGAAAGACCGTCTCTACAGGCGCGGCTACTGGTTCGCTGCGGTATGACTCGCAGCAGCCTGCTGTTGCCTCGAGATTCCAGCAGAAAAAGGGCAATTCCAAGACACTATGCCTCGAGTGCGGCTTCACAGCCTGTACCTTTCCGTGGCTAAAAGCACTTGGAGCACCCGTGCAAGCTTGGCTCGAGCTTTAATAGGAAAGAGATCGCCAAAGATGTATGAGATACAACGCTGACCTTGCAGTACCATGTCTCTACGCCAAGAGGTAGGATGCATTCTGTCTCCTCTTTCATTGCCGAGGGTGTGGCAGTAGGAGGGGAATAGTCGAGCGATGTCTTCCACGCCCGACTCGAGATTTTCAATTCGAAGAATTCCAACTGCCCACACCCCGTTCATAGGATGTCGAACGAGAAGAGCGGCTCCTTGGAGATAACAGACATCGTGAGCTATATTCCTGGCCACTGCAGGACGACTCGTTGATCCTGTCCAGAAACATGTCGAGGATATTCACCATGACGGCAAAGAGAATGGTCTCAACGTTGCCGCCGCTCTCCATGACAGTGACATCGAAAAGCATCCGTCGACAGACGTAGACCACAAGCAAGTCCAACGAATCGTTCGAAGGATTGACCTCAGATTATTGCCAGTTCTCGCGACCGTCTACTCCTTCGCTCTCATCGACCGAGTCAATCTGCCAAATGCTCGCATTGCAGGAATGGACCAAGATTTGTCACTGTCTACTGGGAGCCGATATACGCTCGTCACGATGATTTTCTTCATCCCGTACGTGATTTTCCAGTTCCCAGCGAACATCATCATCCGAAAGCTGGGAGCTTGTCTCTGGCTCTCGAGTCTAGTTTGCGCCTGGGGAATCGTCTCCATCGGCATAGGCTTCACCCAGAGATGGACAGAGCTTCTCGGGTGCAGAGTCTTGTTGGGCATATTGGAAGCTGGTTACTATCCCGGGTGTATCTTTCTACTGTCCTGCTGGTACCTGCGGTTCGAAGTGCAGAAACGCTTCAGTGCTTTCTATCTCCTGGCGCTTCTCTCATCCGGCTTTTCGAACATCCTCGCATATGGACTGAGCCAGATGGAAGGAGTTGGAGAGTTGCGAGGATGGCGCTGGATCTTCATCCTGGAGGGCATCATCACGGTCGCTCTGGGCTTGCTCGGCTATGTTTTTATCATTGACTTTCCGGACAAGTCGACCAACCCGGGACTTCTTCTACGCAAGCCATTCTTGACGATCGACGAGGCCAGTATCGTACTCGAGAGAATCGACAAGGACAGAGGAGATGCAGTAGTTGACAAACTCACGCCGAAGAAAGTTCTCTCTTACCTGCGAGACTGGAAGGTAGGTGTGTCTGCGATGAAGAATTCTACTTGAAGGTTGTTGAACGATCGCGCTCTAGATATGGGAATACGCCTGGCTCTACCTCCTCAACAACACCGTCACCTACTCGTTCGGCTTCTTCCTTCCCATCATCCTCAAAGGAGATATGGGCTACTCAACCGCAATGTCCCAAGTCCTTGCCTTCCCACCCTACGTCGCCGCCGCTCCTTGGATGTTCCTCACTGCATGGCTCGCAGACCATTACCACAAGCGAGGCGTCGTCCTCATATTCAACTGTGCCGCCGCGGTCGTAGGAGTAGCGATGATGGGCTTCGCAATCTCGAGCCCAGCAACACGCTACGCAGGCGTGTTTCTTGGGGTATGCGGATCCAACAGCAATGTGCCTACAATACTGAGCTACATGCATAACAACATCGTGGGACAGATGAAGAGATCAGTAGCGAGTGCTCTGATCATCGGAGGAGGAGCGATCGGCGGGATTGTAGCGTCGAACATTTTTCGACAACAAGATGCACCCAGGTATATGCCCGCGATGGCGACGGTGATTGCTACGCAGGCCATGAGTATCTTGCATGTTGTGAAGAATTTCTATGTGTATGGAAGGATGAATAGGATGGCCGAGAGGGATGAGCTCGTGTTGGAGGGTCAGGATGGTTTCAGGCAGACATTGTAAGTAGTGAGGGACAGGTGGATGCTTCCGCGATGAGTTGGAGACAATCTGGGCTGGTGTCTAAAAGTCCGGGAAGCAAAATCAAGGCGCTCACTCGAAGGTGCGTTCACCTCAAGCCAAACTGCACCCTCATTGATACTTAAGCAGGCAGCCCGTTCAAAACATGTTTACGATGTCATAACAGTCGTATCGATCGTCCAAGTCTAGCCGCCATTAGTCGTCACAATGTCTCCCGTAGCGTTGGTGGTACCCTATGTGTCGCTGTAACTAGCATCGGCAATGTGCAGGATCAACTTAACATTGAGATATATGTGGCCGGCGACGTACCCACAAGCGGATTCCTGGCATTCAATAGCTGTCACCCAACGTTGAGCGTGGCCGCTGTCCGTCGAAATCTTGGAGACCACTTCACCGTCCAAAGACACGCTCTGGTCGAAACATCAACCCCCAATTTCCTCGCAAGTCTCAAGCGTTACTCGCGACAATACACCATCTGCCCTCCAGTCCAGGACATTCCGTGGCTCCATCTACAACATGGCGAGATCGCAAGTCCCTGAACCAAGTCTCCTCCGCCTCTAGCTCGCGCCCCAGGCTAGAAGAGGGCCTAGATTGCCGGTCTGAGGGACATTCGTGGTCGGCAGGACCAAAATTGTATTTGCCCTTCGAACTTAGGAGTCGTCGGCTGTTGGATCCGTAGAAAGGGCGTTCGAGAATTGATAGCGGTAATCTACGCTGACGATGAGCGTGAGGGCTTGAAGCTGAACGGATCAGGAGTGTTGTCGTTACTCCTGGCTGTCGAGATTTCTTTTCGGACTTGAAGGAATAGATGCCTAGTCGATGAAGTGGGATCTGCACGAGAGACTGGTCTTTCGTCCTGTCGACCGGCGACTTGCGTGAGAGAAGAGACCGATGTCTGTGTGAGAATCACGAATCACGACGTTCTATTCTACTCTACCTCATGTCCCCTTCCTCATCTTTTAGCGAAGTCTTGGTGAGGCCCAGTCCCATGCTTTTCGATCAATGCTCTCTACCCATGAGTTGCGGAGTCTGTGGCTGATGATGTTGGAGCAGCAAAGTGCCAGGTCAAGGTCAAAACAAGCCAATATCGCCTCCACGGGCGGGCGGGCGGGTCCAACACTCCGACTTGATTCTCCGCGAGATTATTCTGAAACGTTCTGCTTTCCATGGTGTTGGTTTGGTCACCTGCAGCGTTTCCCGACGTTCGGCGGTGTCCGGACGGGTCGGCGGGAGGAGCGATCAGACTGGTCTACGTACGAATCGCTCGACTTCGGGGGCAAGAGGTTGTCGTCCTATAGAAGAAGAAGAAGAAGAATTCGTGGTGGATTTTGTCCAAGCCTGATGGTGTGTGTGTGTGTGTGTGTGTTCTGCTCTGGAAATTGAAAGAATCGTCGAGACTTGTTGTTGCAATGCAATGTTTCGAAGCGTATCGACAATTTATTCAGCAAAGCCCCCCTCCCCATTTTGACATATGCAGATCAAACACGAGACGACCCACCAGAGTCTGCAATCATTTATTGATGATAGATGAATCTGCATCACCACCTCCACGTGGAGAGAGAAAATGACATAGATAAAACACCGGCGAACAGCGACCCGTCCGTCCAAGCCGTTGTCCTGCGTGTGCGTCCACGGTTTTAGGATTTTCGTCATGTCACGCCACACCCTACATCAACCCGCGCGCGTACAGATGCACGTCAGGTGTCATATCCGATGGCGGTGATGATGACTTTTTGCTACTACTACTAGAGTAGAGGGAAAGTTATAATAAGCTACTACTAGACTTGTAGACGTAAGAAGCATCACCTTTGTTGTTCCACCACCACCGCTGCTGCTGCTTGAATATAACGAACGAACGTTCGAAAAGCCGCGAAAGATGGCGGCAACTCTCCCACGGGGAATGGAACATATCGATCGCAGGGAACTCTTCACTTCCCTGCCCGCCAGGATACATTATCTCCACGAATTCCTTGAATTCGGTCCAGGTAAAGAAAAATCCAATCAAGCCCCTCTCCTCTTCCGTCCCTCCATGAAGACAAAAGAAAAAAATTTAGTTCACAATACTGACAGATCCTCTTCCTCAACAGACGACGTCGAAGCCCTCGTCTCGGGCCAGAAATACATCAAGCTCGTGATCCCAGCCATCGTCAACCTGGTCTACAAGAAACTCCTCCGACACGACATCACGGCGCGCGTCTTCAGCAACCGCGACAGTCGCAGCGAGGAAAATCCGGAAGAGTGGGCGACGGAGAACAGCAATGCGATTGAGAATCGGAAGATGTTTCTGCGGTGGTACCTGACCAAGCTGAATAGCGATCCGACCAAGATGGAATATTGGGAATACATGGACAAAGTCGGGTGAGAAACAACAAGAGCTCCATCACATCGCGAAAGGTGTGGGGGAGGGAAAAAGCTAATTGGAGATCTTTCTTCATTCAGATTGATGCACGTCGGCCAAGGGCGCAGGAATCCTCTCCATGTGGATTACATTTTCCTCGGTGCCTGTTTAGGTTACATCCAGGACGCACTGATGGAGGCAATCCTCTCCCATCCGAAACTGCATCTGCAAAGGAAAATCGCCATTGTCAAGGCCGTTGGCAAAGTCATCTGGATTCAGAGCGACTTACTTGCGAAATGGCACCTGAAAGACGGCGCCGAGTACAGTTCAGACGAGACGTCCACGGCACTGGAAGAACCGGAAGGCTACCTCCACGGAAAGAAGGTTCTCGGGAATAACAGCGATGAGAGCAGTATCTCCGGCGACGATTCCTCGATCCACACCAGCCCGAGCGGCAAGACAAGTCTCGGCCGTGATGTAGACGACGTCGATATGGGCGAGATGCGATGTCCTTTCAGCGGACTAGCCCGAGGCGACCAGAGAGCGGAGATGACAAGACCAGCGATGAAGGAGATGTTGGACGAAACAAGAATGCATCCCGTCACACCTCCTACTGGGAAGACGGTGTGCAAGGACATGTTGGAAAAGGATCCTTGGGGAAAGGATGTCGGACAGATGTTTGGATGAGATGGTGTTCAAGTTCGTTCGAGGACTCATGGTATACAGTACGAGGTGCTCGCAATTGTCAATGTCGCTTTCCCGGGACTCCAGAAGTTGTCAATGCGGTTCATAGTCGATGAGCGATCGATCGTTGATGTTTTGCTTGGGCAGTCTCATGAGGCTTGCCCCTTTGCTTTCGGGTGGTAGGTCATGAAGGGTCCATGAGTTGCCGACTCCTACTCGTGCGCGGCATACTGATTGGCAGACCGGCCGGAATGGTGAAGGTATGTCCTTGAAAGCTTTACCTTGGTCATGTGTGGTTGGATTCAGGGACAGGTTGGACTGCGTGCGAGCAGGTGGCCTCATCGGAAGTGCTCGGAGAGGCTTACAGGACCCAGGCGGCATGCGGGCGCGTGACATGTGCATGAGGGATCATGTAAGGTAGTTGGCGGGAGCACACGAGCACAGCGAGCACATCGGAATCGGGGGCGTGTGCAGTCGAACAGTGAGTGGCAGCTCGGGGTGAGCAGCTTGCGTGTCACGCCCAGGCTTGGAGCTCTCCCACCGCGTATTCCTGGTTATCTTGGGGACGAACTCCCTGCAAACTCACCAAGGGACATGCGCAAATGCTTGACAATGCTAAAATGATGTCCCTATTCCTGCTCCCACTGTCACTGTGCAATGCCGCTGCCTCCGCCGTCAGCTGTAGTCACAACCACAGACTCTCTCATCTTCACATGTGCAGCACAAGCTCACTCCAAAGGAATCCTTTGTCTTCTGGGAGTGCTCGCGTGCCTCATCTGCTGCAGCTACTTTGACAAGTGCAACACGCGACGAGTCCTGCGACCAAAGTACATCTCACCTCTCCTTCTTCAACGTCAGCTCGCTCACACTCCATCCCCTCCGACAAGCCCACGGTCCACGCACCACAGCAAGGATGGCGGCAGACAACTCGACGGGCGCGAAGACGTCCATGCCCTACTCTGCTATTATCATGCTGTGCCTACTCGGAGCGGGCGCCGCGGTTCTCTGCGCCTGGTCAATGGCGCGTCACTTCTTCCCTGAGCCAGGCCGAGACCACGGGCTCAACAATGTCGACGCGGAGGGCATGACGCAAGCGCAGTATATGCGCATGGTCCGCCTCAAGAACCAGGAAGACCTCCAGCGCACGTATGGACACTACAACTACGTCCGGCCGAAGCCGCCAGCCTTCGCGCAGTCTGGTTGCTCGGTATCATCCTTCTCTTGATGGGCCTCGACCGAATGGGGGAAAGCAGAGAGAGAGGGTAGCGACGCGATATGTCGGCGGTCGAGAGTAACAAATGCGATTCGAGTCCATGGAGCGAGGAAGCGACAGTATGCTCATCAGAACTGCCTACCAGTAGCGGGTCAAAGGCTCCCCGGCAGCGTTGCCCGCTCGCCAGCAGCATTGGAGAAGAGCAAGAAGCTGTGGACGACTTTCGTGCAAACCGGCCTAATCCACGATTGATTGTGCTTTCTGGCAGGAAGGCCGGGCCGTACACGTACAGGCAAGGTACGTGAGGCGGATTCGGTGACGCCGAAGACAAGTGCTGACAGGACCAGAAGCCAAGGCCACGACCACGTCTGGCCAATGGATGAGGATGGGAGAGGAGAAAAAGGGGAGGAATGAAAGGGAAGATGAATGAATGAATTGACGCGAGGAAAGACGGGAGGAATGATACCTTGACAATCGATTTCACGACTTCTGGCATGCGGCGTGGGTGTCATTGGTTTCGGGAGAGAAGGTCGTATTGCTCAGTCAGTGCATTATCAACTTTCACTCTCCCAGAAACGAAAACAACAACACCTCTATCCCCTCATGAACTCGTCAAATACAATAAAAGAATGGATTTTACCTGCGAGTCAACGCCGACTTTCACCCCTTCTGGCTTGTACGATGGATCTCATGATCGAATCCGGATATGGCAGAGCTCCGAGCGACCGTGTGCTCGGCCGATGTGGTCGACGCCATTTGCCTATCTTGTACCCACACCGGCATCCGGCTACATCCCGGTGCAACATCATCTCCTCCCTCACACACTGCGCGAGTCCGCCTTCTAGAAGACAACGCTTCGTCCGCCCTACGAGCAGAACATAAGATCATGCAGCAGACGCGCCGAAAGAGAAGAACTATTCAACCGCCGAGATGGTGGCCATTGGATATGGCTGCATGTGGTATACGCCCAGCGTGTATCTTCACCGGCGAATCGCCCAGTCGTTCGCCAAGACATGCCAGTGCGTACCACAGTCCACGCGGCCGCCTTCATTATGTGTCGTCGACGTACACGCCCGAACTGGAAGACGCACGTGTCACCACCCTCCTACGTCTCCCTATGACAGACATTTCTTTCTCAAATGTGTTCGCATTCCTACTATAAGCTTTCGCTGGCGTTCGCTTTGTATCGTACTTTTATCACATCATTCCTCGTATTTGTTGATCCCTCATGTCTCCCTTGGCTACTATCTCATCCATTCTAACTTCCATTCTCCTGACCACAAAGACTTCTGTGGCCGACGTAACGCCTTTCGTCAACAACGCACAATACAACGCTGGCAAGTATGGCGACTATCCGACACAGACCTTCAAATCGAATCCGGCCGTCACCCAGGTGCCGCGGGTCAACTTCATGAAACCCTTCACCAACTGCGATGATGGCTCTTATCTCTTCCTGACTCCTCGGGGCCATGCACCAGATCCGACACTAGTGATCCTCGACCCGAGTGGAAGTCCAATCTGGGCATCAACAAAGACGTACGGAGAGGTCTACAACCTGCAAGTGCAGCAATACAAAGGCGAATCTTTCCTGACATTCTGGGGCGGAGATGACACCATTGGCGGTCATGGCGAAGGAAACTACTACATGCTTGATCAGGGATACAATCAGAGATACCGCATCGGGGCCGCCAACAAACTCGGCGCAGATCTGCACGCATTCACAATCACCAAGGATGACACTGCACTGATCACCATATATCAAGCAATCGCGACCGACCTCTCCAGCGCCTCGCAATGGCGCACCCGTGGCTGGATCTGGGATTCGGTCTTCCAGGAAATCGATATCGAGACTGGCGAACTCCACTTTCAATGGCGCGCATCCGATCATGTCCCCATCACCAACTCCTACACCGACATGAACGCCGCCACTCAGACTGATCCGTGGGATGTATACCACATCAACAGCGTAGAGAAGGATGACCTGGGTAACTACCTGATCTCGATACGATTCTTGCGAGCCATTCTGTACATTGACGGCCGGACTGGAGAGGTATTATGGCAGCTTGGAGGCAAGGACAACTCTTTTGAGGATCTGTCAGACGGCAAGGCAACTGTCTCACTGGGCCAGCACGATGCTCATTGGCACAATGACCACCGATACATCACCTACTTCGACAACCGAGCAGACTGGTACAACCAGATGGACGACCAATCTCGCGGAACACGAATCGAAGTCGACCTCGAAAGGATGACCGCAAGGCTGGATCAGACATTCACGGACCCCAACTACAAGATTCTGAGCACTTCGCAAGGAAGCTACCAGACCCTTCCGAATGGCAACGTGGTCCTGGGATACGGTTTCAACGGCGTAATTGCAGAATTCTCGCCCGAGGGAGAGTTGCTCTGCGATGCGTATCTTCAGCCGGCATCGACCTTTACTACGGGCAATGTCCAGAGTTACCGGAATTTGCGATTCAACTGGACCGCTACTCCCAGCTATCCACCTGATCTCGTTCTCGAAGGCTCCAGATTGTACTTCTCCTGGAACGGGGCTACAGAGGTGGACACCTGGCTACTCGTCGGCTCCGACACGGCCGATGAAACCGACCAGCCCTCCGAACGAGCGATTCAAGATGCCATCGTCGTCGGCAGAACGGGGTTTGAGACCGTCTATCGCATCTGCAAGGACGATGGATTGGGACAATATGTTCGCGCCATCGCTCTCGACAAGAACGGCGTGGCGCTCGGGGGCACCAATGTGGTGGACACGGGAGATCTGGCCACGGGTCGCGGTAAGGATTATCCAGACTACGAAGACAGCGAAGAATACCATGCGCAAAAGGGCCAGCATGGTGGGGATGGGGATGGGGATGGGGATGATGATTACCAATACGATATGCACGTCGGCGAAGGCGGGAATACATGGGCGGAGGGCGAAGGCGTGGATGACGAGACGGAAGATTTGGAAATCCTCATCGGATTCGCGGTCTTCGCCGTGCTCAGTGCGGGTTTGGTGATTGGGCTTCTGGTGTGTAAGGAGAGGTGGCTGGAGAGGAGGCGAAGAGCTGGAGGTCCCGAAGCGTCCCAGGGCCGGGTGGCGGCTTGGCGGCATAAGTTTAGCGGTTTCATCGCTCGGTTGAGGAGGAATGGGAGGCGAGATGATTTTGGGGAGGTCTCTGCGAAGCGAGGGTTGTTGGAAGGGGATAGTCTGGCGATGGCGGAGGCTGGAGATCATCCTCATCCTCATCCTTGACGGCTTTCTCCGTTTGCTGTGATTCCGTTGGGAGAGCATTTCCAAGGGCTCGGTTGGCGTACATAGGTAGCGTAGCATTCACCAGCAATTCTAGCGTATGATTTCGAGTCGGTTTACTTATAGGCTTCAACGAATTTTTACATGGTCACTCACACTCGACTGGACGAGCTCGCTTGTTCGGTTGTCTCAATGGACTGGATATGGATTTGGAAGCTCGATGCTCTTCCCCTAGCGATCAAGGATATGAGCATCTTCCGGGATTCCAAACCACGGCTTTCCCTGAGCTCGAGGGAGCTTGCCACAACCATTGAACTCCCAACGTACATCTCGTGATTGACAGCTTGGCCATGATAAGGAGACACTCCAATCAAAGATACACCCAGAATTGTACGTCCACCATCCTCCTCATCATCCACCACGAGATAATCGCACAGTATGGCCTCCGACCGCCTGTTCGACATCGAAACCAGAATGGCTTCTACCAACGAGACCAAGCACGACCCGATCAGCAAGACGTTCGCCTTTTCCAAATCCGACTTCGACTGGGACAACTACGCCCGCTGCCGTCCCGTCTACCCCGAATCCCTCTACCAGGAAATCCTCGCGCACCATGCCGCCCACGGCGCGGGCTTCCAGAGCGCCCACGACATGGGCGCCGGCTACGGGCTCGTGACGCGGGATTTCCTCTCCCGGCACTTCAACCACACCTGGACCAGCGATCCCGTCGAACACAACCTATCAGCCGCGCGAAAAAATCTGAAAGAGCTGGACGCCAGCGGGAAGATCACCGTCGTGCAGGCGGCGGCGGAGGATGACTGGCTGCCCAAGGCGAGCGTGGACCTGGTCGCGGCCTTCACCTGTCTGCACTGGGCGGACGAGACGAAGTACATCCCGACGATCGCGGCACAGCTGAAACCGGGCGGCTCTTTCGTCGCGGTGGTGTATTGCTGTCCGTTCATTCTGGATAACCCCGAAGCCGACGCCCTCTGGAGTCGCATCTTCCACCGAGGAGGCGACGTCTGGATTCGGGAGGCGCCGAAGGCGATGGAGAGGTTTCAGGAAGGCTTGAATTCCACCGTTCCTCTCCCGACGGATCTGTTCCTGCCTGGTGCGAAGCGGGTGCGGTACAATGCGGAATTATTGGAGGAGATGGGTGACCACCGGGACCCGGAGTTCCCTTTGAAGTTTGGCAATCTGTTCTCCAAGGAGCACGTTCTCTCTTCCACGAAAGTCGGCAAGGAAGACGTGTGCGAGACGCGGACGAATATCGAAGACTGGAGCGTGCAAGGGGCGGATATTCAGTGGTTTCGGGGTCTGATGGATACGTTTCAGATTTTGAACATGGCACTGTTTGAGGAGGATCTGAAAGAGTTGGAAGAGGTTTTGAAGAAGGGGGATGGGAAGGGGAAAGTGACGGTTTGTTGGGTTGTAGATGTTGTTCTTGCGACCCGGAAGATGGGTTGATGGGGACAGGTCTTGGCGGACGTGGTTGCATGCAGATGCTCCTGCCGTTTTGGGTAATTTGCTCGGCCAATTCTCAGACGTCGACCGTCCACCGGTACCACAAAGCAAAGTTGAACGCGGATGTTTGTTGTCACAAGGTGTGTTCAATGGCGTTTTTGTTGTTAGAAGGTGTGCTCCCGGGAAAGTAGCTTATGGATGTTACTATTTTGCCTTGTAAAGAAGACTCCCAATGTACAAGTTAGATCGGAGTTGCTCTATCAACGATGGCGATGTTGCTCGCTGCACTCAATTACGTCGTCTATCATGTGAGATGAGCAACAGCAAAGGCAAGCATTACCTAAGACCGTCGTCACCGACTCCGTTGGAGCAGTCAAGCAGGCAGTGCCTTCCGCTCGGTTGGCAAGAGCTTCGGCTGCCTCCTTCACGTCCTCCTTCACGTCCGCAGAGCTGGCAAACACCACAACACAGACATCGACGAGAGCATTTTCCACCTCCCAAGATTATTTCCTCACCATGGACACAGACAGAAGACCTATCCGCGCAGCACTATTCCGCAGCGTCATCGCAGACCAAGACATTCCGTCTTGTCGCAAGGTCGACCACTCCCGCACGACTACAGACCAGGATCCTCTGTGCCGACCCCCGTTCCTCAACATGATCACAGACCACGACATGGATAACATCGCTGAGAGCAGAGAGAATCCGTGTCAAACCCAGTTCGACTACTCTACAGCGACCTCCGGTAGCACGGCGCCTGTCTGGGTGCACAAGAACCCGTACACCTCTCGCCTGCGCTTCCCCCGACTGAGCCGTGATCTCGAGGGAGAGGTCGTCATCATCGGAGCAGGCATCGCCGGCGTACAGACCGCATACGAACTTGTCAGTAAGGGCCGCAGCGTGGTACTGCTCGAGGGCCGAAGGATTCTGAGCGGCGAGACGGGTCGAACATGCGGACAACTGACGACTGCAATGCCGGACGGGTATGCTGATTTGATTGAGAAGCATGGCGATGGGGTAGCGCGCATGGCTGCCGAGAGTCACCACTGGGCTATCAATCGCGTGCACCAGCTCCAGGGGAAGCACGGTATTCCATGCGAGTTTCGCTACTTGCCTTTATACCGATTCAACCACATCCGCCCAGGAGGAGACCCGGAAGAGTACCAACAGGAACTCTACAAGAGCCGTCAGAAGATGCAGCACGAGTATGAAGCGGCCCGAGATCTGGGTCTGAATGTCGAGCTCAGAGAGGGAGTCAACATCAAAGGCTGGGACTGCCAACCGGACCAGCGTGACTGCCTCGTCTTCCATGACCAGGCCGCCTTCCACCCCACGAGTTATCTCAACGGTATTTTGAAGTGGTTGAGCGAACAGCCAAACTTCAAAGCATTCGCCTACACCCGGGTGACGGGAGTTGTCGAGAAGAAACGCGGCATCGGACGGCTTGGTGGGAAAAACGTGGAGATCAAGACGGAGATCGGCCATACCGTCAACTGCGAGGAAGTCGTACTGGCGACGGGTGTTCCGCTGCATCGAGAAAGCATTGTCGCGCGAATGGAGTACATGCGCATGTACTGCATCGCCGTCAAAGTGCCCAGAGGAATTCCTGAGGATTGCCTGGTGTGCGAGATGGATCGAGAGTACAAGTGCATGCGCCTCACGGAGTGCGATGGCGAGAACTTCTATCTGATCGTCGGCGAAAGTGATCGCAAATGCTACGAAGGCAAGCCAGTCGACAGGTTCAAGGAACTGGAAACTTGGACGCGAGAGCGCTTCCCCAAGGCCGGATCTGTTGACTATGCGTGGATGGGTCAGCAATTCGAGCCAAGCGATCGTATGGGCTCTGACCGCATGGGCTTTGTTGGTCGCGACCCGGGCACCCAGCACACCTGGATCATCGCCGGCAATTCTGGCAATGGTCTCACCCACGGAGTGATCGCTGGAGAGCTCTTGGCCCACGAAATGAAGGGCAAAGGCAACCCCCGAAACAAACGCAAATTCGGAGGCAAAGACAAATACAGGGACAAGGACAAGGACAAGGACAAATGCAAAGATCAAAGCAAAGGTCATGCCTGGTCTGCTCTGTACAAGCCGGAGAGGTTCATTTCCGAAGCGCCAGCCGAGGAAGCGAACGACTCTTGGATGCGGAAATTCGACTATTTTGTTAAATCATTCGGGCGGACGTTGTGATGCTCTTCCGCAGTGCGAGGGCGCATGCGGCTTACGGGACGGACATAGCTGGGTAATGAAGAAAATCGATCAAATGGCGAAAACGGGACGGAACGAAGTAAGAAGCAGGAAACAAGATGCATTGTCTGTTCATTGGCTCTTGTACCCTATACTTCATTAGATTAGCACGCTACCTCTTCTCGGCACGAGAAACGTACCATGATATATATGCTCTCATTCTTCACACAACAACTCCCGCAACTCCCGCCACAGCCTTCACCAATCTGCATCCCGCACCAGTAGCATCGAGAACGACACCAAGCGCCGGCACATGTCCCGCCAAACCCGCCGCAGAACCCATCATCAACGAACTCCAGCCCAGATGTCGCACCTGTTCCACGCACCGCTGCGAAAGCTCAAACACCCTCCCGAACAGCTCAATCACGACGCCCACACGCGTGATTCCCAGACCGGGGACCTGCGCGCGAGTCTGACGGAGGGCGCCGCAGTCGATCTGTCCCGAGAACCATTTTTTCATGTGCATGTGAATGTGCATGTGAAGGTGAAGAAAAGCCCGCCGTGGCCTCGTCGTCGCACGCTCGGGCGTCGTAGAGGGTTGTGGCGTGTGCGATGGCTTTTTGCTGCGCGGTTAGTTGGAGGCGGTATTGCGTTTCTATGTCTAGGAGGAGGAGGAGGAGAGTTGTGGGGAGGATGAGGCAGAGGAGGCAGAGGGAAGGCCAGGTGAGGTATGGCCGGGCGGGTTTGAGTTTGGGTCTGTAGATGGAGGTGTTTTTGGGGATTTGGAGGTCGTTTGGGTGGTAAGGATGATGGTTCTGGGGTGGTGGTGGCGCGATGGATAGTAGGGTGGTGGTGGTTTGATGACGGGGTAGGAGGAGCGTGAAGGATGGTTCTCCCTTGGGGCCTGGAATGCAAAGAGGCCACGCTGGGGATGGAGGTCCGGCCTCTTGGAGATCTGTGCAGGAGTTTTGAGCTGGAGATTGGCGGTAGCCTTGTGCCATTGAGCGCTTGCTCACATCATCTTTGCTGTGCATCTTTCCGGCGGGACAGGGTTGTTGGTGTTTTGCTTTGGTCGTGTTGGATCCTCTTCTTCTGCCTGCCAGCAGTGCAGTGCAGTGCAAAGTTGCGAGGGCGCGGGCGGGTTTGTTTCGAGCGAACAAGCTCTCGGTGGGGGGAGGCTTCTTGTAGAGTAGCAATGTGTTGCCGACAATGTGTTGTGGCCGATATGTGTTGTTGACAATGTGTTGTGCCCTGTCACTGTCGGGTTCGAGGGCATACAACGGCTTTCAAGAACGGACAAAGCCATTCAAGTTCGGAGTTCGGCGCTGATGAGTCGTTGATAGTTTGTTCTTTGTCCGATCGAACAAAGACATTGTGATGCCATGTCTCAGCGGCAGATTTCCCGATCAAGGCCGTGAGGCCCGCGGAGGAAAGTCGCAGCGGACAGAGCACAGCGTCTGAGAATCCCGTAGCGCCTAGAAAGAAAATCCATCCCCTTCAATCCGTCACAATCGCATCCGTCCTTCGGAGCACATACAGCCAATGACTAACCCTCGGCCTCTGCACAACCCCAGCACTCAACCTCTTCTTCCTCTCCGCCAACGTCTCCTCTTTCGCCTCTTCCAGATCAATCTTCTCCTTCGTCTCCAACCTCCAAAGCTGCGACGGATGCGGAAATCCAGCCTTGATCACATCATCGCTCAGCAGTCCATTCGATATTGTGGCGGGAAATGGCGGTACGAAGGGAAACCGGTCTTCCGAGTAGGAGATGCAGATCCACTTCCCGGTTCTGGGCTTCGTGAGTGCGGCGAGGTGGACGGCGAGGACATGTAAGGGGTGGACGTCGCCTGGCTGGTGGGTTCCGCATCCGACGATGCGTCGTGTCCAGCCGTTGATGGAGAGCGGGTAGGGCAGCGTGAGATGTTGATCCTGCCCGCAGGCGATGCTGTCGCTTGTACTCTTGTCCAGGATGATGTTGTACAGTCTCCCTTCCGAGTTGCGTTGGTGAAGTAATCCCAGAGTCGAATGCAATGCCAGTAGATCCATACATGACCAATTCATATGTCTCGGAAGTGGTTGCCGGACGGAATCATGCTTGCTTCCTCCCCCTTCTCCATCTCCACTCTCCTTTCCTAATGGATTTTGATTTTGGGATATATCTTCTTGCTCCCGCTTTGCCCCGGCATCCACAGCAGCCTCGGAGTAATCCACATTGTGAATCTGCTCCGGACTCTCGACCAGAGTTCGCAAAGCCAGCGCATCGGACGTGCCGCATCCGATGTGTAAGATCTGAGACATTCTGACGGTTTCCGGGTCTATCATGTCCGTGGTAACCTGGCAGAGCGCCTGCGCCGGTACAAGCCAGTCGAACGGTGAGCTATTCTTCGAGAAACGGTCATCCCAGTAGGACTGTGAGGCGAAATCCGGCATTTTCAAAATTCTTTCCTCTTTTCTGTTCTCTCAGCGTGGTTGTTGAACAAGGGGAGGGAGACCGTAATGCATGAGAACTCTTGTCTTGATTTTCAAAAGGGATGGAATACGAGGTGGGACCAGAAATCAAGGCACCGCAAGGAATAGAAAGGTGCGGTTGGAAGGGCTGAAAGCTTATCCTCGATATTCCCGTGATCGTCGCCAAGGATTACCCTTTCGTTACATGTACTTCTTATTATGGAAACACACGGCGATCGGGGGCAGCACAGGTTGGGACTGCATTGTTATAGACGGCTTTAGACGGCTTGTTATTACATCTTCCTATCGCATTCAAAGGTCCTACCAACGGGTGCCAACATCACTCTGCCACTGCTTGCCTCCCTCTGTTCTCGACAGATACTCGAGACGCCATCTCGTGAACGCAGCAAAACAAACAAATCAAAACAAAGCAGTAGTAGCAGCACCCAGCTCCCACAATGAATTCCCGGCATCATATGACACCAGCCACTTTCTTGCCGCGTTCCAGCATCTTCACCAAATCCAGAATGTGCTTCTCTTGTGCCGAGGCTCACCGCGGGCGGGCGAAAAGTTCGCTCGAGCCATCGTCGTGGAAGCGCACATGGCGAAAGGGACAGACTGCCTCGCCCTCGCGCAGAGCAGAATTGACGGCGTTCTGCTGAGAGTCCTTCCTGTCCGCCAACGTTTCCTTCTGCCGCTTGCTGTGCCACTCGTCCAGCTCCTCGCGATAGAGCTTCTTCTCCATCTTCTTGCCATCTTTCTCCAAATTCTTCATCACAGCCTTCCAGTGCTTGATTCGCTGCGCGTCGCCGCTCTTCTTGGCGGCTTTCAGTGCCTTTTTGCCCGTCTTCCAGGCTCCCCACCATGGAAGACGGTGCCAATCCCACTCCGACCGAGTCATCGCCCAGCTCTTGTTCTTGATCTGAAGCCTCGGGTGCTCCTTCCGACTCGCCGCGAGCTGCTTCTCCGGCTCCGACGCGACAAACTTCCTCGCGCAATCGGCGTAGACTCTCCTCCAGCGAGCTTCACGCTGCACGCTGCACTTAGGTCGGCGCTTGCCATTCTTCTTGATTCCCACCTGCAGGTCCAGGGCATTGTTGGCCGCCAAGAGTGGAAGCATGAGGCCTTGGATGACAGGCGCCAGCGCTGCTCGGTCCCTGCCGCTGCTCGCTCGCCACTGCGCCTCACGTCTGTTCCACTTACCGTTTACATCTTTCATGTGCGCGTTGAAGTCCCTGCAGACGAGGTTCAGAGCGCTCGTCACGCTGTTGGGACGAGGGAGGTACAGCTCGTCGTCTTCCACCACGCCATCCAGGATCTGCTGTATCAACTCGACGGGAAGGGTGAGAATTCGTGGTAATGGCTTACCGACATACACAGTGCCGTCCCAGAGCTCTGGATGGGTCTCGAATTTCACCAGGTTGCGCATCAGACGATGACAAAGGGTCTTCTTGCCCAAGCGCTTGCTGGTAGTGGATGGGCCAAGCCTGGGGTACACCGTGGTCGCCATGATTGCGTGTGTGTTGCGTGGTTGTTGGCGTCGCGGGTGGAAGAGAAAGGGGAAGCGGAGGTGAGCCTTGTCGTGCGAGGAAATCTGAGCTGGTTGCTGTTGTGATCGCTGACTCGCACGTCACATGTAAACAACGCTAGCGCGAGGAAGGAGCGACCTGGGATCATTATTCATCTCTATCAGCGCGTTTACGGACCAAAATCGTTGCTCGTTACAGTCGTCGAATCGTCCATTCATCGTCTGCCGTCAGACCCCACGAACGCCTTGCCACTGCCTGGATACACCACTGCTGTCGTTCGATACTCCCAGAGCGCTGATCGACCGCCGCACACGCAAACAAACCTCGCAGCTCGGACGGCGCTGCAAACGCTCAACGATCAAGCGTATCCTCGCTATCGTAACTTGGACTGCGTCGTCGTCCACCTCGTCCTCCCCCTCCCCCTCCCCCTCCCCTACTCTTAGACCGCAGCCTACTCAACGATCTCATGACCCGGTCCTTCAACCCCTTACTCTGGCTGCGCCGACCTCTATCCACCTCTTCTCTCTCACTCGCTGGTGGCTCACTCGAGTCTCTCCGCCTGCTCCTCGCCCCGTCTCTCCCCGATCTTCTCACATCGTCCATATCTCTCCCCGGCGGCGGATACGGAATCTCCTTGCTCCCTCTGCGCATCTCCTTCTTGTTCTTGCGACTCTGATACTGCTTCTCGAGCACTTTCGCGGCAAGAGCTCCTACGACCAGTCCGCCTACCGTTCCCATGGCACTATCTGAGATTTCATGCCCGATCCACGCACCTCCTGCTCCGCCCGCCAACTCTGCTGCTACACCGCGCTCTCCCTCCGAGCTGCCGAAGAAGTCTCGTCCGCCCTTCTTCGGGTCCGAAGGATATCGCAACGCTTTCTCCCTCATCATCATCTCCTCCTCTCGCCGCCTGCGTCTCTCCCGCTCATACTGTCGATCCAGCTCACGCTCGCGCTCGATTTCGTCGTAGTAGCGATCACGCTCGATCTGCCGCTGGCGCTCCAACTCATATTCCCGCTGCTTCTGCATCTGTACTTCCCGCTCCCGCTCGCGCGCTTCTAGCTCTGCTCTCCGCTCTTCGTAGTCATTTGGCGGGGGCTCGCGGGGCGGTGGCTGGCGCGCATAGGCCTCCTCGACGCCGCGTCGCCATTCGGCCTCGGCTTTCTCATCGTCGTATGGTGTCAAGGCTGCTTCCTCTGCTGCGGCTGGTGGACCTCTGTCTTCTGCATAGCGATCGTCGGGAAACCTCTCGTCGTACTGTTCGCGGGGGTCATCGTGATATCTTTCGTCGGATTCCGGTGCAGGTGGATACGCCTCGGTCGGTGGGGGATCGAAGTATGGCTGTCGACGTTGCGGAGGGTGCCTGTTTGGTCCGGATCGCGGCGGCGCTCTGTCGTAGCCGTAGTCGTAGCCGTCGCCGTCGCCTCGGTAGCTGGAAGATGTGGGACTCGGGTAGGATGGGAAGTGGCCTTGTCCGGGAGGGCTGCGCGGGTCGGCGTAGAAGGAGGATCGTTGCGCGGACGCCATGCTGTGCTCCTGTCTTGACTGATGTGGTATGTGGCAGTTGATGGTGTGTGCTCTTCAATAGCAGACTCATGGAACGGCTCCGTGCAGGTCGGCAGAGAGGAGATATGCGGTACAGATATCGCGACGGATGGGGGTTTCTTTCGTGAAGCACTGAGCGTCGATATGTTTCACTGCCACATGACGTATCCTGAGCACACGTTTCATGATATTATTGCCCAGGCGGGCCAGGATGTGGATGCAAGAGTTGGTGTTGTCTATACTTGCTTTTGTGATTGGGTCAGGCCTGCGTCATCTGGCGCTGGGGGAGGCACAGAGTGTGGAGGTGGGGGACATCTCGGGCCTGATCCAGCCATCTTCCCTCCTGGATCATCATCATCGGATCTTGGCTTCTGGGATGAGATGAGGCCATACGAAGACGAAAAGAGTCAGCTTCGGCATTGACATGTACAGAAATGGGACGGCTGCGGCAGGTGACAGGTGGTTCGCTGCCTGCCTGACTCTCTCCCGCTATTGCGTCCGCGGAGAGGAGAACGACGCGGACGACGACGACGACTTGTGACTGCTTGCTTTTTCTTGCTTTTCGTGCGTCGGACGAACACATCACGGCATCACCGAACTTCCCGCTATGATACAGGCATCATCCCTTGGACGAAATGCGCGTTGACCTCGTTCGAGCATACGCTTGGGCGTCCATGGCTGGGAAAGACGAATTTGCGCGACTGAACGCCACGTCTTTCTCCGGCCTTCTTTCTTGGTCGCTGTTCTGCTGTACGAGATACGCCTCATCGGCATCATGTACGACATGTGGCATTTGTCTCTGGAAGCGAGCTCTGCGCGGTGGCTTCGAGGGGGTCAGCTTCACCCTTGATACCTTCGCATTGGAGATGGTTGAGAACGACTTGGCGGGTTTCATATCTGCTGCGAGGACCGTATTGCACTCAACGCAAACAATCCAAATCCATTCCATGGCACTACTCTCGCATCCAATCCCTTGGCCGGCATTGTCCCATTCATCCTATCCGGTTCCAACTCCAACACCACCATCTCGCTCTCTTGGTTTGGTTTAAGCCCGACGCAAGGTAAGTAGAGCGACTCTTGAGGTCCTACCAGCCAGTTCCCACACAGGTTGTAGCCATTCCCGCGGACTTGACCTTTTATGCCTTGAGGAAAGGAGAGTTAGGTGTCCACCGACGCCGCGTCAGACGAGTTTGCTTGGGGCACTTTGTAGGTTGCGTGTGTCGCGGGTATCAACGTCTTGGTCGTATGATGCCGGTTCTGGCTATCGATGACCCCCTTCTGGAGCCCGTTGATGTATATCAGAACTCTATTCCGAGGACGATCCCCGGACTGGACGTGGCCGGATGCGTGCGACGTGGCGGTGTGAGAGGAAAGGATGAAACCGTAGGATTGGCCCCGTCCGCTCTCGTCAATGGGGGCGCTGTAATCATAGCTGGCAGTGGTGAAGACCGTCATACGGTTCTGCCACAGAGCGCTGTTGTCGAAGCCGAAGTTCGTTCCGCCATGGACCATGTAGAAGCTTATGGATGCAGACTTGTTGCCCAGAACGTAGTCGGTCCACAGATCTAAGAGATGTATCTTGTTTTCCGGTGCTAATTTGCAAGTAGTCGCATGAATGTGCTCCTGGGAGAAGTCGTTGTTAGTCTGCGAGGATACGGCTGATCACTCTTGTACGGTCTGTCGATAGGCATCTGTAGGGTAAGTGGCGTATCTCCATTACAGCTGGAACGTTGCATCTTAACAATTCGGTAAGATCTTGAGACGTCGAGGCTACGAGAAGGGTAGATTTTCTAGGCGGAGTGTTGATGTCGCGGGAGCGGGTCTTTTTTCTAGACGTAGCTGTGCTCGCCGTTCGATTCGTTCGTTGGATACTTGTATGTTGATGTCCAATGTGAGAGCTTCTTCAGGTAGAAGCACTGTAAGTATGCCTCTCCATGAAACTTGCAGAGGTAGACTACTGACTTGGTGCAACATGCTGCTGCGGACGATTTGGCGGGAGCGGGTCCCAGGCAATCAGAATAATTTGATTGAATCTGCTAATGACATCCAGCAGAATGCAACGAGGAGAGTAGAGTGGTGGTCCCCGTAAATTGAGCAAGGTGAGCACGGGCGTTCGCGGGAATTAATGGCTCGGACTCTTGTGCGGTGACAGCGCGAACACTTCACTACTTCCACCTTGACAAGATCGTCCGCGAAATTTAAGCGATCCATGTGTTTCCAAAGCAGCTCCTTATCCTCTTCAACGATCGATCGATACTCCTGGTTCTTGAGTAGTGCACTCTGATGCTTCTCTTCCAGCTTAGCCGCCACTTCGAGGTGCTTGGGGTGGTCCCCGACCTCACGGATGGTGTGAATGGCGCTCAAGACAACACCTGGCTCGGTGATAGCATCTGTCGTCTTCTGAAAGCGAGAGAAAGCTGCAGCTTCCAGGTCGGGTAGCAAGTATTTCTCGGCGGCCTTGGAGACGTGCAGATCATGAAGCCAGTCGTCTGGTCGCGAAGACTCGGTCTTGCCAGAGTAGATGTGCCAGAGTACGGCCTCGACCGCATCGGGATGATCTTCCTTCAGCTCGACGGTATTCGATTTGCTCTCCTAATCTATGGTCAGCCCAGCTTTTAAAAAAAGTGTACACCAACCCTGGTCCTTGCCTTGAAGCTGCTGCCTGGTCCACATAGTTTTCGGAAGTATACAGACTTGGTGCAGAGGATGATCTTGTGGCACTTGATCTCCTTTCCCGAGAACTGGACAACGATATCTGAGTAATTTTCATCGTGGAATAGCTTTTCGGTGTTGAGCAAAGAATCCATCCCGCTCCGACTCGACGCCAGGGCAATTGGAGAGGGAGCGAATTCTTTCAGTGGGTGCCAAGGTGCGCCGCGCCGAAGCGGAAAGAAAGAACGACGTTTGGACTTTGCGAATTCTGCCTTCCTTCCAAGATTGAGATCAGAGCACAGGCCATAAAGCACAGACATCTACGCCACATGCATTCCACACAAATGGTACATTCGAGTGTTGACCATCATCAACCTCGAAATGACAATTCGAGGAAACTCTCTGTGCATGCAACTCGAGGGCCAAGTTTTCAACCGAAGCAACCGCGCGACCCATACATAAGATCTGATCAGCGTTGCAGGAAGGTTCTCGTCCGCTGGGCTTCGAGCTTTGCTCTTACAGCAATCCGGCCTTCAGAGCAACCAGCAAGGAAACTTCCTACTGAGTCTTCTTCTCACTTGCTTCTTCCGCTTGGAGGGCAGCTTCCCGCTCTTGCATCAAGAACGCGGCTGCTGCTCCCGGCCCAGCTAATATAGCGAACACTAGACTCTGACCCAGCATCTCCAGCCCGCTCCTCGACGTCTTGGCGGAAATCTCACTGTAAAGTGCCGCCGCCCAAATCATAATCGCCGCAGATGAGCACATCCAGTCCCACTGCAGGAAGATTGCAACGCCGGTCTCGAGATCTACTTTCTGCACCACACTTTCCGACCAGAATGGCACTGGTGCCAATACCTTCCATGGGTTCAAAGCGGTAACGGTCCCATCGTTGAGCCAGCCAGGAAAGGATTGTGGCGCGAGTAGGTAGGCCAGAGACGAGACGTGAAAAAATGACGAAGCGAGAATGCTGAACATGTAGAAGATCCTTCGAGAGGCGGGGCCAGAAGAGTTTGAAGCTGAAGGGCCCATCGCAACGGAGAACACCTTGTAAATGACAAAGACGAAGATCGGATGGAATAGCCGAGCGATTGTCCAAATCTGCTGTGATGCCAGGCCTTCTCCGTCAGGTTTGGTTCGGAGCATGAGCAGAGTCGGCGCCACGTGGCCGAAGAGAATGGCAAATCCAAGCGGGCTGAGACTCGAGAGACTCCTTTTAGCGTTCTTGTCGGATGTCATGAACATGTGCACAATGCACCAAATGGGAGTGAAGAGTCCTATGCCAAGCAGCTCACCCATGAATTCGAGGAAGTAGGTCATGAACGTGAAGAGGGCCGACCTATCCGTTCGGTGTGTCTCAAGAAGCATGATGATCCAGATGCTGGAAAGCGTTCCGATAAGGTGATTTCCTTGCCAATGAGCCCGGACATTTCTTGCATCTAGAGAGATATAGAAGAACGAGTTCATGAAGGCCAAATAGTTGTCCAATGTCGCGATGCCAGTCTGTGGAATCTTCATGGGGATGCTCGTATTTGGCAGGACTCGGTTTGTGTAGGTCAGGAGATGTTCGAGGGAAATTGTTCCGTTCCATTCCGCTTGTTTGGTGAGGGCGAGATGGGCCGTGATGACCACGCCCCCGAGAATAATCGCTGCGATGATCCGAGAGGATGACATCTTATGTTAAATCGAAGCAGTTGATTGTAAGATCCGAAAGAGGTGCTTGCATTGCAAAGATATATGAGGTGAGTTTTGATCAGGGGTCTTGGCCCTGCTGACGACCTCGGCTGATGTGAGAGCGGGAGCGATGGCGACTTCTTTCCTTACCCTTGTTCTTCTTGTTCATCTCCACCATTGACTTGCACATCTCTGCCAACATGTTATATTCAAAGAAACTCTTTCGCGCATTTAACATTGACTGCGAGATGCGAACATGCTGGAAACACAGACTGCCTGTGAAGTCGTCGAAGACGAACGCTGCAACATCTCCAGACTCGACATCTAGAATCTCCATTCGCAGTTTTCCATCATCGTACATTGCAACTTCTGTCTTTGAACGGATTGATATCTACATAAATTCAATGTGTAGAAGCGAGCCTTGCAATTCTGACAGACTACTCAGTACAACGATCCAGTTTTGCTTGTCCACCGTGTCTGGAACAAACGCCATTTTGGCCCAGCGATTGTCTCAAGCATTAATAGCCAGGTATCCTTGTTGACATGGGCAAAAATCTCGGCAATGAGCATGTCTTACTCTGGACCCGGCGCCGGCGGCAGCATCGCTTCTTCCTCACGACGTCTTCACAAGATACATAGGGGACGCATTCGCGCCTCAGCGCCACTTTACACGGTGAGGACCTTTTGTACAATTTCCGATCTTCATATTCGATTTCAGTCATTCGTTTGAACTCCGCTCTTTCAAGATATCTCCCTCGAGAAGACGATTGCGAGAAGACTTTCCTAATACCAGTATACCCATCAAAGCGATGTTTGGACCCGGATTCACCACCGTCGCCCTGACTGCCTTGCTCGGCGTTTCCTCTGCAGCCAGCTTGCAGCTCCGCGACTATCCGCAGGGCACCAGCAATGTCACGATCGTCGACCAGAGCAAGAACTACAATGCGACTGGAGGAGAGGGACATGTGGCAGCCGCTGGAAATCTGCCTCCATTCGGCAGCATCGGCATTGGCTGCGGTGTCAACTGGGACAACAAGAGCATGGCTTACGGAGGTAAGATGCGTTCGATTGAGACGTAATTGCGAAAGGGAGACATTTTGACTGATGGGCGTGAAGGTGGTGTGAATGCCGGCAGCAAGGACTTTGGCCTTGGGGGTGGCTATACGGTGACACCTACCACCATAGAAATCGGCAACGGAATCGGTATCAGTAAGTGAAAGTCCACCTTGGTGATGTGATGAAGACGCATGGCTGACCATATCACCTCCTGAAGACACTGCCAACTCCAGCGCCAATGTCAATTTCAAGGGGAGCGTCAACGGAACCTTCGAGCTTCGCTTCGAGTCCACCTCCGATTTTGCCTGCGTACCATCGAACGACAATGGCACGCATTCCATCGTTTGCACTACGATCTAAGAAGATCGCACCCTTCAGGCACACATAGCGTGCGTGACGTTGGAGTAAAAGGCCCGGGCATTCAAATCGAGTGGTTGTCATGGCTTGCTCGTGGTTCTTGATGCCTTCCAATGACTCTTTGCAGGAATAATCTCGACAGACATGTTACCACACATCATTCTTCATTCGGTCTTCCATCTGCTGTAAACAGTAGCCTCTCAGCAAGGCTTCTGGGGCGCCCAGATCGTCCTCAGTGAGCTCAATGACATCTTTCTTCGCCTCCTTGAAAAACGCTGTCAGCTGGTTCACATTCTGTTTCTGACAGTTGGTTGCTGGCGGTCTTCAATACGACCAGTTCAGCTTCCTGCCTCGAGGCTCTCTTATCTATGCGTCGAGTTCCTGGAAATCCGGCGGGGGCGAACATCGCTGTCCGCGGGACGAGTAGCTGGTAGAGGTGTCGCCCAGTACGCTTGCAGTCTTTTCATTGAAGGAGTGGTCAAACGAGCCTTCACTGGAGACCACTGAGATGTCATTGAACTTCTCCGTGATGTGTGAGGTGTGCAGTGAGCACAAGCTCGCCATGACACGCGTGGGGATGGCAGGCTGGCAGTTGCTGCCTCAGGTTGAAACTCGCTTGTGCCTGTTTCGTCTGGATCAGTCAGCGCACTTCACCAAGAATCACCACCACACGAGCGCATCACAGACCACAATATAGCCATCACCGCCGACTGCGACTGCGTCCACCCAGACATAGGCGCCGAACTTTGCTAACAAGATGGCGCAGCAGGATATCAATGAGTTCAAGAAGTGAGTTCGCTCACATTTCGACGTGCACGGCAGCTCACAAACAAATAGGTCTCTCGTCCACGACGAGCTCATCACCATCTGCATGGCGAACAACCGCAACAAGCCCATCAAGGTCTCTCGCGCTTTGCTCACTGCTGCCTCGCCATGGTTCCAGTCTGCTCTCGACAAGAAGTTCAAAGAAGGCGAGGAGCGCGTCCTCCGCTTTCCAGACGCCGAGTGTGACACCGTCACCGAGTTCCTCTTCTGGCTTTTCAACGCCAGACAGCTCAGCGACTCCTTTGCCGATCAGGTTGGCAGTGCCACTGCCGTGTCCAATGCCCAGTTGCGAGACGTCCAGCTCTGGATCTTCGCCGACATGCACTGCTTGCCCGACCTCTGCGGTGCGGCAATGAGGGATCTACATTGCAAGCTGAGCATTCAGTGGCCAAGCACCGAAGTCGTGCGCACTGCATTTGAGGGCACGGCCGCCGACTCGCCACTGCGTCGCGTGATTCTGAAGGAGGTTGTGTTCGGTATGAGAAGCCGGGCCAAGGGCGATGTTTCGGCTGGCTTCAGCTTGGGGGAGCTGGAGAAGTTGATGGATTTGCCAGGCTTTGCGGTTGCGTTGATGAAGGAGCTAGGCAAGTGCCTGGTCGAGCTCTCCTGGCAGGACATTTCTGAGATCGACTAGGCCGGCGGCATTGTCACGGGAAGCGACTCAGGATGGCATTCTTGTGGATGGAAGGCCTCTCCATCGCTGCATTTCTTTCTATTCTTCTGGAAACGGAGGTGTCTACCGTTGAAGGTTATTTGTATGCACGGTGAAGTGCGAACTAAACTTGTAATCGAGTCTTCCATTCTTTCACCTGGTCTACATTTCCATCCCAATGTCCCCCAATGCTGACGCGCTGTCAATGTCCGTATTTGCCGAATGTGATCGCTGTTCGAACACAGCTCCACTATCACGACGTTTATGAGTATTGAATATGCAAGATGGAGGACCGTCGGTGTCGTCGACCGCCGCGTGCGGTGCATTCGAGGGAAATGGGAATGACGATCAACGGGATGAAGTGGGAAGAAGCGGAAGTCTCGAGGATCTCCTGGACCCTGAAAATCAGAGTCTCGCCACGTCCGCTGCATCCCGGCCCACCCGGCGCCAAACAGGAGATGGCGTGAGGCTCATCTCGTTCTCTAGCAGTCCTTTATACTTTACAGCAGCCACCCCAAAGGAAGACCTCTTGTCTTTTGCACAGACGGCGCGCGACTCGACCTGACTTTCCTCGAGCGAAACTTCGCGACACGACTTCGCGACATGCCTGGCCGAACACTCCCGACCCTGCCTTCGGCACAGGTCGCTGCACATAACACCTCCAAGTCTTGCTACGTAACGGTCGGAACCAAGGTATACGACATCACGCCTTTCCTCGAAGACCACCCCGGCGGCGCGGACCTGATCTTGGACTATGCGGGCAAAGATGTCAAGGAAATCATGGAAGATGAGATTTCACATGCTCACAGCGAGTCGGCTTGGGAAATCCTAGATGACCACCTCGTTGGATTTGTCGCGACTGAGAAGGTACTGGACGCAGCAAAACAGAGCAATGACCCCTTCAGTGTCTTGCCAATGGAGCCGAACGCGAAGGGAATGGAAGATTTGGAGAGGACAAGCAATGGCGCTGCGGAGGAAGTGAGGGCCAGAGACACTGTTGTTGCCAGTGGCAATGAGGAAGCGGAAGAGCCCACGTATGAGGCGACTGGCATGAGCTCGGAAGCAGACCTGAACAAGGAGACGGATGCGCGGTCAGACTACAAAAAGCACAAGTTTTTGGATTTGGATAGGCCGCTCCTGATGCAGGTCTGGTATGGTGGCTTCAGCAAGAAATTTTACCTCGAGCAGGTACATCGGCCACGTCATTACAAAGGTGGTGACAGCGCGCCACTCTTTGGTAACTTCTTGGAGCCACTCTCCAAGACGCCATGGTGGGTCGTCCCTACGTTCTGGTTGCCTCCGGTTGCCTACGGCACAATCCTCGCCGCGAAGCACTTCAGCTTTCCAATCCTCGCATCATACTGGCTGACTGGACTCTTCCTCTGGACGCTGGTGGAGTATTGTCTTCATCGGTTCCTTTTCCATCTCGACGACTACCTTCCAGACAACAGAGTCTTCATAACACTGCATTTCCTGCTGCATGGCATACACCATTATCTGCCCATGGACAAGCTGCGCCTGGTCATGCCGCCGACGCTCTTCATCGTTCTGGCCACTCCGTTCTGGAAGCTCGCGCACACTGTATTCTCCTATGACTGGTATGCTGCGGTAGCTGTATACTGTGGTGGGATATTCGGTTATGTCTGCTACGACCTCACCCATTACTTCCTACACCACAAGAAGTAAGTAAAAGCCTTCTTGCAACGACTGTTGATGCCCTGCTGACTTTTGTAGCCTTCCGTCGTACTACCGCGAGCTCAAGAAATACCATCTCCAGCACCACTTCATGGACTACGAAAACGGCTTCGGAGTCACAAGCCGGTTCTGGGATACGATATTCGGAACTGAGCTCCCTCCACCCCCGGCGCCTCGCAGCAAGGTGCTCAAGACAGCATAATTCAGTTGTAGAGTTGAATTTGCTATAGCATGGCATGGACAGGCGTCGAATACCAGTACAACGAGCGCTGCTTGTAGAATATCAGACATTATACATAATGATAATGCGCACAGTCATCGCGCCACAACACAATGATACGCTGATTTTCACTGCTCACGCTACCGCGTCCCATCAACGGCTTCCACTGCAAAATCTGAAATTGTATGCCAGTCCGAATTGTTCACGCAGAATGTGCAGGCGACATTATCGGTACCCCCCTTGACGCTGCTCACGTTCTCAGCAAGGCGGCCACGTTAGCTCCGGGTAGTCCCGCTAGCGCGTGCCTCCGCATTTCTTTCCTCGACAAATCCACTCAAATCGAAACCTCGACCAACAACCCACACCGCAATACCTCGCTACCAACCAGTGTTTAGCAAGCGCATTGTTGCACCTCAAAACCCACCGAGGAGTATCTCGACCGTACACCTCTCTCTAACCCGACTTGACTGCCATCGGCGAACTCACTTCTCTTGCAGCGCCCGCGCGGCGGCGACGTCCAATTCTCACCTAGGCGATCCGAAACATTTTCACCACCTCCACCACCCGAGCGGTTTCTAGCCCCGAATCCATCACAGTGAGCACCAAGTTACACTACGTCAAGAACCCCACCCAACAATCATGGCATTTGCAGGCGGTAATGCCGTTGGCATTGCCGAGCTTCTCGAGCGCGAGGAAAAGAAGGCCAAGGAGCGCATCCGCCTAGAGAAAGCAGCCGAGCGCCGCGAGAATGCATTCACCGACACGCAGATGGGAGGCATGCCCTCATCGGGCGACGGGCGCCTTGAGCGTTCAGACTTCTTCAGCTCATCATACCCAGTTGATGACCCACACTCTTCTTCCTCCCGCCCGACCTCGTCAAACGGCCCAACCAAGCACATCAACGGAGACCGCAAGTATACGTATACCAACGAGAGAAGCGAGAACGATGAGCGTCGGGCTCGTCGGTCCCAGCATGACCCATTCGAGGACGATGCGCAGGGCGGCACTGACCGTGACAGTATAAACGGAACGAAGCGTAGGAGCCGTAGTCGCTCCCCTCGACCAGATAGCCGTCGCTCCCACCGCTCTCGCGAGCGCATCTCCGGCGGAGACTTCTATCGTGGAGGCGGACGCTACTCCGCGGACCGCGATGATGACGATGACAGATACTACCGCCCTGGCTCCGACCGCCGTGGCCCTCGTCGCGAGAGCCGTGACCGCGGAGGCCGCGATCGTGGTGGCAGGGACGACAGAGACCGCCGTGTCCGCGAACGTGACACGCGCGGCTCTCACGACAACCATCGCTCGCCAGCAGGCGGCTATAAACGTAAGACACCAGAGCCGACTGATGATGAGCGCGATAGGCGTACCGTTTTTGTGCAGCAGCTCGCTGCTCGTCTTCGCTCGAAGGATCTAAAGGTGTTCTTTGAGGCTGCAGGCCCGGTGGTCGACGCTCAGATCGTTAAGGACAGGGTGAGCGGACGTTCCAAGGGGTAAGCGTCTTCTTTCATCTCATGCGGAATGGAGTACTCACAGAATTGCAGTGTCGGATACGTTGAGTTCAAGGACGAAGAGTCAGTTCAGAAGGCCATTGGTCTCACCGGGCAAAAATTAATGGGCATTCCTATTATCGCTCAACTTACGGAAGCAGAGAAGAACCGCCAGGCCCGCACCAACGAAGGCGGCGCCACCCACTCGAACGGAATTCCATTCCACCGTCTCTATGTCGGCAATATCCACTTCTCCATTTCAGAGGAAGATTTGAAGACCGTCTTCCAGTCCTTCGGTGATCTTGAGTTTGTACAGCTCCAGAAGGAGGAGGGCGGCCGTTCGAAGGGCTATGGTTTTGTGCAGTGAGTAAGATTACACCGCTCTCGGAGAAGTTGAGACTGACTTGTTCTGAGGTTTGTTGATCCTGCAGAAGCAAAGAAGGCCCTCGAGAGCATGAACGGCTTTGAGCTCGCCGGTCGCCCGATTCGCGTCGGTCTTGGAAATGACAAGTTCACGCCGGAGTCCACGCAGAACCTCATGCAGCGCTTCGGCAATCAAGGTAACCACCAGGGCTCCTCCTTCTCTGGCATGGGAGGTCGTGGCACGCAAGCTGGCGGCACCGGCAACTTCGACCGTCCAGCCGCCCGCGATCTCGACAAGGCTGGTGGTGCGGGCGCACTCGACGACTCCGACGTGGGCGGCGTGAACTTCAGCAATTACAGCCGCGACGCTCTCATGCGCAAGCTTGCGCGTACCGATGAGCCAGAGCAGAAGATCGCTCCCAAGTACCAGGCATCCAAGCCCATCGTGGTCCAGTCGGCCCCAAGTCGCTGCATCGTGGCCAAGAACATGTACGATGAGAACACGTGAGTATACGCGCCGACTTATCACGTCAAGGACAGAGCAGTATGCTGACAAGCTTGTACAGTAAGGACGAGGGCCCGAACTGGAAAGAGCTCCTCCAGAAAGATATCGAAGAGGAGTGCAACGCCACCTATGGTAAGGTCGTCCACGTCGGCATCCCGCCAGATGGCGATCAGGGCCAGGTGTACATCAAGTTCGCAGAGCTCAAGGGCGGCGAGAAGGCTCTCCGCGGCCTCAACGGACGCTACTTCGATGGTAAGATGGTCACGGCCGATACGATGGTTGAGGCGGTCTACAACATGAACTTCCCACAGGCGAAGAACGCCTAAGGTATGTACATTCTCTGGTAAGCAGCCAGAGTGAGCAGCGGCGAGCAGTGGCAGCGAGCAGTGGCAGCGAGCAGTGGCAGAGAGCAGCTGTGCAGCTGTGTAGCACGTCGAGCATGGACTATCCCACGAACCCGAACCTGAATCCGCGATACCCGAATTGTTCAGCATGACGAGGCAAGGTCTCATGCTCAAGGAGGGAAAGAAATCGAGGCGTTGGTGAGAAGTGATTCTCGAACTTGAAGCCGAGTCCTACGGCTTCATCATTCGCACTTGGTTTGAGATAGAGGGAGAAAGGGGAGATGAGAAATAGAAAGGAAAAAAGAGCGAGCACCAACAAGATACCATGATAGGGCGAGCTACCGGCTTGCTGAACTGACGTGCAACTAGGCCTCACCGCCTGACCTCTTTGCAGTATGAGGCGTTCAGGACGAGATTCAGCTTAGTGGGCTGTACTTCGTCTGCTTCAATACCCGCCCAATGAAAAAAATTGAAAGCCAGAAATTCCGTTCCAAGTCCCAGTCATCAAGGTTTGATGGTAGGATTTGTGTGGATGCGAGGAGCACTGTATGTGCTTAGGCATGCTCTACATTTAATGTGGAAAGTGACTTTGTAGAAGTGAGGATGTGAGTGCCTGTAGTCGTAGCAAGGTATCACTATTGCTATATTGGTAGCATGTGGAAATGACGAGGCCTTTGAGGCAGAGCGGACATGCTTGAAAGAAGATCCGGATCGATCGACGTCGCAGCAGCTGCGCCACACGACGCGCTGCGCAGAGCTTGCTGTGCTGTGCTCTGCTATTTTCCGCTGCGAACGATCGTTGCCTACCGTACATCCTTGTGCGACGCCTCATCATCGCTGTCCTCGCGGCCGACTCACCCAAACCTTCAATACTTTTTCGCTGGAATTCGTACAAACCACATCCACATCCACCCACACCCAGAAGCGTGCGCGCGTGTCTCCCGACGTCCACATCGTTTGCTGCCACACGCAGCGCAGTCATTCGTTGGGGCCTGCACGTCGGCGACGCATCTGCCAGGCACTTGTCCAGGATCTACGCAAGCATTCGCGAGCACAAGAAGCAGCAACATTTCACTGCCTCCGGCCTCCTCATACACTACACAATAATACAACCACAGCGCCGGCAAGGCAGAATCTCGATAGATCAGTCCTGTCACTCGCTACCGCCCTCCCAGAGTCAGCATGGCCGCAAACGACTACTACAATACATATCCTACCGCACACGCCAGTCCCTACCATGACTACGACTTTCCCGACCGCCACGACGGTCCCCTACCGCCGCTGCCGCATCCATCCCAATCCCCCTTCGACCCCGACGCACACAGCACATATCTAGGCCACCAGCACCCTCCGCAGTCGTACACAGGCGCGAATGGGAGGATACACGATGACGCGGATCCCTTTGAAGATGACAATGCGATCCCTTTGAACGGCAGAAAACCCAAGCACGACTCGACGCATACCATTTCCCCTATACTACCGCACGAGCAGGACGACCCCTTCGTAAGAGATGCAGACCCGCGGAAACAGAAGCACAAGCGGACACGCAGCAGACAGGGCTGGTTCAGAGGCAAAATCACATGGGTGGTGTACGTTCTGACGCTTGCACAATTGATCGTCTTCATTGCGGAGATCATCAGGAATGGTAAGGCAGAAACAAAGCCTCCACATCTTGGACGGACTGGCTAACGTGTCGGCAGCGGTTCTGACCAAGTCTCCGATCGAGATTCACCCGTCTTTCAATCCCATGATCGGGCCATCGCCCTATGTACTGATCAACATGGGTGCTCGCTATCAGCCTTGCATGCACACTATGCCCGGAGTACAGAACGCCAGCCAGTCCATCTCGTGGCCCTGTCCGAATGCCACCGCAACGACTGGCGACAGTGTCACCTGCCAGCTTTCTGATCTTTGCGGATTTAGTGCCGACCTCAATCCCAAGGTCGGTGGAAGTCTGAGTGACAAACCCGCACCTGACCAGTGGTGGCGCTTCATCGTGCCCATCTTCTTGCATGCGGGTATCATCCACATCGGCTTCAACCTGCTCTTGCAGCTTACCTTGGGTCGCGACGTGGAGCTGCTGATCGGCAGTGTTCGATTTGCAATTCTCTACTTCGCGGCCGGTATATTTGGCTTCGTGCTTGGCGGCAACTTCGCAGCAACGGGGATAGCATCCACTGGCTGCTCAGGTAGTCTGTTCGGCATTCTGGCCATCACTCTGCTGGACCTGCTCTACCACTGGAAGGAACGCGATAGCCCAATCAAGGACTTGATGTTCATTATTGTGGACGTGCTCATTGCATTCGTGCTTGGTCTGCTACCGGGACTCGACAACTTCTCACACATTGGTGGCTTCCTCATGGGCCTCGTACTGGGCATCTGCCTCCTGCGTTCACCGCACGCCATCTCAAGACGCACCTCGCAGGACATCTCCGCCGTGTACTCGCAGGTTGCTCGCCAGAATGACCGCAACAATGGCCTTCGAAGCTTCATCAAGAATCCGCTTGGTTTCTTCAAGGACCGCAGAGGTGTTTGGTGGGCCTGGTGGCTTGTGCGCGCCGCAGCTCTACTCGCTGTCTTCATCGCATTCATTTTGCTGCTCAAGAACTTCTATGTGTGGAGAAACGGCTGTACTTGGTGCAAATATCTGTCTTGCCTGCCCATCAAGGTTGGCGGCACAGACTGGTGCAATGTTGGTAATCTCGACTTTACGCAAAAGACGACGAAGCGAAGCTTGTTGGAAATGACGAAGGAGGTTTTCGAATCTGCGCGCGGTTCGAGGGTTTAGAGAAAGAGCTTGGACTTTGTTCCATCTGTATGCACGTTGACGTGAGGCTATAACCGGCGGGAAAGATGATGACATACACGACAACTACAACGGCTGTACCACTTATTGGCATTGCACTGTGGCAAATTTAGCGAAGGCGAACGGATTTTGCTCTAGAGGAAACGCTCTGACAAACGTCGGAAGAAATTACGGGCGGGTCTCGGAAGAAGAAATTGCATGTTGCTTGCTCTTGGTGTTGATCATCATGAGATGAATACCCAGAAGAAGCATCGAAGACGACACTTGTATCGACATGTGGACGTAAACATGGTATTAGCTGGCATTCCGGTTCAATTTGCCTGTTGTCCGTGACATAACCATTCCCTTGGATGAGCCTCGATTGTTCCGAACTTTTGCCTCTGGCTCTTTTGTGAGACAGACCACTTTTCTTGCTGGGCCAATCTTTGCTGGCTATCACGAACTATGCGCTCCTTCGCGGACGTGCGCGATTTCGCTGTTGCTCAAGTTTCGCTGCTGAGATCCACCTGCTTCCACCGGAATACGAGCTGGCAATAACGCGCTCGGTCGGTGCATACCTGCGAGAGGTATTAAGTCGATGGCGGTCCTCATAGGCATTTCCTTTGCATACTGCAGTAAGTAGCTGTTTACGGTGCGGGACCAAGATATTCGACTTCAATCTGGTGTTCCTGCGCATTTCATACGACTGTCTTGTCAAGGCTCCTACCGATACCTAACCTCGTGCTGAAGTTCTGAACACATAGTCCACGGCCGTGCGAAGGCCCTCTTCGACATCCGTGTCCACCATGTATCAGCATCTGGCCCTATCTACACTCTTGGCTACCGCTTTGGCTGTCCCGGCTCAGCTTCCGAGGGCCACCAGCCAATATGACTACATTGTAGTAGGTGGAGGCACATCTGGATTGGTCGTCGCAAATCGACTGAGCGAGGACCCGGCCGTTTCTGTGGCCATTATCGAGGCAGGCGCTTCGGTCTTCAACAACCCCAACGTGACGACCACCACGGGCTATGGCAACGCTTTCGGCACGAGCATCGACTGGGCTTACGAGAGCGAAGCGCAAATCTACGCTGAGAATAAGACGCAGGTCTTGAGAGCGGGAAAGGCTCTTGGAGGAACGAGCACGATCAATGGTGGGTGACTACAATGTAGCTGTGTGATGAGGTTTCGGCTAAAGGAGTGGCTAGGCATGACTTACATGAGGGCTGAAACTGGCCAGATTGATGCTTGGGCAAAGGTTGGCAACAACGTTACCTGGGATTCTCTTTTGCCGTACTACAAGAAGAGCGAAGGCTTCCAAGTGCCTACTGCAGCGCAGGTCCAAGATGGATCCACTTACCAAGTCAGCGCACATGGGTTTCATGGCCCGCTTACCGTGTAAGTGCTTGCAAGAATATCGACCTCTCCAACTTTGGGAATCTGCTCTAACGTCTGAGGGTTCGATCGTAGTGGCTGGCCAAGTCAGATGGTCGGCAACAACTTCTCTGGCATCCTGAACGCGTCTTTCAACTCCGTGGGACTGCCCTGGAACGGCGAGCCGAACAATGGCTACATGCGTGGTTTCAACATCTTCCCCAAGACTCTCAACCCCACTACATCTATCCGCGAAGACGCTGCCCGCGCATACTATTTCCCCATTAGCACTCGTGCGAATCTGCACCTCTACCAGAACTCTTCCGTCGAGCGACTGACCTGGGAGGAGGCATCGCATGGGTCTGACCCCTCTGTGAACGGCGTTGTTTTCACTGATGCTTCCGGCAATCAGCATCAGCTCTCTGTGAAGAAAGAGGTTGTGCTGTCCGCAGGCGCTCTGCGCTCGCCGTTGATCCTCGAGCAGTCTGGGGTGGGAAACAAGAAGTAAGTGGTCTTTTTGGACTCTTCCCTTTGACTGTCCTGCTAATGATTGAGATAGAACCCTCGAGAAGCTTGGGATTGAAGTCAAGGTATGTTACAGAAAGGCAGAAGCCATTCTCAACCCGATGTTCCGTTTCCAAGCCACTGATCTACCCGCCGTGCCATACTATCTCTCACTACTCTGTCTTGGACACCGCTGATGCTCTTTCCTTCTGTGTATTAGGTCGATCTCCCCTTTGTCGGTGAAAACCTTCAAGATCAAACCACCATCGACACAGCCTATGCTGCCAAGGAAAACTTCACCGGATCAGGTGGATTCATCGGATACTACAACGCGGAGGATGTCTTCGGCCGCCATGCCGCTCACACCATCTCCAAGACCATCCGATCTTCCATCCCGGCGTACGCCAAGAAGGTCGTCGAAGCCTCCGGCAACGTCGTCAGCCAAGCCGCAATCGAAAAGCTCCTGGAGATCCAGCACAAGATCGTCTTCGACGACAAAGCCGTCATCGCCGAGATCATCGTGAACGCGCCATCCGGCGGCATGGCAGGCATCGAATACTGGGGCCTGATCCCCTTCTCGCGCGGTAGCATCCACATCACCTCGGCCAACGCCTCGGCCCCGGCCTCCATCAACCCGAACTACTTCATGCTCGACTGGGACGTCCAGCAACAAGTCGGCACCGCGCGCAAGGCCCGCGAGATCGCCAACGCAACCCCCCTGAACGACTCCTACGGCGCGGAGAGCACGCCCGGTCTGGCCGTCGTGCCCGCGAATGCCACTGAGGAGGTGTGGGCCCACTGGCTCAAGTCATCCTACCGATCCAATTTCCACTACATTTCCACCGCGGCGATGATGAGCAGGGAACTGGGAGGGGTTGTGGATAGTGATCATTTGGTCTATGGCACGGCGAATGTCAGGGTTGTCGATGCCAGTGTGTTGCCCTTCCAGGTCTCGGGTCATCTGACGAGCACGCTCTATGCTTTGGCGGAGCGAGCGGCGGATCGGATTAAGGCGAGACATGCTTGATTAGCGACCAATGAGGGTGGTGTGAAAGAGCATGTAATGTGATGTGATGATGGGTTCAGTGCCCAGAAAACTTTTTCTTTTAATTTGCGACGTACTAATTATTTATCTCGACGGGTGCTATCTAGATATCGCAACTCATACGGCCCGTGCAAGTCGCTCGAGCCTGAGCTTTTTGTTTTTTACGAGGACACTCGGTCAGGTCATGGGATTACAACTCGAAGGAATTTGAATAATTATGCGGCACTCATCTTCTCCAAAGCCGCTTTAATATATTAGGTCCGGCGATTATTCTAAGAATACAATCACTCTACACTCGACAGACACTCTCTCTTGCAGACTCACTCTCCATCGCAGCCACCGACGGCGAGCCATGGACAGATACAATGAGCCGCGATTTCCCTCTTCCCACGCAAATCGCCTGCGGCAGTATTAGCAAACTTCAACATGAGCACTTCATTCGGCTTCTGCTCTGACATCCATGGAGTAGAGCGCACGCTCTTTGGGACTGGGACTGATTTCGTCCGGAATGCTGTAGCGGAAAGGTGCCAGAGACGTTTTGCTTGCTCGGACGGGGGGAACCTCATGTTGAGGAGGTTTCTGGTCTGGTTAGCGTTGCAGAGAGACAGTCCTCGCGAGAAGACTTGGTCGAGAGGTAGGGTAGGTGGGTGCCCTAGGCTAGGATACATGTCTTTCTCACCTCCAGAGCTCAGCTTCGGTACAAATGTAGCTAGCTAGCTAGCTAGCTAGTGGTGCACAGAGATTGTCGTCGCTGAGGGGGACCGAAAGAGCTTCCGGATAGATTACCTGGTTCGTTTTTGAAGGATGTCTGATGGAGGGAAGAAGCCTTTTTCCGGGCTCTTTGCGCAAGTAAATTTTCGTGGGGCAGGGAATTTCTCGTCTGGATGTGAGTATTGATTGAGGCTAGCTAGCCTCCATGGCTTGTCGCAAAGTATTGTTCATCTAATCCTCTTCCCTTACCTGGGTCTGTGGGTGAAAATCTCAATACTCAGCAAGACTGTACTTTTGCACAATGCAAGCAGTAAGTCTTGAAGCTACGTGAGCTGATGACATTGTCGTGACACATTGCATCAAAGAGTTAGCGCGAGGTCGTCCGTGGCTCAACACAGAACAGCAGAAGGGCACGGACCTAACCATCACACCCCAGACCCACAATTCACGTGCTTCTATTCATTCAAGAAATCCACACTTCCGGCAAGTCATACTACGAAGGACAGGGCTACATGGATAAAAATTTTTAGACAGACCCTCTCTCTCTCTCTCAAAAAAAAAAAACCACCTGAACTCTCGCCCTCTCATTCTCATTATCGAAGCTCCCCCCCTTCAATATACACCTCCTCCCACCCAACCGTAATCCGACTCCTCTCGAAATCAAAAAACGCCTCCTCATCCGGCTTCACCACTTGGGCGTAGTACGGATCCCTCCTGGCTCTCTCGTAGCAATCCAACTCCGGCATGCGCAATTCCACGTAGCCGTCGTAGTCGACGAGATTATCGCTCGCGAAAGGGCCGAGCGTGTGGAGCTGTTGTGAGGCTTTGGCTCGAACCCAGGATGGGGTGTGATACTGTTGTGTTTTTATTTTATTTTAGCGAATCTTGAGAAGATTGCCACAAAAAAAAAGGGGGAAAGAAGGGAAAAGGAAAGGGGGAAAGGGCGGGGGACGGGTCTGGCGAATTTTACCTGTGTATAGCCCACGATTCCATATTTCCGGAGGAAAGCGCTGACTTTGGGGGCGTGGATGTTGGTCCAGTGTCGATGGAAGTCTTCTTCTGACATATCCTTGCGACGGTATGCGTGGATGGTGACTTTGTACATGTTTTCTTGCTTTTTATCGTCGGCAACGGGTTCTCCGGAGGGAGGCTGCTTTTCGATTGATGGGATTATGAATGAATGCAGTCCTTATCCAGGGAAAGAGTGGAGCAAGCAAGCAGCTACGGCGCGACGTTCTAGTTTCTTTACCTACAAAGAGTTATAGACGTTATTACTTCTTCTTCTTCTTCTCTAAGGGTCTAATCTTTTACTAAACGCTATTAGTTAAGTAGAAGACTTAAAGCTAGAAGGAATATTCTCGTTCTAGCTCGTAATAATAAGATATTGTAATATCTAAAATAGCTAGCTTGTTACTAATAACTACTAAGATAGTATATTCGTCTTTTAGAATTACTAAATATATATACAAATCTCCTACTCTTAGTAAATATAAGTAGAGAAAAAGTATAGTAGCTAGGAAGTATATTATATCTTACTATATATATAACTAGTAATAAGTAGTAGTAGTACCTAAGTTAGTATACTAGAGCCGTTAGTACTAACTTAGCCTATAGCTACTTAAAGTCCTCCTCTTTAGTAGTAGTTAGTACTTAGTATTAATTCTTAAATAGATCTCTTTAACCTATCTACTTATATATTACTTATAGAGATCTATTTATAGGTACTTAATTAGTTAATATACTAGTCTATAAGTTTAGCTTAACTATAGTAATTAGCTAGGTTAGATTAGAGTTAGTCTTATTATTAGAGCTAAAGATAGAGCTATATATTATTATTTATACTATAGAAGTAATATAGGCTACTATAGTAGTCGGCGTTATAGAGATAACGTAGGTAGCGAGATAGTAGCTTAAGAGTATAGATAGCCGTAATATACTAGTAAGATAAGAAGAGTCTATAATTTAGTAAGTTAAAGACTACTATATATTTAATCTTAGAGAGGCTAGTAACGATAAACTAGATACTTATAAAGGAACTACTAGAAAGAATACTAGAACTAGAGTAGGTATCGCTCTAACTCGAAAAAGCTATCGAATCCTTAGCCTACTATAGTTTAGCTAGAAGTTATTAGACTTTAGTCTTTAATACTTAGTAGCTATTAATTACTATTAAGCTAACTATATATTTAATACTATTATCGCTATTATTAATTAATATATAGCCTGATATTAATCTATTTATATAATAATAGCGATAATAGTATAGGCTAATAATATAATACTCTACTTAGTATAGAAATTATATATTTACTAAGTAAACAGCCGTAACAAAGATCACTATAGAGAGTGATAGTAGATATATATTGCCAAGCCTTCCTCCGCAAATCCGAAATCCTAAAATCCTGAAATCCTGAAATCCCAACTAAAATGTCCGTTATGTAGATCCGGAGCTCCTTAGTTCCCGGATCGCGGTTGCTGCTGCGGGGATCCGCTGCTCTTGCTGCACTTCACTTTGTTCTTCACCTCCTCACTTTTCTATTGTCGCTATCACACGCTCGCCTGATATCCGGAATCTCTGGTGTGTGCGCGCCGCTGTTAACAAATTGCGGTGAATGAGTGCACAGCCTCGGCTACACCATCGTCCACATCCTGATCTGCTGCTGTTTGCTGAAAAAGGTGGCCAGAAATGCTCAGTGCGCTGGTCTGCCAACCAGATAATCCTTTTTGCGAGCACAGCATATCAATTGCAAGACCGTCCCGCGACACTTCCACCTTCTGCACCATGTCGAAGGTGTGCCCAAGCGGTGACGTTTACCGTCGCGTGTACAGACCGGGATACTGCACAATGAATCGGCACCGTGCCCGTCAATCTGCTGTCCTACCAAGCTAATGTAGGAACCCCGGAATGGACAATTTCAGTCATGTGTAACGAGGGTCGACTGGCCAGAGAAAACCGCCTTCCACGCGGGCCAGTCGTGTAGAGTGCCACGACCGAGAGCGGATGATAAAGATACCAGAGTGCGATCATCTATCAGCTATTGCAACAGCAGGATCGTAGCTGCGACGCTTCTACAACGCTTCAAAGGTCGAAGGTATCAAGAGCACTTCACGGTACACGATAATGCGGTCGCTGTCTGAAAATAGAGCGGCCACCTCTTTTGCTACGCACCCTCGGACAACATTGCAATGCCAACATGGCGTCACACTCAATCGGCTCTAAGGGATGGGCTTTACATGTAAGAAGACCAAAGTGATGCTCGATGTAGATGATCACATTGACTCATTATGTATTAGCTACGCCTCTTCCTCCTTCTCCAACTCCGTAACGGCAAGATCTCGCAGCGTTTCCAGCGTGCATGTTTGCCCCAAAAGCAGCAGCAGTGGGATGTCAACAGCAAGATTCTGATAGAACCACGTCCTGAACTCGGCAGCGATCATGCTGTCCATACCGTAATCCGCCAATGCCTTCTGGACGTTGACCGCGTCATACTTCATCAGCACCAAGTTGCCAAAGCGACGACGAATGTGGTTCAACACCGCCTCATGAAGCGATGCTCCAGCCTCCACCTCCTTGGCGACCTCAACAGGGAGACGTCCGCTCTGCACTGGACCAGCAGAACCGTCGCCATCGCCTTCGACCGCGCTTGCCAAGATCGCAGCACGTGGATCGTCCATGGTTGGCAGTGATCCCTCGAAGCCCTGTTTGCGAAGCTCTTTCAACCCGAAGGCCTCCAGTCCGGTCAACAGATGGCTCGCAGCAAGATCGTCATGAGCATGGTGGATTCCAAGCTTCTTGCTGGAAGACAACGCAAAGTCGATCAGCTGTACCAGCTCGTCAGCGTCAATGGCCTGGATACCACGGCGAAGCAAGAGCGCCTCAATCTCCGGGTTGTCGTGGAGGTACCCAACCTCAGAAATCATGCCCAAACCAACCGACACGGCGGGCAGACCTTGGCGGCGTAGATATCTCGCGAACTGATCCAGGACGTGGTTGGCTGCGCAGTAGTTTGACTCAGTAGCTGTTCCCACGCTGCCGGAGACCGAGGAGGTGAACAAGAAGAAGTCCAGCGATCCCTCACCGCCAACCGCTTTGAGACTGTTGTACAGATGCCACGTACCCTGGACCTTTGGATCGATACCCGTATGCCAGTATTTGTTGGACATGTTGGAGAAGATTGCCTCGTTGAGTCCCATGGCCGCCTGCACGACACCACCGACGGGTCCTTGCGCGGCGGCGGCGGCAACCACAGCCTGAACATCGTCGGCGCTGCATACGTCGCCACGAATCACGACACACTCGGCCCCGGATTGCTCGAGATCCTCGATCAGTTGCCGAGCCGCGGGCTTGTCTGTACCGGAGCGACCTAGGAAAGCAAACTTCTTGGCACCGCGTTTGATCATCCATCTGGAGAGGGTGCGCCCGAGTCCTCCCAAGCAGCCGACCATGACATACGCCTTGTTGGCATCGAACACTGTGTCGTGCTTGAGCTTCTGCACCGGTATCATCGAAGTCTCATCCGCCATGCTGATAACGACCTTACCCATACGGCTGCGAGAAGCAAAGTACCGCATAGCTTGAGTCATTTCACTAATGTCGAAGGAACGCACAGGTTGCAATTCGCCAATCTTGCCCTCGCGGTAGAGCGTCATGACTTGGCGAAGAAGATCTCTCCAGATGTCCTGCAGCGACTGTGCGCCTGAGTGGTAGAGGTTGCTCAGATCAAAAGCCGTGAAAGTGGTATTGCGCAGAAAGTTGTCCATCTCCAAGCGTCCTGCGGTTGTGAGATCCACTTTACCGATTTCGACAAAGCGACCGAAGGGTGCTGCACACTTCCATGTTGCATGAAGTTGATCCCCAGTCAGCGAATTAATGATCACCTATTAAAACGAGTGGTGTTAGCTATACTCGCAAACAACACGTTCCAATGTCGTAGAAGCAGTTGCTGAGCACGAGACGCAACGCGCATGCCTCAGCCAATGCTTTCTACCCTTTGCACTTACATCAACGCCACGGCCGTTGGTGGCCTCCAGGAGATCTGCCAAGAAAGAGGTGTCTCGAGAGGAGAAGATGTTTGACTCTTTGACTCCGTAGCGCTCCACCAGGAAGCGCTTCTTGTCAGGGGTGGAGACGGTGGTGAAAACCTGATGGCGTTCTGTCAGCATGGACATGAGCAGAATGATTAGTACGACTTACCTCCGCGCCCGCGTTCTGGGCGATCTGAATGGCGGCCATGCCAACGCCTCCAGCTCCAGAGTGGATCAGAACACTCTCCCCGGACTTGAGATTGCCGCGGTTGTGAAGCGCATAAATTGCAGTGGCATAGACCAGAGGCAAAGTTGTGCACACTTCGAAACTTTCTGTTGGGAGTAAGTGGTGGCAGGCCCACGATGGCACGGTCTGGTAAGTCTGGAAGTGGGATGGGGCCATAACAACGACCCGATCACCAGGAGCAAAGGCGGAAACCTCAGAGCCCACGGCCTCAACTGTACCGGCACATTCAAGTTGGCACGTTCCACCCGGAGTATCGACTCGACCGGCAAGGACGTAATAATCCTTGGCGTTGACTCCCACATTGGCGACCTTGATACGCACGTCTTCTGGGCCAATGGCTACAGCCGATTCCTGTTGAAGGTAATAGATGGTGTCGAACTGGCCGGGGTACCCTATTGCCAGACGCACGTTCTTGGCATCCTTCAAAGACAATTGCGTGGTCTCGAAGCCCTGCTTGTTGCGGAAGTCCTGGTTGATCTCGTCGTCAGGGGTGAAGCGACTGACGTGTACGACCCCACGGCGCTGGACGAATTCGAAGTCAGTCATCCGACTAGATTGCTTGGCCGATTGATTGAGAACGGAGATGAGGCGTTCAGCAGTCAGGTCCACTCCCTCTTCGGGTTGATCAATGTCGAAAGTGTAGAACTTGAGTGCCGGTTGCTCCAGCATGATGGCTCGGGACAGGCCAGAAACGAGACCGTATTCAGGATGGCCACCCTCCAAGATGTTGCCGTTCGTGACCCACACCAAGGAAGAGGCATTCTGGGTCATCAGCTTGACTTGGTCCATGTCTTCGTCCGAAATGGTCGCCAAGAGCGGGGATGTCGCTTCACACAGGTTGAACACATGAGTCCCTGATGGCACGTCGTCCTTGACCAGGTTTCGCAATAGAACTCGCGATACTCCTTTGCCAGATACCTTGTCGAGGGCGGTGTGTAGTGTGACTCCAAGCTTAGTCTCCTCTTGTTCCACGATCAAGAACCGGCTCTTTGAAAATGCGTCTCTGTGTGGCTTGCCGTGCTTGCGAAGAGCAACGAGCGATCCCTGTCCCTCGTTGACTGGGCACGACACGCATGACAAAAGAGGCGACTCCACCATTTTGTCTGCCGACTCAGGGAAGACGGCCAGAATGATTGCATTGTCATCCATGGCTTCCACGACTTTAGGGAGTAGCTCTTTCATGCTGGGCTCAACATTCGGAATGATGACTATGTCGGCCGATGCCTCAGTAATGGCACTGGTCTCCTTTGAACGTTCGTTGGTCTCGAGGTTGACTGGACCACCGACAAGAGCCCCGCTTGCATCAAAAGCCGCCGTTGTATACGTGGCGAAGCGCTTGAAGTCTGTACGGTACGCAAGCAAGTCCAGTACAGCAACCGTGAGATCGTTAGACTCGTTGCCCAGCTCCAAGATCCTGCCGCGAGGGTTCTTGTGGACAACGAGATCGATAATGGCACCGAGCTTGAGCAGGCCGTCATTCGACACCGGCGAGTTCGCTTCATCTGCAAACTTCTGTGCGTGCACTTCCATATCCTCGCCCCTCATCAGCCCCAGTCCGTAGACATCGGGCTTCCAAAGGACACGAAGCATCGGGTGGCGACGCTCTTCATCGCTGCCGAGACCAGCATGGTATGGCGCAAGGCGCAAATCATCGAACTGCGCGAGGACTTTCCCATCGGAAGCGACCATCTCGACTCCAGCCTCGGATGAGCCGAAACCAGTGCTTCGCACGACAGAGTTCATCTGGCAGGTTTTGTCCGAATATGGTGCCGACGTGTGCACAGTCAGAGATGGGATCCGTGTTGGCACTTGTGCTCGCATTTTCTTGGGCGTACCACTGGTCAGGGCCATGATTCCCAGCTGAATCATCGCATCAATTGTGATGGGATGGATGGGGTACTGGGACCATGCATCGCCGCAAGTCGTCAACAAAGGCACAGTTGCTCCGCTGCGAAGCCCTGTCTTCATACTTGGCGTTTGGAAGTCCGAGATGCTCTGGAACGTTGGTCCGTAGTTGAGACCGACCTTGGTGAACTTCTCATACCACACACGCTTTGCACTGGGCTCCAGCGTGCCCTCGGGAGCTTGATACTTGCTCTGTAAGACAGCGCCGTTGGGGTTGATCGATATGGAGCCAGAAGCATGGTGTACAGCTCCGGCGTCTTGATATGTGGATACTGTAAAGTCCCACCAGGCGGCTGATGTAGCTGCATTGGTCAGCTTCGACTGTCGTAGGGTAGTGAACATCTCTGTTTGAGTGGTCTGGTCCTGAGGCAATGACAGCGCCATCGTGATGTTGACGTTGGAGAAGCTGAAGGAAGGCAGCTTGCTCCTATCCGCGTCTGTGACCTGGGTAATGGCTTCCATCGCCATGGCAAGATAGCCCGCTCCAGGGAATACAACATCGTCCTGGAGTTTGTGGTCTTTGAGCCAGGACACATCATCTACTTTCAGGACATTGCGGAAGACGTGGTCGCGACCATTTCCACCCGTCATGAGTGAGCCGAGAAGCTCGTGGCGAAGATGTTTTCGGTTGCGGTATTCGACACTGGAGCGGCACTCATTCCAAAGCGTGTTCTCGTAGGAGAAACGGTACGGCGGCAGGTCGGTCACTACGTTGTAAATGCCCTGAGCCGAGCCATTGAGCCCGTTGACTTTGGTCCAGTCCACATTGTAGCCCTTGAGCCACAAATTTCCGGCCAGTCCGAGCGCAGTCTCCAAGGCACTCGTGTTCCTCCTGAGAGGAGCAGCATACAGGACCTCTGAGCTAGGGACTTGGAGCTGTGCAAGACTTTGCTTGATCGGAAGTTCGAGTGATGGATGCGGCCCGATCTCAATAAAGCAATGCCGGTGGACCTCCTGGATGGCCGGTGCAAATCGAACTTGACGTTCCAGGTTACTTCGCCAGTAGCTCGGTGTGAAACCCGTTGTCTTGGGCTCAACATCGACTGACGACACAAACGATGGGCCTTTGTTCAGCCGCGTCGAGCGTGGAAGGGTAGGCAATACCTTTTCAAGCAACGACTGGTATTCCCCGCCAATCTCCAGCATGTGATGCGAGTGGTACGCCTGGCCGCCAGTCTTCAGTTCTCGAGCGAAGACACTCATGCCTTTTAAAACTTCGAGCAATTCAGCGATCGCCTGCCAGACAAAAGATTGTTAGTCATGCTCGATCCAAATGGCAATGTTTTGGGCACAATTCAGCACTTACCTCACGATCGCCCGATACTGTCACACCTTCGGGTGCGTTGATGCAGGCAACGCGCGCCTGGCCTACAAGGTTCTTGCTGCTGATGACTTCGTTCGCTTTCTCTTCGGACAGACCCACTGCCATCATGGCTCCGTTCTTGGCGGTCCCAGATGCGCAATATCCACGATAGTACGCAGCAGTGATGGCTTCAGCAGAAGAGATGTGACCCGCCGCAAAAGCCGCCGCAATCTCACCAGACGAGTGTCCAATGGTGGTGTCTGGCGTGATGCCCCATGAAGCCAGTAGCTGAATCAGCACAATTTGGACCGCTGTACAGCATGGTTGAGAGCGCTCTGGAAGATGAATCAGCGTTGCATCGCTTTCGTTCAATATGGCCTCCTGAAGAGTCCACTTGGGTGCATGCGGCAGGCTCTGTAGGACCTGGTCCAGCTCCTCAATCGCGGTTCGTACGATCGGGAATGCTGGCAAGAGCTCACGACACATGCCTGACCACTGAGAGCCCTGTCCAGTGAACACAAACGCAAACGGAGCGGAAGCCATGCCGACTGTGGCTGGACTTTTGACGAATGTTCCATTCTTGAACGAATCGCTGATAGCGTCCGATGGAGAGGCCAAGAGATACCCTCGGACCAGCATTTGGCTTCTTCGTGTGCCCAGAGTAAAAGCCAAGTCTCGAAGATCGGTATCCTTGAAGTCAAACGCTGCGTAGTCCTGGATGCGGGCTTCGAGAGACTGCGTGGATGCTGCAGACAGAGGCAGCACTACGAGGGACTGCGGTTTTGACGAACGCATGTCCCGAATCGAAGCATCTCTGTACATGTCAGAGGAGGCTTCCTCCAAGATGACGTGAGCATTCGCGCCACCATAGCCAAACGAGTTGATTCCTGCGAATGTAAGTATCGAGGCATCCAACAAGATATCACTGTCTTGGGCGAAACTCACCAATCCGCTTTGGCTGCAGCTTAGAAACTACACCAGGCATAGCAGTAAGTGTAAGTGGGATGTCGATATTTCGCTCGTCCAACTTGAGCTTTGGGTTGATGTTCTTCACTCCGTGAGTCGGCGGGATCTGACGCTTCTCTAGGGCCATCGTGGATTTGATGACGCTGGAAATTCCGCTTGCAGCTTCCGAGTGGCCGACATTACTCTTCACCGATCCTATCAGTAAAGGTTGTCGACCAGCGTCACTTGCGAACACCCGTGACAGAGCCTCAACCTCAATAGCATCGCCAACTTTGGTGCCGGTACCGTGACACTCAAGGTAAACGATGTCATCCGGAATGACTGCTGCCTTGGCCATTGCTTTCCGGATGACTTTCTCTTGGCCATCTGCCAGTGGCAAGGAAATTCCGCTGGTCTTGCCGTTTGCGTTGATTGCGGAACCAAGTATCACGCTACGAATGGCATCGCCATCTCGCACAGCATCGCGCAGTCTCTTGAGGTACAAGGCGCCTATGCCATCGCCACGCCCATAGCCATCTGCTGAAGCGTCAAATACGTGACACTCGGACGTTGGCGAGAGCACGCCAGCTTTCATCGTGGCGATGTGTTGTTCCGCTGATTGGATCAAGTTTGCGCCAGCTACAACAGCTGCGTCGCACTCGTAGTTCTCCAGAGCAGTGGCGGCCATGTGGAGGCAGTATAACGAAGATGAACAGGCCGTGTCTATTACCATACTAGGGCCTAGAAGGTTGAAAACATGGCTGATACGGTTGCCCAGGATGGTCGTCCCAAGTCCAGTCGCAGAATATCTGCTCATGCTGCAGAAATACGTCAGCTTCGCAAGGCTTGGGTGATTCGAGGGGACAACTCACTAATCTGGCTCTTTGACCTGCATCGATATGAAGTCAAATGTAAAGTTGCCGACATAGACACCAGTGTTGGAGCCAGAGGCTTGTTCGAGAGGAATTCCTGCATTCTCAAGGCACTCAAAGACCACTTCGAGCAGTTTTCGCTGCTGCGGGTCCATGTAAGTCGCCTCGACGTTGCTGATACCGAACAAGCTGTTTTCAAATTCCCGGATGTCGTCCTGGAGGAAGTAGCCCCCCTTTGTGAACATGCTGCCTGGACGACCTGAGCCATCAGGGTGATAGAAGCCGTCAACATTGAAACGGGACTGGGGAACGTCACATTTCCCGGACTTTCCGGCAGCAAGCAAGTCCCAAAACTTGCTTGGAGTGTTGGAGCCGCCCGGAAGGCGGCATGCTGGAAATCATCGTTAGCACCAGTGGAGAATCAAAGGTGCTGAGCCTTACCGAGACCACAGATTGCAATAGGCTCGGAGGAGGCAGGTGGCTGTCCTTGAGAAGATGTTGAGCTGGGTGTTGTTGAGCCCGTGCTGGGCTCGGTGGACATCATCATTGGAGCCATGTTGTGAAAGATGTTGTGTTGAGCCTCGGTCGAGGTCAACTATTGGAGCAGTTGAAAAGAGAGCATTGAAAGGTTGACTTATGAGGTAGTGTACCTGGGAAACCTGATATCTTTGACACAATGGGGAGTGAGCTGCACGGGGATTGTGACGACTCCAACACGTGGGCGGGCAGCATGGAAGTTTCAGCACGAACGGCTACTCGTACCTAGGCTGGATCCCACGGTATTGCATCGGACACCCGCGCATTTGTGGATTGCACGCGATGAACTGGAGTTCCCAGGGTCCACTAGTCAGCGTGGTGTCGGCTTCTGCAGCTGCTTCGGCATTGCCGAGAATTTCACATGGAGCGACAACTATGGCCGAGCCATCACAGGAAGGATTCGGGAAGCCATTTGGGCACGTCATGGTGTTTGAGGGGCCAACCACGTCAGATCGAGGTACGTTAACTGTCATGGAGCTGAGTTCGGCGACCGTGCTGCTGCCTTGTGGACGAATATTGCTGACACAGCTGTCGGGGGCTTTTGCTGTGGCCCAAGGCCGGCGTCTTGGCCAATTCAGTCTGCGGAGAAGTGAACACACGGTAATTGTTGAATACTGTATGTATTTAATGCCCTGGTCTTGACTATGGAGCGAAAAGAACGACGCCACACTGAGAGAAAGATTGCAAGATCTACCAGCAGCTACACCCAACAATCAGACATCAATCATGTCTTACGTTGTACCGACTACGGATGGTCCTATCACCAAATTTCCGGCAAACGACTTGCGTCCTGCCCGCCGCTTCATAAGCTCCCACAACGCTGAAGGCAAGGGAGTCTTCGTTGGCGATGACGATGGCGCCTGGCACCGTGTCATGTGTCGCGGGCGTGCCGTTGCAAACATCATCTACAGCACCGACGAAAACCCAGTCGATATGAACAAGGACAAAGACTTGGCTTACGCAGCGAACAATGAGGCGCGGTCTTCTTCCCGAATCGAGCATGAGCTGTTAGCGCTGACAAGTGATTCTAGCCGGCTATCCACGTCCCTCTTGGCAGTTGTGCCCGTCTGATTGACTTCGCTCCAGGCATGGAGTCTCCGGATCACCGTGCCATGTCCCTTGACTACGGCGTGGTCATCGAGGGAAAGTTCGAGCTGTCGCTCCCAGAGAGCGGCGAGAGCAAGATCATGCTTCCTGGCGATTGCAGTAAGTCATCCGATGTATGAATAGGGTACAAGAGGGCCTAACACATGCTCCAGGCGTCAACCGTGGCTGTATGCACAAGTGGAAGAATCTCGATGAGGAGAAGTCCGGGAGAATGCTGTTCATTCTTTTGGATGTGAAGCCTTACTTTGCGCCCAATGGCGTGGAGCTGAAGGAGGAACTCAACGAGTTGGCTGGCGATTACGCCGATCTTGCTCATTAGATACAATCGATACTGTGTGACGAATCCAATATCGTGATATCAGTCTTCACTACAGTCAATTACTGAAAGTTGCCTATGATCGATGTTGAGTGTTGACTGACTGATTGAGGCCATCGACCTAAGTTGACTGTTTGACTGAAGTTTCATATCTCTCCACTTGCATTGCAACTCCCAGCTGACTCTCAACCTTCACTCCTAAGGTTTGAGCCTCTATTGGCAGATACAGCAATTCAACCGAGTCGACGAGCTTTTAGTCGAGGGCGAAGCTATCGTAGAGTTGACGGCTTCTGAGAACGACAGGCAGTGCCAAGGTAATTTGCAATCTTCAGTCCACAAGGTCGGACGATTGCGCAGACTACTTGATCTACTTGGTGAAGCATAGCGTTACATCTCAACTGGCCACCAGCCTACATATTGTGCAAAAGCCTAGAATCCAGCCAACCTCTGCAGCTGGAACTCTCGCGTGAATATCCAATCCTATTTTCAAGTGTCAGTGGACATCCCACTTCGAGTCTCGGTACATGCATACCCAGAAGGTCTTTGGCAGGAAAGCATCACCAAACCAAACTTCGCCCGACCTTGCACCTGTCCAGAACCAGGCTCGAGACTTTGGCTTCACCACTTCGGCCACAACTGATTGAGCGTACGCTTGAGGAGTTGTTGTGTCTAATGGAACGATTAGTTCGGTGAAAGGCCACACATTCGAGCACCAGCTCTGTTCACATATGCTCACTTGGTGTTCTGTGAACATGGTTCGCAAAATCCTCTGCCAGCGGCTGGTAGTAAGATTCCTTTGGGAGGCTGCGGCCATGATCTCTCTTAAGAATGTTTGTTGACACCTCACCAGAGATTACGTTAATGACCTGGACGCTAGTTGGAAGTTAGAGTGATCGGTTGATATCAGGACCCAGCTACAAACCCGAACGGCTTCATCTCGATCCGTAGAGTGTTGCCCCAATGATGGAGGGCGGCTTTGCTTGCGTTGTAGCTGGCTGTGACTGTCTCAGTGCTAATCCAATACCGACGCAGACTTGAAGGCAGGGCTTACACCCATACACATAAGGCACTATGCCACCAACACTTCCGATGTTGACGATCTTTCCCTTAGCCTGGATGAGCAGCGGGTGAAGCAGATGTACCATTCTCATAGGTCCCATCACGTTCACGGCAAACATCTTCTCGACCTCCTTGACGTCGGTATCGGTGGCGGTCATGGTGTACACTATCTAGTCAATAGAGGGAAACAAGCTTGCTGTTGACATGATACATACCGATTCCGCTGGGCCGAATTAGCTTGATTCTGATGAGGTGCGTTTGCTTTGTACTCACGCGCAGTTCACAAGAACATCCAAATTGCCATTGGTAGCATCGGAAATATCCTCGCGTAACCTCTCAACGTCCTCGTCCTTGGTAACATCGGCAGTAAAGACGTGGATACCAGCTTCACTAAGGTGATCGGTTTTTTCATGTGCCAACAAAGTCGTGTAGACGGTATAGCCTGCTGCCCGTTTCAGTACAATGCACACCTTAGGAAGCGACCAGACTGAGCATCTTTACCATTGCGTTTGAATTCTTGAGCCAGGGCGTGGCCGATTCCACCCTTTCCGCACCTTAACGATATGTTAGACTGTCCTTGTGAGCGATAAAGTATTAGAGTAGTTTACCCGGTGATCAGTGCAGTTGGCATGATTTCCTCTGATTGAATCCGCTTTTGTGGTTGATGTTAACTTTGAAGCGTGGACGTTGAACTGCTTCCTTATGATTACCAAGCGGAAGGTATTCGTGATGGGCTTGAAGTTCGCAAAATTGGCAACGCGGCGAAGGCCTTGGACTGTCCTTAACTTAAAGGTTGAATACTAAGGAACGAACTATGAAGATGAGATTACTGACCAGCTCGGCCATTGTATGGTACATGATCGTTCAATGGTATGGCAATGGCCCGATATTTCTTAGCCTTTCGGGCTCACAGCAATCCTACTTCGGCAACTCAAACCGGGCTCGTCGTAGCTATACCCGACCAGCAGTCTCTCAGCGATCACAGGATCATTTATGCTGCGTGACGTTCGGAAGGTACAGATCGAAGTCCCAGAAGAACTCGTTTCAATTTCGCCGCAGCTTCACATCTGTCCCTTCGCCGATACATTGCTACATGACAGGGACTAACATCGACAGCTGTGATTCATTTCAATGACAGCAAGTCTCGGATCTCAGGATTCTTCTGCTTAAGCAGATCTACCAGTTCGCCCCATAACTTCTCCTGAGCAGCTTTACCATTAGGGCTCCTCACGAAGCCAGATAGTGCTTTCCTGCAACACTGAAGTCAATAACAAAAAACGATGCCGGTGCAGAGCAACACTCACTCTTCAATCTCGCCGTCGTTGATGTACTTTCCATGACTCGGGACTCCCTGTGAAATAGAAGCGATGAGAGTCCGGGCGCCCACGTCGGCCGGACGTGCTGTTGCTTTTGCAAGCATTCTAAACGCAAATGCTGTGACTGGTTTGGCGTTGGAGAGCAGTCCAGAGTGACAGTATCCTGGGGTCAAACTGTTCACAACCACGCTAGGCTCTCTCGTGCTGTTTCCCGAAAGTTCCTGGGCAAGTCCTCGGGCCATAAGGATTTGCAGAAGCTTGGATTCGTAGTAACTGTAGCATCAGTTTTAGCGAAACATCAACTGTTGTTGCAGGGCCTGCCTTTACCGATTGTTCATCTTGGCCCTCTTTGGATCGCTCAGTACTTTGAGAGTATTTGATTCCTTCCACTCTGGTAAATTTGTCATCACATGTCGATCCGATGCAACAATGGAAATGCATCCAGGGTTGACGTCTGTGTTCGATTTCTGTAGGGTTGGTAGCAACAGGATTGCCAGGAAGAATGTGTTGACGACGTTTATTGCGAGCGTGCTTTCAAAACCTTCAACGAGCACGAAGTCCTGTGTGTAGATGCCGGCATTCAGGATTGCTGCATCCAGACGAGGAAGACTCTTCACCTCTTCTGCAAATTTCTTCACGGAGCTTGTGCTGGCCATGTCCAGTGCGTATGCTTTGGCCACCCTATGTCGGCCTGTAGCAGCTTCGAGTCTTTTTACAGCCTCATTGCCCTTCTCCACATCGCGCACGGCGAGAATGACGGTAGCTGCATTGAGATTGACCAAATGGCGAGCAGCTTCAAATCCCAGCCCTCGGTTTGCCCCAGTCACTATGATGACCTTGCCGCTGAGATCGGTCTCTGGAAGTTTCGGCTCCACAAAGAGTTGCGAGTGTAGGAATGACAAAGTCGACATGGCCATGTGAGAGATGGTGGAGTAACCAGTAAGACAGCCACTCAGAATTGCAATGCCAACTAAGCCGCCTCATGGGACTTTGTGCTTGTGCTTGTTGTTGTTCGGGTACAGATACGGGAACCGTTGACCAGGTTTCCCGAATCACCGATGATTCCTGTAAAACGCCAAGCCGTCACCTGCTTCACGTTCTTCATTCTTGTATACGGTCTACAGACACGCCGAACCATTTGACCCACACTTCCGCTTGGTTCACTGTTCTCCAACGCTGGGGTGATCGACAGCACAATGACTACTCTCATCCAGTGGTCCTGGGTTGCTCTCGTTGGGCTTGTACTCTGGGTGTTGTTGCGGTGGAGTCTTGTTCCTGGCTCGCGAAGCAAATACTTGCCGCCTGGTCAGACTTCGCGCCAATAACTAGAAATACGAATCTGTAGTGCTGATTTTAGAACACAGGTCCGACTACATATCCACTCCTTGGCAACATCACATCCATTCCAAGAACAGGTATTCATTTGCAGTACGTCTGGACATATCCTTATCTGGCAGAAAATAGACAGCTGACCGACTCTACAAGATTTACGAGATGGGCCAAGCAATATGGTCCAGTATTCTCGTTGAAGATTGGTCACGGCACCATGGTCGTCTTGACTTCGGCTTCCCACGCCACAGAACTCCTTGACAAGCGTTCCGGCAAGTACAGCAATCGACCATCTTCGCACATCATTGGAGAGCTTGTATACGGAAACGATCATCCCATGTTCATGAACCCTGATGATCGTTGGAGATTACGCCGCAAGCTTTATGCAGAAATCCTACAAGAGACGAAATGTGCCCAGGAACACACCCGCCTCATCGATGCCGAGACAACTCAACTTTTGCGGGATCTTTGTGTCGAGCCAGACAGCTTCATGGCTCACCCTGGTCGCCTCAGTAACAGCCTGACAATGAGCCTAGGTACGGTCTGCATCTTGAATTTGTTGAATTAATGTTATTGACCATAGTCTCAACAGTCTACGGTGTGCGAACGCCTTCATACGACTCCGACCATTATGTTAAACTCCAAGAGATTATGACGAAGCTCAGCGCACTTGGCGAAATCGGTGCAACGCCACCAGTGGACCTTCTCGGGTTTCTCAAATGGATTCCAGAGCGGTTCTGGGGCAACTGGAGAACCAAAGCTGAGCAACTGCGCAAGAAAGTCCATGGCCTTCACACCCCTCTAGTGGATCGTGTGATCGAGAGACGAGAGACGATGGGAGAACGAAACAGTTTCCTAGACAGCATCTTGGACAAGCAAGAAAAGCTTCAACTCTCGCGGAATGAAATTGACATCATGTGCGCCAATCTGCTCGAGGGCGGCACGGACACTATGGCCACTACCATATTGACTTTGTTCCAAGCCATGGCCATTCATCCGGAATGGCAAATAGAGGCACAGAAGCAGATCGAAAGTGTCGTGGATGAATTTACGATGCCTTCTTTCGAACACTTTGATCGACTCCCACTCGTTACTTCGATCGTGAAGGAGCTCCTTCGATGGCGTCCTCCTGCGCCCGGCGCTTTCCCCCATGCTCTAGCCAAAGGTTAGTAGTGTCGATTAGCCCTTATCAGGTCTTGCAATGCTGACCAGATGACAGCCGACGAGGTCGATCATATGGAACTCCCCAAGGACTCCACTGTCATCTTCAACATCTGGGGCATTCATCACGACCCTGAACGCTACCTTTCCGCAGAAAAATTTGATCCGGCACGATTTGTCAACCATACTCAAATGTCATCAGCTTATACCAATTCCGGGCACGACAAGCGTGATCATTTCGCGTACGGTGCTGGGCGACGTATCTGCCCCGGCATCCACCTCGCGGAGCGTGCTCTCTTTCTGGCCTCCGCAAGAGTGCTATGGGCATTCACAATCAAGCACAAGACGAACTCGACTGGCCGGGCTGTTCCAATCAGTGTCGACCCAGAGACAGCGTATCGTGACGGCTTCTTGAACCAATGTCGCCCCTTCATGGTGGATCTGGTACCGCGGTCTCAGCAGCGTCTCGAAACTATCATGGCGTCGTTCGCGAGAGCTGAAGTGGATGTTCTGAACTCCTACGACTGATGATGACTCTACATTGGGCTGTGTGAACTGGGAAAGTTCATTTGAAGATGACGAGGGTAGCAGTATGTCAAGCTCGCTTTTGTTTGAAAGATCCTATTATCAGCAATCAACCTTTTCGCCATCTTTATCAACCTTGGATATTCATTGCCTGGCATTACGTGAGGCTGCATGCCGAACCAGAAGATGGTACACCCTGATCTATTGTATTCCTACACGATCTCTTTTGAGAAAATTCGACAGATCTCGGCTACCATACCTAGACCTGCTGTTCTCCAATGCCACCAAACAACCATGCAGTCAGTAAGTAAAACTATCAAGGTTACGGCAACATGGCGCCTTCGAGCGGCTGATACAGTCACGCTCTTTCTTCTGACCAGACGAAGTCGATTCGACGGTTGAATTCATTCAAAAGTACAACTGGCATCTCTAGTGGTCTTTATACTGCCTTCAGAGTAAGTGTAGTGCCCCCATCGACAATCCAGGCTGACCCCGTCACGTAGCTCGATCTTGGGCTTGTCATGAAGAGAACGACATCGGCTATCTCTTCAGGTTGGGCGATGCGAGACATGGGAACTGCCGAGTTGATCATTGGCTCAAGTCTGTCATTATCTTCCATCGCTGCTTGTACCATTGGGGTAGCGACCCAGCCGGGACAGATTGCGTTGACACGGATTCCTTCCTTGGCTAGATCAAGAGCTGAATGAGTCAGACTTTGCTGTTGTGGTCGTGAAGTCTGGGAATGTTACTCACCAGCACTCTTGGTAAGACCAATGATCGCATGTTTGCTCGTGGTATACTGCACGATGTCGGGCGTTGCCATGTACGAATTGGCGGAGCCAAGATTTACGAAGACTCCTTTCCCGACGTCCCTCACGCGACCACGGCTCGCAGTGATGACTGTATCTTGCTTCTTCATCACCTTGGACACGGCCTGGAGGATGTTGAAAGTGCCCATGACATTGACCTTCCAAAAGCGGTCCATTTCCTCAGCCTCGGCGTCGCTCACGGGGAGGTGCTTCTGAACCCCAACTCCAGCGCTATTTACACAGTAATCGATACGTGAGAACTGGTCGACAGCAGAAGCCACCATAAGCTCGACGCTAGATGGGTTGGCGACGTCGCACGCAACGGCGTGACTCTTGTAATTGGGGTTGGTCGCGATAGAATCGCACTGCAGAGCAGTCTTAGTGGCGGCTTCTGCATTGAGATCCACAACTACGACGCCTCGTGCGCCTTCCGCAGCATAGGCAAGAGCACATTCTTTGCCAATTCCACTACCTGCACAGGGTGGTCAGCGCATGACTTGAGCTATCGACGACGGAGCGATTACCTGCACCTGTCACAACCGCAACGCCGTCGATTGATAGAGACATCGTGACTGATTACTGGTAGACGTGTTGCGTGTGCACTATCCCGTGAGATGGTTTTGATCCAGGGCTTATCATCCTGGTCAATCAAGCAGTGGCCGTCGTTGCGCGTGATTTGACTGTTGCCGAGAAGTGTGCAGTATACGTTCGTGCATGAACTCGCGGGCATGTCGGGCACTCGGTCACACAGATTAAGGATCTTGTACCGAAACGAGTGCTTAGTACATTGCCCGAGAGATCGGCCTTGTGAGAACCCTGTTATAATAGTCTGTAGGGGCCGTGCTTATAACTGCTGATATAATATTAGCATAACTTAGAGAACTATGTTAGGCAGCATTATAGTTATTATACCTTAGTATATAGTATATATAAAATAGAGCTAATTCTATAGCTTTTTAATTATATATATTTAGTAACGCTAGTATTCTTATATCTAGTAGCTAAGATTTGTATTAACTCTTTCTAAAGCTATTAAAGATCTATTCTCTACTCTACTAAATATACTATAGCTATAATACTATATATAGAGTACTAGATATAGGTACTAGATAGTAGATATAAAGGGAGAGGTAGTATCTAGTTTATAGAGCTTATTATTATTAGAGAAAGGAATTATTATTAGCTTAGAGGATTAACTAGTATAGATAGTAGTATAGGTAGCTATTAGATAAAGATAGTACTACTAAAAGATTAGTATAGGAAGAAGAATTTATAGAAAGTACTAAGTAGATACTAGATACCTAGAAGGCCCTAGAAGCTTTCTATTTATTTAGTAAATAGACTTCCTACCTTAGAATATTTACCTATTCTATTTACCTTCTTTAATAGATCTTTAAGAGAACTATCTAGAGACTACTCTCCTTTATTAGAAATTTAGAAGGAGGTAGTTAATATTTCTATACTATAATTAGTTAGACCTACTCTTACCTAGCTATATACTACTCTATCTCTAGACTTAAGGAGTTAGATATCTACTAAGATAGATTCTATACTTCTACTTTAAGTTAGACTATATCTACTTATCTAGATTCTTATATATTAGACTTCTTATTAGATCTAGTAGTAGGAGCTAGAAATTCTAGTAGGAGAGGATATAAGAACTCTATTATAATAATCTATAGAAGCTATACTTATAACTACTAGTATAATATTAGTATATTTTAGGGGACTATATTAGGTAGTATTATTGTTATTATACCTTAGTATACGGTATTATATAGTATATATAAACTAGAGCTGATTCTGTAGCTTTTCAATTACATATGTATCGTAATGCTAGTGTTCTCACAGGCCTTAGCATCCACATGTCATGTGTACTGTACGTTCCCACATCTTAAATACTGACCTCAGCGTCTGAACAGCCTTATGGGTATCTCGACTTCTTACCATTGTAACAATATCAAACATGACTACCACCAACGGCGAGGCCATCCAGAATGGCAATGGACACATCGATGTCAACGGAAAATCCCAGGCCACTGCCGCGGGCAAAGCTGCAGTGATCAGTAATGGTCATTTCGCTGAGGTGACTCCAGCAGTATGGCTCGCACTGCGGAAATACTTGCCACCTCGCGATGAAGATTTCGAGTATTGGTGGCAGTTGACGGGTCTGCATCTTGCAATCATGTTGCAAGCTGCCGAGTATCCTTCGGAGAGACAATACAACGCTCTTCTCTTCCACTACCACTACGTTGTTCGTCATCCATTTCCATCTCTCTGTCTCAAGAGAGGGAGTGTTTGAGCCTCATGGCCATGCATGCTAATCGGCACATTAGGTCCCTTACTTGGGCCCGCGACCAAAGCCCGACGGAACGATGAAATGGCAATCTCTTCTGGGCGTGGAGGGATCGCCTATCGAGTATTCTTGGAAGTGGAATGCTCCAGGCGGTCTTCCCGACGTGCGTTACTGCATGGAGGCCATCGACCAATACACTGGATCTGCCATGGACCCATTGAATCAGCACGCTCACCGGGAGATGCTGCATCATATGGCCGAAGCTTTTCCTTCGGTCAACTTGAGCTGGGTGAACCACTTTTTCGCCACCCTTTATGATCATGATCCATCCAAGTACGTTGCAGAGGCGGCAGCTGGCTCTCACTTCACCACCACAGTCATGACTGCTCCCGAGTTCCTCCCGGAGGGCTTGAATGTGAAGACGTACTTCATACCTCGCAAGATTGGCCAGACGGAAGGGCAGATTCCACTCGCGGAGTGGGAGAAATCCCTACAGCTCCTCGATCCCGGCAACAAGGCCCGAGCTGCGATGCATGAGTTCCTCAGCATGACTGCTGAAGGACAAGCAATGAGCCCATTGTCAGTGTTCTCCTACTCCCCTCCCCACTCCGCATAATGTAATGACACTTGTACTAACGCGCCCGGGCAGCATGCTGGCCGTGGACGATGTGACTCCCGAGAAGTCCAGGCTCAAGTTCTACTTCCAGACCTCGCACACCAGCTTCCAATCCGTACGGGAAATCATGACCCTCGGCGGTGCGATCAAGGTGCCAGACGAGAAATTGGCAGAACTGAAGTCTCTGGTATATGCGGTGACCGACTTGCCGGAAGACTTCCCCGAGGAAGACGAGGCCCCGTTGACCCAGGCCTACGCTCCCTTGGCGAAGGAGAACTTCGTGGAGCTTCCCATCCTCTTGGCTGGCTACATCTACTACTTCGAGATTGCACCCGGCCAAACGCTGCCGCAGATCAAGTTTTACACTCCGGTCCGACGTTACGGGCCCGATGATTACAAGCTCGCCGGAGGAATCACCAAATGGATGGCGGCTCATGGCCGAGGCGAGTATACCGATCGTTACTTCAACATGCTGAACAACCTGTCCCAGCACAGACGTCTCCAGGATGGCAAAGGTACGCTCATTTTTGATGACGCCGATCCCGTATTTTGGGAATTTTGGCTGACGATATCTTCTTCACTCTATAGGGATACAGACGTATGTCAGTTGCCTGATCAAGCGAAGTGGATCGTTAGATATTACTTCGTACTTGGGACCTGAAGCGTTTGACCCTGGTCGGGGAGAAAGCTCTCGCCGTCGCTCTGTCCGGCGCCGCGGGGACTACTAGTCGTTAGCAAATCCATATTCGAGGCATCACATCCCCAGCTACAGGGTCAATCGTGCATGCGTGGATAGTTTCTGTAGTGGCGTTGATGGTCCAAGCTGTCTGATCTGCTACGCTTCACGTCCTTGCGTCTCGATCCCTCTACTTTTGCCTGTTCTGCGCTGCTGACTGGCCCTCTCGAGCGTTAAAGCGTATCACCCACAACGGGGACACTACCCACAAATGCATGAATGCGTCAATGACCCCGTAGAGGGCTTGATCTCTCTCTGGACCTCGCAAAGAATGTCCATTGTAAGTTTCTATGACTGTGGTTGACCCCTGTGGGATACATCTGTAATGATCTATGTATGGCCTGTATCTTGGAATAGATAGGAAAGAGAAACTCGACATGGATGCTCGAGTTGTTTGGCAGTGCAGCGGCTTCATACGTGCTGGAACTTTTCCCTTGCTGACTTCGTTCGGTGTGTCAGCCATGACTGAAGCGACTCGCATGCCATGACGTGTGCATAGGTATTACCTTCTGCAGTCTTCAACGATCGTGTCGCCATGTCCAGCCCATTCAAAACTTTCTCTAACTTTTGGAATTGTAACAGCCAAAGGTGGCGCTTGAGCGCATGCTCCTCGTCGGAGTCTATCTGCATGTCACTCAACGTCGAGCGTCTCGCGGTCGAGGACTGTGCATGTTGGTGATTTGAAGATTCTGGAAGTCTCGCAGTTGTAGTGAGGTGCTGGATTCTGGAAGAGATGATCTCGAAGTCTTCGATCATCCGGCCCAGAGAGACACCTATCGACACTACACTTGGGTCAATTCGCGTCCGCTCAGACTCGAAACTAGACCGAGCATGCATGAGAAGCTGCAACTTACAAATCGTTGTTTGCTTGTGGAAGATGCAAGAACAGGAGAGAGCATCCTGCAAGAATCCGACATTCTGCTTGAGCCGTGACAGCTGTGTGTCGAACGTCTCATGTGGCAGAAGTGCTTGAACTTGGTGAAGGGTGTCGCGACAAGTGCATCCTTGACCGGAATTCTGATCGCCTGCCTCATTTGTTGCCAGCACCATATCGTCCAGCGCAATACTCTTGGCAATCGAAGAGGACGCGGGGCCCATGCCTTGACAGGCCAAGGGAGAAAAATGGTCCAGCATGGTCAGCATGCGCAGGTCGGACGTGTCGCCCACCGGAGGTGAAGTGTCATGCATGTGCACACTGGCGGGTGCGGTGGGTGGAGAAAAGATGGTCTCGTCATCAAGGCCTTCTCACCATGATCTTGTCAGCATGACTCTACCATGATTGTACCCAGGAGCACGGAACGTGTACCGACCTAGAGCGTAGGACCACGAGTCGGCGGCCATCTTCGACGGGGTCCCAGGGGTCATCCAGAGCAGGTCGGCATCCAGTTGGTCCGAGGGATTGCCGAGGCCGCTGTCCTCGTTCGTACCATTGGACGTGCTTCCAGAAGACGAAGCCAAGGACGGCAGTGCGGACGTCTGGGCTTCCCCTATGCGTGGCGCGGTCCTGTGGCTGCGACGGGACAGGCCATAGATGCATGAGATGCCTTGTCGTTCGCAGCGAGAACAAGACGGCTTCGCTTGCGAGCATCGGACTTTTGATGAATTGCACGCATCACACGAAGCTCGCAACTTGAGAGCCTCGCCATCCGGCAAGAAGCCATGCTCCGATGAGTAATCTGACGACTTGGCCATCGCTTCATGTACAGTATGCAGTCAGATCAGAGCATACGCGGGCGTGCTGGGTTGCGGCGTCTATATGTATACCCACCCATAGCTCTGTTGGTCGTAACCGGGTTGAGGCATTGGTGTTCGCTCTCCGCCCTCCGCCCTCCGCCCTCAGCTCTCGAGCCGCATGTTGTTGGTCTGCAGATCACTAGAAGGGCATGCGTATGGACCGGTGCTGTGGAGGAATCCATTCCCATTCCCATTGCCATTCTCGAGAGCAGTGCGTTTCCAGGCCCCGGAATGGAAGGACAAAAGGCACCCGACATTAATGCTGAAACTAAACCTCTAGGTTCGTAAAAATCCCTATCACAGTGCTATCAAGGTTTACAAGCGGGCTGTTGGCGCAGGTCCTTGCTTAGTGGATCGTGCAATGTACGGGAATTTCATGTCGGTGAATGATCGCCGCGTCCTTCCCGACTTCAGCACAGTGACAGTGGTGTCGAGAGCATCGACGGCGATTTGCAGCTCCGATGCCTTTGAGCTTCGGTGCCTTTCAGCTCCGTGAGACCGGTGAGACTCGCGAGGGTTCGTCAATCGTCATTGCCCTGCCAAGCCGGGATCCTTCAACTACTTTAAGTTGCCACGTGTCGAGGAGAGGGTACTAGTATGTGAGTACGTACTCAAGCTTTTCAGCTCGATCTACAGACACAGACACAGACACAGACACAGACACAGACACAGACACAGACGCAGACACCGACACCGACACCGCCTGAACAGCCCAACGCTGTCACCTGTCGGAACTTTTGTTGATATTGTAGTATTGATCAGACGTATTATTACGCTCCTACCATGTGACATGGACGTGCAGATCATGCTCGATCGGACGGGATAGCAGCCGGGAGCGGCGGCGCGCAAGAAAATCAAACAAACACACGCGATATGTACTGCCTCTCGAGGCCCACTGCCAACAACTTCGCCCTTGGCGTCTCGCAAACCGCCCCGTCAACCGCTCAGCTCAAGCATTTCAAGCCGGCGTGATGGTGTGGAAGAAGCGGAACACATTGCTTGGGTCCCACTTGGCCTTGATGCGCTGAAGGCGAGGGTAATTCTTGCCCCAAAGCTGTTCTGGCTTCTCATTGCCATGCCCGTAACTGACGTATACCTTCACGCCGTCAAGACCGGACGTAGCGGCATAGTCGGCGCGGATTTCCTCGGCCAGAGCCTCGCCCGCCTTTTGAGTCGCGGTCGAGTTCCACTGGAAGGCGATGAGACTACCAAGTGTCAGCTCGGATACTGCGCAATGTCCTGGCACTGCTGGCTTACGAGTAACCGAGGCTGTTCCGCCATGGGTAAGCAGTGGCATTCCATGGGACCTTCTCGACGGCCTGCGGGGCGAAGACCTCCATCTCGATGCTGCTGTTGACTCCATCGGGGTGCTGGACATAGAAGTCGCTAAGCTTCTGGAAAACCGTCTGGAATGTCGAGGACGACAGATTGGCAAAGTTGATGCCGTAGCCGACTTCAGAGACGACATCGTTCCCGCAGAGCGAATTTCCGAGTCCACCCAGTGCGTTGGGATAGATCTCGTTATATGCAAGCATCTGCTGAGTTGTTGAGATGGGACCGAGAGCAACAAGAGGCTGGACCAGCTGCCGGCCCTGAGCTTCGGGACCAATGTAGAGCCAGTTGACCAGAAGTTGAGGCTGTTCAGGGAGTCAGAAACTGTATCACCCGTGGCTTGCCTGTGTTTCACTTACGGATTTGGTCGTCGTGTTGTACTCCGCGATCGTGACAGTACCCAACTCCGCAGGCATCGTTCCCTTCAGACCCTGGATCAGATCATAGTAAGATGCGTTCTTCTCGGCGGCAAAGACGAAGTCTGCGCTGAAGACCTGGCCGCCGTTTGTTTGGCTGGGCAACGAGAAGGTGGCCGAGGTGATGATGCCAAAGTTCTGGCCTGCTCCGCGAACGGCCCAGTACAAATCTGGATTCTCAGTGGCAGAAGCCGTGTTCATCTTGCCGTCGGCCGTCACGATGTTGACCGAAACAATGCGGTCGATGAGCAAGCCGTCAATGCCTTGGAAACGGCCGACACCACCTCCAATTGAGGCCCCGACCATGCCGGGACAAGCGCAGGATCCAACAGCTGAGCCATAGTCAGTCATCATCGTACGAATATGTCACGATGAAGGAGTTCAACATACGCATCTCGAAACCGGCCTTGTAGACGGGCTCAACGATTGCTCCGAATCGTGTGCCTCCTCCTATGGTAAGGAGAGCGTTCTGGGCGTCCACCTGAACGGTATCCAGTCTTTGAAGATCGATGGCAACCCCGTTGTCGACATCGTTGAGGGTGGTGCTCGAGCTGTGCCGTCCACCAGTCGCAAGAAGTGATGCATTGTGCGCCCTGGCGATTTGAACCTTGCAAACATCAGCCCGGTCCACTACAGATGTGAAAGTGTAGTCCTCTCAACATACCGCCTGGGCGACATCTGCAGCTGTGCCGGCACTGACAGCTACAGCGTAGCCAGGTCCTTCATATGCATTCCAACGAATGGTTGCGTTGGTGAAGTCACATCCACCCGGGAACGAAATGGTGGTGTTTGCGCTCCATGGTCTGGCTGGATGCTTGAAGGAGCACTGGAGGTCTGCTGAGACAGCTGCGACCAAGGTCGACAACAGCAGAGCCTTGATTGGGCTAGGCATTTCGAAGGAAGTGAGCGGTAAAGAACAACGCAAGTATAGAGCGATAGTATGCAAGTGAACAGCTATGGACAAGCATCAGACAACACAGCCAACTGCACAGGATAAGTCCAACATCTAATGCCTTCAAGCCTTCCGCTCTCCCCCCGGGCATTTGCAGCCTTCGTACTACGCCACCCCCGATGAGCATCCCACAGAGTGAGATCAGACCAAGCTTTGCCGAGCCAGCCACCATGCGCATGGCCGGCCAATGGTGCGGCGGAGGAAAGTTCACTGGTGAACGCACCGTCAGGTCCCAACGTTGTTCGCGTGGAAAAGCCACGTGTGCCACGAGGCGATCTTGCCTGCCACGTGTACGAGGCTTCAAATGCAGAAAACGATCATCCCGTAACAGTACTTGCCGGAACTATGGGGCTGGAGGGAATCCTGCCGAGATGCATATCCTCCGTCACATGCTTCGCTCTAACATTCCCGAGTGCCCGAGCCGCGTTCCCGATATACCAGAAAGAGACATATGTGGACTATCCACCTGCGCCTCGATGACATGGAGAATTTTCAGCTGCACATCGGCCAAAGAATTGCCGTACTTTCCATCGAGAAGCTATTTACCGACGTCTGTTAACGCCCGAGGGTCTCGGTCATCACTAATGAATCGTAAGATGATCGTGGACGAGTCGTTTCAGATCAGTGAAGGGAATACCAGGTGACCAGCTCGTGCTAATGCGTCGCAAGCAGGAACTCCTTCGTATTCAGCCGCATTGTCAAGACTGCACAGTAATCATACACCACACGAAAACAGACATTGATCATGGCGAAACCATCTCCCTTCACAGCCGTGATAGCTGGCGGCGGAGTTGCAGGACTGGCTCTGGCCAACATGTTCGAGAAGTTCGACATCGACTATGTCCTCCTCGAAGCACATGAAGAAATTGAGTGTCCTGGCGGTGCGGGCATCGGGATCATGCCTAATGGCTGTTTCCTTCTGGACCAATTAGGTCTGTACGAAGCTATTCGACTTGCAGCCGGAGATGGTGAGGTCGAAACCTCCTACATTCGAGACGCGAAGGGCAAACCAGTTATTACTTTGCAACACATGATGTATCACCAAGAGAAACGTCATGGATACCCCATGCTGTTTTTCGACCGAAAATCGTTCCTCAAAACCCTCCATGATCAACTCAAGCACAAGTCTCGCATCCGTCTCTCAAAGCGGGTCCAGAGAGTTGTGCAGACCCCTTCCGGAGTAGAGGTCCACACCACAGACAACGCCACCCCAATCAAAGGCACTATCCTTCTCGGAACGGATGGCGTTCACAGCACTGTGCGGAACCAGATGCGTCAACTCGCACCTCCTTCATACTTCCCAGCAGATGAAGAGGAAAAGGTCCCTTGCTACTACAAGTGCAGTTTCGGAATCGCTCAGCACGTCGAAGGCTGGACCGCCGGCGAGCAAGGCTTCACCACAGGAGACGGCAAATCATTCCTTGTCGTTTCTGGACCGAATGGGAGGTGCTACTGGTTCTTGTTCGTGAGATTGCCGGACGTGAAGAGGGGGAAGCAGATTCCCAGATATACTGCAGAAGACGAGGCGGCCTTTGTAAGAGAGAACCGAAAGCTGAAGATCAAGGAGAACTTGGAGTTTGGACAGGTCTACGCAAAGAGGATCTCGTCAGCTCTGACGCCGTTGCATGAGACTGTGTATCAGAAATGGTTCTATGGGCGAATCTTGTTGGTGGGCGATTCGGTGCACAAGGTATGCGATTGTCCATATTCTCCAGAAGCGATTCCATCGTTACTAACGAGTATGTGTACAGCCCAATCCCATCGGTGGCATGGGAGCCAATGCAGCAATGGAGACATCGGCAGAGCTGATCAACGTCCTTCTCGACCTCAAGAAGAGCCGCGCCAATGGGCTGAATGGTCTTTCGAACGACGAAATCAAGGGCGTCTTTGACAAAGTCCAGGAAACCCGCTTCGCTCGAGCCAACCGCACCATTGCTGCCTCGCATGAGCTACAAGCGCTTAATGCTTACGAGGTTCCGATGCTGTCCTCTCTCGTATGGAAAGTCTTGGTCCCCCTGGCTGGAAGTCACAACTTCTTCCGCGAGCTCTCCGCCGGCATTGTAGGCGCGTCGCGTCTCAAATATCTTCCTCTCCCAGCTCGATCCCGCACTTTACCCTACGATCACGAGTTGCCTGCGAAGCCTCTCTCGAAATCGTCGAAGCGCATCGCCTGGAGCCTCTTCAGCATGACGATGCTATTCTTGATCTACACGGCGAGCAGCGCCATGAATGTCACGTTCGAAGAGTTGCAGAGCTGGGGCACGGTCGCACCTTTGAAGCGCAACTGGCTCGGCGGAGGGACTGTTCCAAACGCTATCCTGAACGTCCTCACCTCGCTCATCTCCTTCCCCGTCCTGGACCAGGGTCTCGCTCCGAGGGTCCACCTCATCTACTTCCTCACACACATGCTCTCTCCGTTGCTCATCTACACAGTCGAAGGCTACCGCATCGGACGGCACGGTACGCTCCTCTCTCTGCCGGTGATCTTCATGTTCGGCATGCAACTGCAGGGCATCTGCAAGTTCGCACCGCTGTACGCCTTACTTAGCGCCGCTCATGCAGAGCAGAATCCAGTCGATCGGGCGGTACGGACGACAGTAGCGAAAGTGCTCGTCCCGGCTCTGGTGTTGGGGTTCTTGATCCCCACCGCTCTCATGTTCGGCCCTACACCTGATCAAAGTCGCTGGCAAGACTGGGTCGCCTTGTTCCAATGGACGCCACCCATCTTCTCCTTCCTGGTAGCCGTGTTCAGCTCCGGCCTGAGCCTCTGGAGCAGAATCACCAAGGGTCGTCCAGAAGACGCGAACAAACACCCCGAATGGTACAGCACGGCTGACGTCCCGATCCTGAAGTCAGCATATACAGTCGTCTTCGCAGTACAGGCCACTGTCCATCTCACGACTTTGGCATACGCCATCACTCACCCGGACCTCTCGATGGCAGCCGTCTTCTTCCAATTGCCGCATCCTTTCAATCTGGACTGGAACCTTTCCATTGCAGAGAAGGTCTTCGCCATTTTGAGGTATGATGTGCTTCTGACGCATGTTGCAATCGCATTGCATAATCTGTACACGGTGTGGGAGCTTCGGGGACAGGGATATGTGACGACGATGGCCGCGGTCCAGGCCGCTGGGTTGGTGATTCTCGGCCAAGTTTTCGTCGGCTCTGGAGCCACATGGGCTGGACTTTGGAGTTGGAGGGAGGATGTTATATGTGGTGTGTCTGTAGATGGTGAGAAGAGTCGGAAGAATTAGCCACAAGTAGTTCACACTCGGAATGGGAGAGCAGCCGTAGAAATGTATACACGCTGACAACGATTTGGAGCATTTATGTATCTGACAATTGCGGCCTGCGGTTACAAAATTGGGAGAAACCGGGCAAGACTCCAGTTACTCTGACCAACGTCCCTCAATCTTCGAATGCTGTGAAGGCTTCATGAGAACAACATGGTTCATGTTCTTGGGGGAAACAATTCGTCGACGACAAATCCGAGAATCAGGAATTCCATCGTGGGAGAGATTTCAAGTCATTGATTATTCTTGTGATCATATCTAGTCATCTGTGCCATGACAAGCTAGCCTCGTCTTGTAACTAGTCTCACACGTTCTGCACGCATCTACTGTGTCCATTTTTCACTTGCTCAAGCCAATCGTCGAATTTCTCAAGTGTCCACAGGCATACCACCGGGGTAACGATCACCTGCAGGCTTGAACTTGGCCAGAATTGAATCAATCTCAGTCATCTCCGCATCGGTCAGGTCGAATGTCTTGCTGTTCTCGATAACCCGCTCAGACGTTGTGGCGCCCGGGATTGGGATGAAAACTGGCATTCCCGGTCGCTTCGAGAGGGCACGCACCCAGTTGATGGCGAATTGGGCGGGTGTTACACCCCTCTTCTTGGCCAGCGCCTCCACCTGGTGAACTAGTTGAAGGTTGATGGGAAAGTTCTCGGGCTGGAAGCGTGGGAACTGGCGCATCATGGAGTCTTCGGGCAGATCCTCGAATTTGCGGATCTGGCCCGTCAGGAGGCCACGGCCAATGGGCGAGTAAGCAACGATGGGGATTCCATGCTGAGCACAAGCAGCGGCCACGCCATTTTCAAGCACGTCGGTGGAGAAGCTGGCAGAAATGTTAGTACTGGTCACAGGCAGCGAAAACCAAGGATGACGACTTACAGCGAGACTTCAGACTCGACAGCCACGACCTTGGCGTGCTTGACGGCCTCGTGGATGGTCTCGGCGCGGACCTCAGACAGAGCAATGCCGCTGATCCTGCCCTTGTTCACGAAATCATCGTTCATCGTGTCCAAGGTGACCTTTGGGTCGGTGTTTTGATCACGGCGTGCAAACTCGAAGATGTCCAAATGCTTACGGCCCTTCATCTGTGCAATGCTGTCGTTGATGGTGCGGCGGGTGTTATCGGGCGAGCCGTCGACGGCGTGAGTGGCCGGGTTCACGCCGCCCTTGATGCTGAGTACCACCTTATCGGCATCTTCGGGATAACGCTCAAAGTACTTCTCGATGAGCACCAGGCTGTTGTACTCGGGCGGGCCGTAGAATTCGCCGCCGTTCCAGAAGTTGGCTGTGTAGGATGTCAGTTGGGCAGTGCCCAGCGTTGGAAGTGGAAAAGCAGATTCTATGACATCGGCTCACCTCCATTGTCAAGTGCAGTCTTCATGGTCTTGATCGCGTCGTCGGTCGAGACTGGCTTCTGACGCCAGGTCAACCCCATCAGGCCGAAGCCGATGGGGCCAACTTGCCTGCCGATGAGGGTGGGTGCAGTCATGCTGGCGCGATGCCTGGGTATGGGTATGGGTATGGGTATGGGTATGGGTATGGGTGTGGATACGGATATGGTGGGTGAGTTGGAAACAGGATGCACGTCTTCTTATTAGTACATGTACACTTTTTCGATCCTCTGCTCTACTCTGCAGCAAACACACGTCATATTCCGACGCGCAACGGCAACGGCAACGGCAACGGCGACATGCAGGTGCTGCCCTATTAGTGGTAGCTTCCACTTTCGGCCTAGCGTAAACAGCAGTGGCCTAAGTATACAAGTAGCTCATAACCAAAAACTCTAAATCTGAAAATCTTAAAATCTTAGAGTTAGTAGACTCTTAATTATATACTTATTATATAACTCTAACTTTCTAATATTAACTCTTACTTCTATAATAATAATATCGCTATTACTACTCTATCTACGACCTAAAATAGTATCGCGCGCTACTATTATCTACGTAAAGAGTTAATTAAGAGTTACTATAGCTTAATTAGTCTAATAATAGTAGTATATAGTACTTCTATTATTTTAAAAGCTATTATTACTAATATAATATAAGTACTATAATCTAGATAATTAGATCTTAAGAGTTAGATAGTAAGAATAATAAGATTAATACTAACAGTAGTAGAGTAAAAGTTCTTAAGAATTTATATTTCTTAAGTTAACCTAGAACTCTTTATTAATCTTTTAGTATCTAAATTACTACAATTAAAGGCTTCATCATCCCCATCGCCATCGTTATCCCACGTCCCCGAGGGAAGAGTCGTTGCAATGCCCGATTCCCGTTGTTATTCTGCGCTGACAGTGTCAACTCAAATCATGAGGCGCCGGACGTAGCAATACGTTTGCTTCCCAGTCCGTCCATCCCCTTCATCCGAAATCCAAGGGATTGAAGCAATCGTTGAAGCAGCACCAAGCTAACTTACTGGTCGTCATGGGGCACTATCTCCATGCCATCTGGCAGAGGCCGGAGACGCCTCTCTGGCTCGCGGCTGCTCTCTTTGTCGTTGGCTTCACTGCCATCTACCGCCTCCTCTTCAGCGACCGTTCGTTGCCCGACCTCGCCATCGTGGGCGCCAAGCCCAACGAGTGGTTCCCCTTGCAACGCGCACGATGGCGCAACACAGTCGACATGAAGACCGCCACGGTGCAAGCTTACGAGTCCCGTGATCGTGCTTGCATCTTTCCCATCGGAGCTTCTCAGGTCTTGGTACATCTGCCTCACAAAGAGCTTCAGTGGCTGGCCGAGCGCCCAGACTCCGATGTCAACGTGCTGGCTCAAATCATCGATATGCTGCAGCTCGACTACACCGTCATGGACCCAGGTCTCGTTCATCGACCCAGCCACATTCCTCTCATCGCTGGCGCCTTGACCAGGGAGACTGGCAATCTGGTCCCGGAGCTACTAGATGAAATCGAACACAGCGTATCCGAAGCTTGGGGAACTGATACGCAAGCATTCAAAGAAATTGCCGTCTATCCCTCGATGACCAAGGTAGTTGGCCAGACCACCAACCGCGCATTCGTGGGACTTCCGTATTGTCGCGACCCTGCTCTTCTCGAAGCGGCCATCTCGTTCGCACAAGGCATTCCAGTAGCTGCAGCACTTCTGCACTCCCTTCCCGCCCCCCTTCGTCCACTGTTGGCTCCGTTCATCACCTTGCCAAATCGGATTAATACCAATAGATTCTTCCGAATTTTGAGGTCAGACATCAAACAACGACAGGCAAGATTGAGCAGCCAACCAACTGGTACTGCCGAAAAGGGTCGCAACGACTTCCTGGAGTGGTCCGTCAAACAGGCTCAAACGCTTGACGATCCGTACTTTGGCAAACCAGATACCCTGGCTGGACGCATTTTGATTGTGAACTTCACTTCAATCCACACCACGTCCTTTGCCATCACTCACGCTATTCTCGATCTTGCTGCAGGTAAACAGGAGTACATTGATGAGTTGCGAGAAGAGATCACCTCGTGTCTGGCAGCACATGGTGGACGTTGGGACAAACGCTCGCTCGCAGACATGACCAAGTTGGACAGTGTCCTGCGTGAGTCCCAGCGCATCAACTCTTTCGCAACAACATCCATAAACCGCATGGTCGTCAATCCTGCCGGCATTACCACCCCCTCCGGAGTTCACATCAAACCAGGAGTCATGGTCTGCGCGCCAGCGTATCCCGTATTCCACGATCCTGCAATTTACTCCCATGCGGACGAATTCAAACCTTTCCGATTCGCAGAGCAGCGGGCTGCAGTTGCTCAGGAAGGCGCGTCGGCCACCCAGAAAGCTCGCACCGCCTTCACGACTGCGAGTCCAGATTATACCAATTTTGGATACGGGAAACATGCCTGTCCAGGTAGATTTTTCGCTGCTACAGCTCTAAGGCTTACACTCGCGTACATGGTCATGAATTATGACTTTGAGCTTCAGGACAAGCGGGCAGAGAATTCATGGTTCGCGATGAACAGAATTCCACCAGTCAGTGCAACAATCAGGTTGCGGAGGCGTGTGGTCAGATGATCGAATTTAGAGAGAACGATAGTTTGTATGTTATCTTGCAAGCAGGAGAATAGCAATAGTGCGGTTCATTGTCCATATCACAATGTACGAATGGCGATGAAAGACCGCGTCCCAGATATGAAATCTTCACATTGTCAACGCGCGGGACCTACCTATATGAACTGCCTGTTGAGCAGTTGCGCACCTCTGACTTCTCTATTCCTGGTATCGAAAAGTGCATTTGCCTTGGCAGGGTTCTATACTACACCGCTGCTATCGAGGTCGAATTCGAAGCCAGATTCCTCCTCCCAAACACCAACAATAACGCGCTTCCCACGGTAGCCAACACACTCAATGCACAACACAGTGCAAACACATCTCGTAAACCAGTCATGTAACTTGCAATCCCGGCATCGACCTGGTCCGGAGGTAAAGTCTTCCTAATCTCCGTCGCGCCAGCAGCAAGGACGGCATTTGGAGAAATGCCCTTGACATTCTCTGCTAGAGACATGATCAACTCGTTGCCGAAGACCACCTGTGCAACGGAGATCCATACAGCGCCTCCGAGAGATTGGAAGAACAAGGCCATCGCCGACGCAGAACTAAGATCGGCAGAATCGGCAACGCTCTGACAGACGTTGACAGCAAGCTGCAGCGTTATGCCAAAGCCCACACCTCCGATGATCTGGTATCCCACCCATTCGCCTACGCTGCTTCCCTCATGTAGTGTAATGAGCAGGCCACTCGTAGCAGCAACTAGACTTGTGCCGAGTAGCATGAGAAACTGATAGTCGCCTGTCTTGCTCGTCCAGATGCCCTGCAGCATGGTGAATATCGAAGCCAAGGCAACGAAAGGGATAGTCCGGATGCCAGATCCAGAGGGAGAGACACCGTTCACAACTTGAAAGTACTGTGGTAGGTAGTACAGAGTAACGAAGAAAGTTCCAGCAATGCAAGTCTGGTAGGCAAACATAGGTCCCATCCTCTTGTGTGTCAGGATTCGAATGTTCAACGCTGCGCGCTCGCCTATCCACCATTCGTAGGCGATGAACGTGATCAGCAGCGAAGCGAATCCAACAAGAGTCCCGATGACATCTGGATCAGACCACGACTTCGTCTGACCTGCCCACTGCAGCGAGAGGACCAAGCAAATGATGCTGCAGAGCAGAAGGCTCGCACCTAACAGATCAATCTGCCGCAACTTCTCTTTCCAAGTCGTCTTCACCGGGCTTGCGTGCGCAGGCGTGTGGAAGACAAATGCTAAAATTGCAAAAGCAAGGCCTCCGACTGGTAAGTTGATGTAGAAGCACCACCGCCACGAGACATTCGAAGTGAAAGCTCCACCTATAAGCGGTCCGGCAACAGACGCAATAGAGAAAGAAGCCCCAATGAGCCCCTGGAAAGCCGGTACTTTCGCTGCAGGTACGCTGATCCCAACGATGAGGAACGAACCCGTGGAGATACCTGCACATGCATTGCATCAGCACCAACATCCCTTGCGTCCGACCACGTCCCGTGTGCACAAGTGAACTTACCCGCAGCTCCCACCCCGGCAATGGCCCTCCCAGCAATCAAACTCGCACTGTTCGGCGCGACACCACACAGCAGACTTCCAACTTCGAAAATGAAGACGGCGAGCATGTAGACCCATTTCATGCCCCAGTACTTGTATCCTTTACCCCAGACGCTGGTGAAGGAGGCGATGGTCATGAAGAAGCCGGAGCCGTACCAGCCTACGTCGTCGATGGAGTCGAAGTCGTCTGTGATTTGTGGGATGGCTGTGCTGATGATGGTGGTGTCGAGGGCGATGAGGAAGATGGAGAGGCTGCAGGCTATGATGATGCCGACGAGGGCTGGGCCGGTTGGGTAGATCTTTGGGATTGAGTTGTCGTCCAGGGGTTGTTGTTGTTGTTGTTCTGGCTGTGTGGCATCTTCTTCTGGTTTGATATCTTGCAAATGAGTTGTGCTGCTGGGGAATTCCGAGTTGGAGGGCGTTTCTTTTCTCTCTTCATCGTTTTCTTGGGCCATGCTGTCCTTGCCGATGGTGCTTCTAGTGGAGCGGAACGATTTGCGGGAGGCTTTAAGATGCATCGTTGCATAGATCAACAACTTTGCGACATGTAAATCTGGAAGAATCAACTAACAGTAGACAAAAGAGGCGGAGGAAGGGTGCGATGTCTCGACAAGGCCACAAATGTCACGAACTCCTTCTTGAGAACGGGGGCCAAGAAGCACATGTAATCCGTCCTAGCCCTCTACGACTGTCATCCCACCACGGGGGCTTCAGCATGCCCTGGAGGAACATAACCAACGTTTCACATCCTGCCCGGACAAACCTATTGTTGGCCGACCATGCTGGAGGGAAACCCGTGATCAAGTGACGAATGCCATGCGTCGCACACGTTTCCTTGGCCTGAATCCTGCCCGCCGCCCCGAATCCTTCGGCACATGGGCTCTTAGTTTGGGAAGTCTATTTCAGCTATTGTTGCATTTCCCCAAAACAGCCAACGCCGTGTGGATCTATCAGCTGTTGTCAGAATAACGTTTAAAGGATCTGTGTGCACCACGTTCCCCGACCAATCGTTCATTATACGCTAGCATCACCGAGGTGGTGATGCAATAGTTGCCGAGTGCCCGATATTAAGTGCTCATTCGTTCGCCGTCTAATTTGTGCTGGAGGCCTCTGGAGCTAAGGCATGGCCGCATAGTAGAGTAACATCGTCTTGGCGATCATTGCAACAGCGCGACCCCGGGCAAGAGAAGAAGCTTCGCCGTCCGGATCTAAGCTTCTCTCAATGTATCCGACGCCAAGGTGGACTCAACCAAGGCTCCCTACATCCGCGAAGCACGTGCTGCTTCGGAGAGCTCGTGAATGCTACATCTTCCGAATGCCTGAGGCACATAGTCTAACAAAGCCGACGGTTACTGAGAGTTGCCGCTTTCCCATTGCGGACGACATGGATCGTTCGGCGACCCGGGTTCGTCTTGGGGAATGACTAACAAGCGTGAACACGGAGTCTCGTAGACTCAGCCTCAACATCTCTTCAGTTTGCTTCCATGGCCGTACAAGTCACATGATTCTGCAGACAACACCGAAGAAGAGAAAGGTGTGGTGCAGAAATCGCTATGCCGTCATGGCTGGCGAGACATCGGCCTTGTCGGCGGTGATTGAGATGATGTTATAGCCCAGTAGCGTTCAATTTACAATGGGGCAATTGATAGGTGTTGCTGAACACCCATTCACAAAGCGTACGCAACCATGTCTCGTATGAGCAACGGCGAAATTGGCCATGATAGCATCGAACCATTTGCACTTCATGCCGACAGTGAAGTGATGTGGTCGGAGAACCTTCTAGAGAACGATATTGATCTTTGGCCTGTTGATGGCTTTGTGATAGACGGTGCTTAGACATTCACTCGTGCCCTTACCGCCGTGGTCGCTGACGTGCAGCAACAGACTCATGCTGGCCATCCGAAAACGAGTTTGTCCAGCAGGCCACCGCAATACCACTCACGCCACCATCGTCTGTTTTGCACGATGACGGCACTCAAAACGAACTTTCCCTGGAGTTTTCCGAAACGCCAAAGGATGTTGTCCGGAGGAGCACTCGACAGCGTCGGAACACGTCAAAGCCAGCACCGGAACGGATAGAGAAGAGGAAGCAGCCTAGAGAGGTGGAGCGAAAGTACCGTCACAAGCTTCGTGACCACCTCTCTGAGCTGAAGCGCACAGTCCCAACCCTGCGAGCTGCAGCGCCAGGTGTGAAAGCAGGCCTTGAGCTTCCAGGGCTACCAGTGGCGGCGAACTCAAGGAAGCCTACCGTCCTGGCTAAAACGCTTGAGTATATTCGGTACTTGGAGAACGTGAACCGCGAACTGCTCGCTCAGGTGGAGCAGTGCGGGTGTGGCCAGAGACCTTGCATGGTCATGTGATGTATGTAAAGTCAGGAGGCAAATTGGATCAGAATCTTGGCGTCACAAGGTAGAGCGCTTGAAATCCCCCATCGGCTAGCTTGGTGGTCGGTAAGGATTCTCGTCATCGATGAGCCTTCGCTTTCCCGATAGTCAGCAGAGGGTACCTGCATCCCTAGATGTATGCCACGTTGTCTGTCGTCGTGTCCCCTTGTACTTTTGGTCAAGACCCTTGTTCAATAACTGCTCATCTTTACATTTGACAATGGTCCGTGTCCTTGTGCAAACGCTTTCTGCAGTCGTTTTTTTACGCTCCGCACAAGCTGGTACCATTTCCAGACGGTCCTCTGGAACGCCAGACTGTCGTGTCCTGCCCGGAGATCCTGACTGGCCAACACACGCGGAATGGAGCCAATTCAATGCTACCATCAATGGCCGCTTGGTCGCCACTGTGCCTTTGGCAACCGTTTGCCACGGGAACACATACAATGAAGCTGCATGCTCACAGCTACAAGGCATGTGGCACAACCCTGACACGCACTGGCCCACTTCATCGTCCATCATGGCGCCTTTCTTCACCAACATGAGCTGCGACCCTTTCACTCCCCGAAGCGCCCAGTGCATCATTGGCACCTATGTTCAGTACGCGGTCAACGCTAGTTCTGCAACCGAATATCAGAACGCCCTCAGCTTTGCAACCTCCCGCAACATCCGGCTGGCAATCCGCAACACTGGTCACGATTTCCTTGGTAAATCGACCGGCGCAGGGGCTCTGGCTATCTGGACGCACAACATCAAAGAGATATCGGTCACGGACTACAGAAGTGCCGCTTACTCCGGCAAAGCCATGAAGATCGGCGCTGGCAACCAATTCTTTGAGGTCTACCCTGCTGCCAATGCTGCCGGAGTAGTTGTGGTTGGAGGCACATGCCCAAGTGTCGGGATGGCTGGCGGTTATACACAAGGCGCCGGTCATGGCCTGCTGGTCTCCAAGTATGGGTTCAGTGCCGACCAGACCTTGGCCTGGGAGGTTGTTCTGGTCAATGGCACTCTTGTGACAGCCACACCTAGCCAGAACTCGGATCTGTACTGGGCCTTGAGCGGTGGCGGAGGTGGAAGCTACGGTGTCGTCCTCTCTCTGACTGTCAAAGCGTACCCAGATCAACCGACCGCCGGTGCCAACTTGACCTTCGCCGCGAGTCAAAATGTCTCGAGGGATCTGTTCTATCAAGGCGTCGAGAGATTCCTTGCTCAACTGCCGGCGATTCTTGATTCTGGAGCAAGCAGCATCTGGTCCATCACTAACGCTTCCTTCACGCTTGCGCCGACGGCCGCCATCGGCCAGACAAAAGAACAAATCGACGCTCTTCATCAGCCCGTCGTCGACGCGTTGACTCAGCTCAAAATTCCACACAGTAGGTGACCCTCGAGTCCCCCGAAAGTGTTCGAAGCTAAGCAAACACCTAGCATACTTCTCCGCCAACTACCCAACATATCTCGAGATGCTGAATGCCATGGATACCGGATACGAAACAGCAATGTATAGCATAGGTAGCCGCCTGATTCCTCGAGACGTGATTGTTGGGCAAACCCGGAACTTGACTCAGGCAATCAACAAGATCGAAAGCTATCACACGCAGATCCTCGGCTCCTCTTTCAATGGAACACACACGCCGACCTCGCCCAACTCTTTGAACGCAGGGTATCGGGACGCTACCATGTCGCTTTCCATCGGCACGTAAGTGGTATGCCACGCCTATCATCCTCTATGCGGACTGACAGTGAGCGCATCAGTTTGTACGACGACAATAACAGAACTGCCAACGTTGAGAGCAATAACCTGATGACGAATACGCTCGTCCCGGCTCTGTCCAGCTTGATACCAGGTGGCGGAAACGCATAGTAAGCGAAGGCCCCATCCACGCTCGTCCCTGAATCTAATTGACTGCTCCAGCGTCAACGAAGGAGATCCCTTCGAGCCAAAATTCCAAAAGGTTTTCTGGGGTGAGAACTATGACCGCCTTCTGCGGATCAAGAACGCGTATGACCCAAACAGTTTCCTTTGGGCACAAGCCGCGGTGGGCAGCGAGGCATGGACTCTACAGTCTGATGGCAGACTTTGCCGGTCCCATTGAGCCCATGTCGGACAAATGACGTGATCGTCAAAGACCTCTGCCAGTGAGGGTGCTCCGGACGGAAGCTCGAGGGAGCAAACGCAGGCCGAAGTTGAGAATATACATGACGCAGGTTCCGGCTTATTCGCATGAATACAAGGACCAACAATTCACATTTGAGGTCTTGTGAACATTCGCAAGTCTCCTTCTCTGCATAGAGCCCGTTTAACTTGAGAATGCGCTTGGACTGGTACAGGCAAATTTCGTGCGCTTTTTTCAAATTGCAGTCTTCGGTGATTGCACCCACAGGCATGCCCAACGTATCAAGGTTATATCCGTCGTTCGACTGTGAAAATGACCTCTGTGTCGGTGGTGATAAAAACTTGTTCTGCCATGATGTGATTCGATGTGCTAACCTGCCCTCCCGTCTCAGTCGGCCAATCTGTCACATCCCACTCAAAGCCGTTGATTGAGATTGAAGCTTTGCCGTACAAAGGCAAAATGCCCACATTGCGAGTGATGAGGCCTTCCTTGACCGAGGTGCTGATGATGGTAGTGCCTCGTCGCAGTAAGACACTGATGCTGGCCTCTGAGAATAACCAGAAGCGTATGTTCGGGTAATTGAACTTTTGCTCGCGATAGATTTCGTGAAGAAGTCCGGTGCCTTGGTCGACGCGACCGCCGATGCTGCCCAAGACCAGAATGTCTTTGACATGGGGTACGTTTTCGATGACTGTCTTGATGCCTTTGCCGAAGTCTGTGCTGTACTGATCGGGGTCATGGGAGACCTGCACACCAACCTGTTCGTATTTCTTCCGCACGTCATCTTTGACAGAGTCTAGATCGCCGTGAATGGCGTCTGGAAGTGCCGTTCTAAGGGCCGATAGCCAGGACTGGTCGGCATGATGTGCTACCAAAAGATCGTGGAGACGGTTCGCCCCTCTATCTGCGCAGAGGATATACGATGCATGGCCATACAATCGTTCAAAGCAGTGAGAGTCGCTGATCGGGCTGTTCAAGAAATGTGTCGATGGAACGATGATCTGCAATGGCCCGGATCAGTTTGGGTTGTGTGTGGGCAAAGTTGCGTGGAATGGTAGCATACCTTACGCGAGTCTGCAATCCAGTAACTTCCTTAGGAGCTCCGGATCTACATAACGGACATTTCAGTCAGGATTTCAGGATTTTAAGATTTGCGGAGGAAGGCTTAGTAATACATATCTACTAGCACTCTCTATAGTAATCGTTATTACATAGGTATACCTAGTAAATATGTAATTCCCTATACTAAGTAGAGTAATATATTGCTAGTCTATACTATTACTAGTATTATTATACAAAAATTATTATATTATAATAAAATTAAAATAATAGACTTTATTTTAATTAATAATAGTAATAATAGTATTAAATATAGAGTTAAGCTTAATAGATTAGTAATTAAGTACTATTATCTATTAATATAGAAATAGAATACTAAAATATATCTTATTTTAATAACCTACTAACGTATATATCTCTCTACTAAGATATACTATAGCTTAGTATTTAATAATATATCTCTCTCTTAGTAACTCTATCTCTTTTAGAGTATAGAATATCTAATATATTTCTTATAGATATTAGAATATTTTTAAATAGATTAAACTTAATATTATAAGTAAAGAATATATATACTAAGATTCTATATATTTTAGTATATATTAAGTTTAATAGAGAGAGAGAGAGAGAGAGAGAGAAGATTCTAGCTTAGTCTAGAAAGTAGTATATAGTCGCTAAGCTACTAGGCCTACTAAGTCTAAGTAGTATAGGTATTATCTAGTACTACTACTTCCTAAGACTTACTCTTTATAAATAGCTTATTACCTAAATAACGAGCTAAGAATAGTATATCTTCTAGAATTTACTAAATATATATATATACTATATACTATACTACTCTTAGTAAATATAAGTAGCGGAAAAGTATAGTAGCTAGTAGATAGTAGAAATATCCGACCTACTAGTACCGAACGTCGTAATACTAGTAGTAAATAGAATAACCCGTACGTTCGTCTAGCTCTTCTATCTATCTATATTTATATTAGAAGATTAATCTATCTATCTTTTTAATAAAAAAAATTCTAAAAACGAACATGTTCTAGGTAACATCGCTAACCCGCTTTTTCCAAATGCATACACGCTATCATGGGTATCTCGGCTCCAAAACCCAAAGGGAGAAAAAACAAAAAAAAAAGGTCCAGATCGACGACAAAGGCGGTGGGAAAGGAGCAAGGCATCGAGGATGCTCGTCACATCGAACAAGAAAAGAAAAACAAAACAAATGCATCACCTCATCAATCGTCTTGTATTCGATTCCATCTCAGAGCTCCGCCTCTCCCTTCAGATTCCTCTGCTCTTCCAGTCGAGGCGAAAGCGGTCCGGGTGCACCCAGGGGCGAATTCGGCTTGAAAATCATGGACAGACTCCCCACACGTCGATGTTTGCCGCTCGATTTGGAACGCTTTACATGGCTCTCCGCCTGCGGTGCCAAGACCGGCTTCACGGCCTGGTTTTTGAGCAGAGGTTTGGATTTCTTCCCCTTGACGATCTTCGCTTCATCTGACGGACGACCTTGGTTTCGAACCCAGCTGGCCACATTGCGGATGCGCGTGCTGGCGAGGGAAGATCTCCGGTTTGGTGCTGCGATGCGCGGAGTACTGGGCGCTTGAGAGTTGGTCCAACTCCAGCGATCGTCTCGGGTATGTGATGGTGAGAGCGATTCGTTGTTCGCTGATAGGTTCAAAGTGAGGCCCGGAGTGTTGTTCGCTTTCCGGTCGGAGGTTGATCGGGTGGCGCTCGTTTCCGAAGAATATCGCATCACAGGTAGGGTCAGAAAGTTGTCCCCATTGGCAGTGGGCGCATCCTGCGGATGCTCGACTGTATTAGGCTGCGGTGAACTCGCGTCGTGCAGGAAAGATTCCCATTCGACCTTGTGAGTGGGTGTGATGGGAGCATTCGAAGATGCAGAATCCACCAAAGGGGTTCCTGGTCGATTCTGCCAACTTCGCAGATTGGACGGCACAGCAGCCATCTTTGGTGGTTTGGAGACATTCGCTCGCGAAAGATGCCGCGAAGATCGAATGGAAAATCGGTTGTGTCGGTAAATTGGAAGAGCCGTAAGCCGCGAATCGTCGGTATAAGAGCCAAGAGTGACGACTTGTGACTGCGGTCGACAGAGCAAGATTTCCGAGAGCGTCGCTCCCCTTCGTTTCCTCCAAATGGCATATACCAACAAGATGAGGATCAAGGTACCGCCTATCGACGTTAGATTCTGAGCATGACAGCACGAGAGATACGTCATCCATACAAACGGTGGTTGTAGCAATGACAGCTCTCCTGTCGTGGCCAGGCAGACCCGAAGATCCGGAAGAGTCATTCTGAGACCCGCGATTCTGGTCATTCCTGCCTCCCGAATTCCCGGTCGGCGACGGGGAAGCAGAGTTCGAGGGCTGCCCGGGCGAAGAAGTAGAAGTTTGGAAGCTCGTATTGCCATTTGAGATGGTTTGCGTCGGTGTTGGCTGCGATGACCCAAATTGTGAACTGGAGGCCGGCTCAACGATGACGATATTCGAGCCCGGGTCTGATGTCTGGTCGTAGTCGTTCTGGAGAGCCATGTAATGACGGTGGGAATGTGTTGAGATGGCCCGCAATTGCTGGACTTGAAACCTTTATTAGCAGGAGCGTTCACATCAATTCAGGTGCTGGCTGTGCGGGAGAAAGAACGCCGGGGCGGGTCGGCAGCTCATGTATATTGGAAACGGATGTGACGCTGCTCAGCGTCGGATGTGTAGCAGTCGCGTGTCACGACAAGACATTCGAGAAGAGGGTAGGGCTCGAGTGGCGCGCCAAGGATGTAGGGACGAGGACATGTTCAAACAATCGGTCGAGGTACAGGGCAAGACAACCCAATCGAGGTTGCCGTGGGCGGGATCCCTACCCTCCAGACGGGCGCGCGCCTGGCGAGAGGGAGCCAAGTGCAGCGGCCCAGAAAGATGAAAGCAATTCGTTGCAGTTGGCACAAGGATGAAGCGTGGTATGTGCGCCGAGACTCGACGTGCGACAGCGGACTGCGGCGGGTCTCGTAGGTCCGGATCCGAAGACGGTGTGTTTGGCCCTCGTCTGCCTGAAACGACAGGCCGGGGCGATGCCGGTCTCGAGTTGCTCAGGTCAGCACAAATGGGATGGAATGATGTCGCGAGCGGGCCAATGTCCATGTCCTCTGGCTGCAGGGCTTGTATATTCCACGCGAAAACGCAATGCATCGCGTACGAGTCCCGGCTGGAGCAGCGCAGGGCTGCAAATTGGGGGATGGATTGAGCGTGTCCTGGACCATGCGCGGGATGGGTATTTCTATCATAAATCTTTCCATCCTAAGACGGCCCGGAGCATGGAAGAGCCGCGCGGGAAGCACAGCAGTAATGAACAAGCTGCACAAACCGTCGCCATCATGTAGCGATGAACTTGTTCCGATCCCTTCAGCTGTCTCTTGGTGGCGGAGGCGACTGCAGTGCCCCAACTTCACAGTACATGTAGCAGCCGAACAGTGGCGTCACGAGAGGGGGGGGGGGGTAGCGGGGGGATGTCGATATCGTGGTAGCGTTGATTACGTAGATAACCATGATGGTACCTCGCCCAATAATACTTCTCTAGATGCGTCGCTCTTCACAACTTCGACTCCGAGGTGTTCTTGAAGTTAGAGTCAAGAGAATTACCTCATGAAGAGGCTATCGAATATACCATATAGGACACTACTATATAACAAGGTTGAGAGTGATCCGAGTTACATCACCAGATATATATAGCCGATATTCGCCGTTGGTTTCGCGATGGTATTACTGGTATCGATACTACGCGGAAAGTATAGTCCCCCCCGCGGCACCCCCCGACGAGAATTGCTGCCTTCTCTCATCCTCCATCGACTCTTCCCACCTCTCACATGCCAACTCTCGGCGCTGGCGGAGAACGAGAAACAGAGTATCACTAGCCGCAGTCTCGGCCACCGAGTTGAGAGCTGTGCAAAGCATGATATCATTTCGAGGCTTTGCCCTACAAAGTCAGCAGCTGCGCCTCCCCACCTCCAGGTCAGCAGCCTCTTGGGAGGGGCAATACAGTTAGGTCACTTCCGCTCTCTCCTCTCTCCCCTACAAATACCTTACCTTCGCCTCCCTCCCGTCCATTCATCACACTCACAAACTCTACCATCGACATCACCATCGACTTCAGAACCCGCAAAACTCGATCATCCCTCTCACCCGACACGCGATCGTAATGTCCGACCCTTACAACCAAGGCGGCTACGGCCAGAACTACAATCAGGGCTACCCTCACCAGGGCCAGGGCTACCCGCAACAGCAATACGGCGGCGGCGGCGGCGGATACGACCAGAACTACCCACAACAAGGCGCCGGGTATGGCGGATACCAGAACCAGGGAGGATACGGTCAACAGCCCTACGGCGCGCAGCAAGGATACGGCGCTCCTCCCGCGCCCGATTACGCCGGCGGACAAAACCAGACCGGCTCCTACGGTGGCCCTCCGCAGCACGGCGGCTTCACACACGGCCAAGGCCCACCTCAGTACGGCCAAGATTACAACCAGCAGGGACAGTACGGCCAGCAGGGACCGTACAGCCAGCAGCAGCAGACCCAGCCGTGGGGCCAGGGCGCACCTCCCAGCGGCGACCCAGCGAATCCTTACGGCTATACTCGCGACCCGGCAGACCCCAATAACCCGCAAGAAGGCGAGCGCGGCTTCATGGGCGCCATGGCAGGTGGAATCGGAGGCGGTCTGCTCGGCCACAAAGCCGGACACGGCATAATCGGTGCTCTGGCCGGAGCCTTCCTGGGCTCCAAGGGCGAGGACAAGTGGAAGGAGCACTCACATAACAAGCCCCACGGTGGCTATGGTGGCTCCGGCTCCGGCTACGGCAAATGGTGATTGTTCTCTACCTCTCAATTGGCTTCAAGATTTCTTCAGTACTCCTTTGCACGAGACACGATTTGCGGTTCAGAACCCTAGGCATGGCGGTGAGAACGGGCGTTTTAGGTGGCTTTCAAGCCTAGGAAATCAAGCGACGACGACCTCTATGAGCTCTTATGTACATGTCACAAATGAGATTGCACTTTTGGAAACGAGTCTTTTCCAATGGCTTCACATGAACGCCAAGAAATTATTTGAATTAGTATGCACCAATCAAATGCGTTCGTATATATATATGCTCTAGACGTGATGCTCATGTTGAACGCCGTCGCTAATGATGGCAAGGTCAGACCAGACTGCTGTTGAGCGCAGCTCTGAGAAATTCTTCAAGCCTCACCCTTCACGCCTCCCCTTTAACAACCACCCACTTCTTCCTCAACCCCTCACGTCTTCTTCAACTGCCCATAGCCACCCTTCCCCGCCAAATCAGGATACGTCTGCCCCTCCGACTTCAGCCCATTCCTCGGCCCCCTCTCCTCCAGATCCTCCCTCAACCAACCCATCACCAGCTCCCCCAACCGACTATTTCCTTCCACCCCTCCGTCCGTCCTCGCCACCTCAAAATCGCCCATCGCTCCCCACTTCTTCACCCTCCCCAAGGCCATATGCACCAGATGCGTCGGCCACATGGCCAGATTATCCAGAATATGCGTCGCATAGACAATCGTACAATCCCTCCCTTCCGTCTCCCGCTTGAGGAACTGCAAGAAATTATGCCGCGAGAGCAGGTCGAGATCCACGGTGATCTCATCCAGCAACAAGACGCTCCAGGGCCGCAGGAGGCCCATGCACAGCTGCACGCGCCGCCTCTCGCCGTCCGACACGGCGTGCAGGTGCCAGGAAAGGTCCACGTCCAGAATGCGCACCAGCTCGTCGCGCCGCGCCGGGTAGTGGTCGCCGCCGACGGATTTCAGCAGTTCCGGGACGGCGATGTCGCTGCGCACGATGGGGTTGAGCACCCATTCGAGGCCGAGGTAGGTGACGCCTTCGAGGCCCTTGACGAAGGGGTCCACGTCGCCTACGGCGACCGTGCCCGCGGGTGCCATGCGTTTGCCGGAGAGGAGGCGGAGGAGGGTGGTCTTGCCCGCGCCATTTGCTCTGAGGATTTAGCGTTGAGGATTGGATGGGAGGGGGTTCTTCTTACCACCGATGAGGAGACAGCGTGCGCCGCCCGGGAGATCGAGGGAGATGTCTTGCAGGCCTGAGGATCCGTCTGGGAAGGCGTAGGAGAGCTTGTTTACGCGGATGGAAGGCGGGGATGATGAGGTGCCATTGTTGGCCATTTTTGTTTTTTTAGCGGAGGTGGAAGAGATGGGATGTGGTATGCGATTGGAGTTGGAATGTGAGGAGAAGCAGGACCAGGCCGTTCGGAGGAGTTGTATTGTCGTGATCTTAGCCAAGTCATGACGTCCCGCAGATCCACGCCGCGAATTTGGTGCCGAGATTCTAGCGTTGGAATTTCACATGCTGCATTGCCCCACGTCTCTCCAACACTCCAAAAACATCTGGACTCAGAACTGTGATGCTGCGCACCCAGCGCATCCTCACACCCTTGACGACAATGGCGCGATCTCGACCTTCCCGTCCTCTAATCTGCGTCATCGGAGCGACGGGAACGGGCAAGTCCCAAGTACGTCCTCTGCTACGGATGGGTTTCAATATGCTGACCACCACAGACAGCTCGCAGTGGAGATCGCGAAGCGCTACAATGGCGAAATCATCAACGGCGATGCGATGCAGCTCTACGCCGGCCTCCCCGTCATCACGAATAAAATCACGCCGGAGGAGAGACAAGGCATACCGCACCATCTGCTGGGATGTATAGGACTACACGAACAGACTTGGGTGGTCGGGGCTTTTGTTCGCAACGCACTGAAGGTGATTGAGGAGATTCGATCGAGGGGGAAATTGCCGATACTCGTTGGAGGGACGCATTACTACACTCAGAGTCTGCTTTTCAAGGATCGATTGGCGGAGAAGGAGGAAGCGGAAGAGGAATTCGTGGAGAACATGGCGGATAAGTGGCCGATTCTGAATGAGTCTACGGCAATGCTGCTTGAGGAATTGAAGAGGGTTGATCCGGTTATGGCTGAGAGGTGGCATCCGAAAGATCGGCGAAAGATTCAGAGAAGCTTGGAGATATACCTTCAGACTGGTCGGAAAGCGTCGGATATCTACGCCGATCAGCGGGCTCGTAAGAGTGCCAATGGAGATGCTGAAGATTTTCGAATACCCGACGGCCTCAGTATGCGATTCTCCACCTTACTTTTCTGGATCCACGCTGAGACCAACGCGCTGAGGGACCGCTTAGATCAGCGTGTCGAGAAGATGCTCCAGCATGGCCTCCTTGAGGAAGTCGACATGCTCACCGATTATGCCCGAAGTCAGGCTGAGGAAGGCGAAGCAGTGGACGAGACTCGCGGCATCTGGGTCAGCATCGGATATAAGGAATTCAAAAGCTACGCACTCGCGCGACAACAAGATTGCACAGATGTCAAGCGACTCTCGAAACTCAAGGCCGAAGGAGTCGAGAAGACACAGATAGCCACTCGCCAGTATTCCAAGCGACAGGTCAAGTGGATCCGCATCAAACTCGTCAATGCTCTTGCAGATGCCGGTGCTACGGATCGTCTCTACCTCCTGGACGGGTCCGATGTGTCCAACTTCGCGGACGTCGTGGTGCGTCCTGCTCTGGAGTTGACAGAACAGTTCTTACAGGGGCAAAATATGCCCTCGCCTTCTTCGCTCTCCCCCGTTGCCGCAGAACTACTGGTACCGAAGCGCGAAGATTTCGCTGCTACTCCACAGATGTGGACAAAGCAGCATTGCTCGGCTTGTGAAGTGACATGCGTTACGCCGGAGCAATGGAAAATGCACACAGGCAGCAAGAAGCACAAGAAGCTCGTTGCAAAGGAGAAGAAGAATGAGACGACTCCAGATGCACCTGCTTGACTTCCAGGTTTCTTTTGTGAAAGACAATCCAATGCATCATTTTCCATGTGCCTTTGATGAACTGGCTCTTCATCCGCATCTTTGGGGATGCAGAAATACACAGATCGGACTCCTCCTCGGAAAACGCCTTGAGTATGCCACCGCCACGGGATGGTGACGAATATTGCCCTTTCGGAGACCTCCTCGAACGACTGAACAAGAACACCTCCCTATCAATCGCTCTTCCATCTGCACCTGACGGACCCAACGGAGCTCGAGGTGCTGCCTACGGAGGATATGTGTATATGCAAGCAGCTTGGGCAGCATGTCAGATTCCTGGAAGAGAATTCCTGCTGAGTGTACGTGAGCTTTGCTATACTGGTTGAACACTGAGCCGAGCCGATCGACGGGCTATCCAGAACGCCTCTGACAATTCCACCCTCCCCAGCATCCCCAATGTCAAGTTTCACATACACCGTCCTAACCATCCGCCATGGCCCATCCTACTGCACCCGAACAGGAAACGCACACCGAGAAGCAGGAAAAAGGCTATATGTTCGCAATGCACATGCGTCTTCAAAACAGCTGATACGAATCCCCTGGATGTGTGTGCATGCGAGCGCGAATCTTTGGGACAAGTACAAGATGGCACTAGAAGGCGAGAAGTCCTTGGAATTTCGCAAAATGTCCCGGTTACGACGTGTCCTGGTTGATTGGTTGGTCTTGGAGAGAGCGCGCCCACGGTAAATTGAATAATGAATTCTGCCGGCCTGGATTCCCGACTCGACAGGAGACAATGGATCTCTCTAAACGAACCCTGGGCACTCCTACCCAAAGGCGACATGGACATGCACCTATGCGCATGGCTCTATGCTCCCGATCGTAAGAGTCTCTTCATCGTCCGTCGCCCAGACGCTTGAGAGATAGGAGACATGTACTGCGATCGTTCTAGGAAGTCCGATTTCACTTTCCCTCCCATACGAACGCGGAGGATACGCATTCTGGAGAGTATGGGCAGTCGTCGAGGTGGGCTGTGAAAAAGGATTGGACGACGAGGTACCTATTCGGGTGGGAGGGGATCGTTTTCTAGTCTGGCCTGGTCGCCCGAGGGGAGGCATGTCATGACTCATACCGCAAGATGGAATGGCGAGGGCGCCGAAGGGAGGAATCGGAGTGGATTGGATTGAAAGAGCGAGAAATAATTAAGGAGAGTAAGGGAAGGGAAGACGTAGATTCCATATCACCGTTCCCTCCGACTCGTTCGGCTTTCCATCTTTCCATTCGAAGTCCAGAACCATCGGCAAGAAATTCTCTGTCCAATTCCGAGCGAAGAGCGATTGCGTTGCTTCTTCTTCACGTACCAAAATCCACCTAATAAATGAAAGAAGACCCTTGAGCTTGAGCTTGAGGTATCATATTAGGTAGTTCGAGTAGTCGGTCCTTCTCCTTTTCCTTCCCCTTCTCCTTCTCCTTCTCCTTCTCCTTCTCCTTCTCCTTCTCCTTCTCCCTACCCTATCCAACTTATCTACATCACCCCTTTTCTATTTCCCTTTCTCTCGCCCTTTCAAGCCCATAACATTACTTTTTTGCGTCAAGACGACGATAACAACAAGAACAAATTTGCCTTACCTCGCCTTACCGTCATCTAGCCTAATCAAAAAAATGTCGGGCTGGCTAGCTACCCTACCCTACCTACCGCGAGAGGGGAGCGGATATTAGAGAATAAAAAAAAAAAAAGGGCTCGTCGTGATCGAATGGATGGATGATCGAATGGATGGATGGATGGATGTATGTATGTATGGCTGCGCGTCGAAGAAAGGGCAATGCAAGGCAAGGCAAGGCAAGGCAAAGGCAAGGCTACCTACTAAGAAGTGTAGCTGGAGGCTAGAAAGGGTCCATCCACGGTGTGTGCGCGGTAGGGAGGGAGGAAGGTATTACTTCTAGAGGCATAGCATGGCATGGCATGGCATCGCATCGCATCGCATGGCATGGCATGGCAGTGGAAAGCGAACGACCCCTAAAAGCACCTGTGTGTGTATGTATATGTGTGTGAAGATGTATGATCTCTGCGCCCGTTATTAGTGTCAGTATCAGTCCACTCCAGTCCAGTCCAGTCCAGTCCAGGCACAAAATCGAAAAGAAGAAAAAAAAAAAACGGAACCACGAATGCTGCTATATTATTATTATATCATTCATGGATAGATATAGATAGACATCATACAAGGAGACAAGAACAATCATCAAAAACCTACCATACCACATACCTCACTCAAACAATCTCATCTTGAATTCTTAACAAGGCAAAAGAAAATATTTTTGTGAAAAATTCTTTTTGACAGACAAGACAAGACCATTGTCATATTTCAAATCACTCTCTCATCTGAAGAAGAAGAAGAAGAAGAAGAAAGAAATATATGAAGCAAATATACAACCCGCTATTTCACACAACAACAACGAACAACAACAACAACGAACAACAACAACAACGAACAACAACAACAACGAACAACAACAAAAATAACAAAATCTATCGCTTTCTCGCTCTCTCGCTACTCTCGCGCGCGCCCCTTCATTCCCGGTACTTTCCATATATCAGATGCTACTCAACACACAGGACAGAGATCCCAAAACGCTGTCGCTCTCGCTCCCGGAGAATCTCATTTTTTTTCTCTCTTCCTCTCCATCCCTCTATGCGTGTCGGGGAAAAAAGGGGCAGGAAGAAAAACATTTCTCCAAGTAAAGTGCGAGTTTTGGTCCCGTTTTTGTTTTCTTCATCATCGCAGTTCGGACAAGAAGCAGCGCCAGTGCGGGCACAACGCTTGCTTCTTCCATACTCGTGGAGACACGACCACTTCAAAAACATACAGATCCTTCTTTCTCTCTCTCTATTCCCGTGAGACGTCACGGCCGAAGATGTACGATTTCAACCAGTCCATGATGACCAGGACACGGTTGCGTGCTGTGGAACAAGTCAGTCTCATCATCGCGACACATCCCCGAAAAAGACGATCCCGAGGCAATGAAAGCACTTACTGCTAAAGCACATGCTCAGATAAGCCGACCGCCAGAAGAGGTACGTCAGCTGTCCACCGCTGGCCAGGTTGCCAGTCACCCACGAGATATCCGCGACCGCCTTCTCGCTGCCGATATAAGCCAGGGAGCCCTGGTGAGAGTACTCAAACGGACCCATCTGCTTGACGCGGCGCAACCGCTTCTGCAGGTCCTTGATCTCCACAAAGACCTTATCCCTCGCCTCCTTGTTGGGCGACGTGGCCTGTTCTTCGGACAGCTGGGAGAGCTCGGTCTCGATCTCCTCGGTCTTGGCCATCTGGTTGAAGAGGCGAGCGAGGAAGACACCTTCCTGACTTGCGACCTGGGCTGTTGGGGCGTAATTCGCGACAGCGCAGTCACCCACAGCCCAGACGTTCTCCGTGCCTTTGACGACCAGGTACTCATTGACGGCAAGACCACGGCGCGAGTCCTTCTGGGCCGGTATTTGGTTCATGAGATCCTTCACGAGAGGTCGCACGGCGTTGCCAGTAGCCCAGACGAGGAGACCGTAGGGGATCTTCTCAATTTGCTTCTGGCCATTCGCATCCGTGTATTCCGCTTCGATGTACTTATCCGTGACGTTCTTGACCATGGTCTTGGTTCGAATCTCAATCGTCTCCTCCTTGAAAGTCTTCTCGGTGTAGTCAATCAGGCTCTTGGAGAACATGGGCAGCACCGACGGGAGAGCTTCGACCAGCGTGACGTGGAAGTTGTCCTGGATCTCGGGCATCCACTTGCGCAGGTCCTCCTCGAAGAAATCTTGCAGTTCACCGGCGAATTCGACCCCAGTCGGGCCACCACCCACGACAACCATGTGCAGCAGTCGCTTGACCTCCTCGAGCGATTGGTCCTTGAATGTAGCCGTCTCGCAGCAATCCATGATGCGCTTCCGAATCTTCTGCGCATCGCCCACCTCCTTCAAGAAGCAGCCGTGCTCGCGCACACCGGGGATCCCGAAGGTGGCATTTTCCGCGCCCACGCCGACCACGAGCAGATCGAAGGGGATCTCGCTTTGCGAAATCGAGCCCTTGATCTCCGAGTCATCGCTGATGTAGACAATCTTCTTCTCGTAATCGATCTTGGTCGCTTCGGCTTCGTAGTATTTGACCGACGCCTTCTTGTGGCGCAAGAAGTTTCGAATGGGCTCCATGATGCTGCGGTGCTCGATCGTCCCGGTGGTGCACGACGGCAGGAGAGGCGTGAAGAGGAAGTAGTTGCGAGGCGAGATGACGACGACATTGTAGTTTTCGGTATCCAGAGACTTCAGCAGGGAGACGGAGCCCCAGCCGGTTCCTAATTAATGACGCCCCATCAGTATTCTGCTTCGAGACCGTCCCATTGACACCCATCGAGTCCTACCGAGTACGACCAGAGTCTTCTTCGTCGGATCAGGCTCCTGCTGCTCGGCCGGGTTGCGATTGACGTAGATTCCATACGCAGCGTATCCAAGCCCGCCCAACACGGACAGGTACGTGAGCCGCCATGCCCATCGGAAGAAACCCCGCGCGCCCCTCTTGACCTGCTTCTGATCCGGCAGCTTGTCCGCGACGCCTCTCCGGAAACCCGCGCGCAGTTGTTGGTGGCTCAATGGCGTCTGATTCGAAGCTCGCAGCGGCTGCTGAAAGGGAGATTTCGGAGCTGTCCTCGCCGATGCGAACCCGCGCTGCCCGGCGTGCTTGAGACCGAGCGAAGTGCTGACAGCAGCCAGTGGCCTCGCGACGGCCTTGGATGCCATTGCGGCGAGGTGTGGTGGGGAGGAAGGAGAGAGAGGCACAGCGAAAAAGACTCGTGTGCTCGCGCGGGAGATGCGTCGTAGAAGCAAGCTGCCCGAGATAAACTTTTGAGCTTCTCGCGACCGGGATTAGAAATGCGCTAGTCTCCGATGATCTGACATCCCACTCTTCCGAACGCTGACGATGCTTAAGTTCTCAAGGTTGTGGGATAGAACGGGGACTCACGGAACAACAATTCTTATTACATGTACTGTTCTTCTTGCCTGCGCGGCGATGTCTTACTGTGTTGCATCGGTGGCGTTCAACGTGCCGTTCAACGTGTTATTCACCACCGTCTCACATCGTGTCGTTCCGTCCTCGAATCAAATTCCTAAGCGCGAGATAAGCACTCAAATCAAAAAGAAATATCTCGTATGTAGTAGGTATGACAGCAAGACTCGCATGTGCTTCTGAGGCTGATTCTTTCAATTCTCATCATCGTTTTGACAGACTGACTGTACACGTGAAGCTCCACCATGAGAGGAGAGAGCCGCACACTGATTACCTAGGGCATCCCAGCTCGAGACGCTATGAACAAGTCAGGCCGCTTAATCGCTCGCTCGCTCATCAATTCGACATCGACAGACAATTCCGTGAGACTGTTCTCACCCTCGCAAATCAATACAATACCGCCCAGAACGCCACTCGCTGGTACAACGCGGAAAGAGAACAACGTCCAAGGGTATCTCCGCCAAATGAGAAAATGCCTTCCAGCAATGTACACCGCTGCAGTCGACGTGCACATGAGACCTGCAGTCCGAATCCTCATCTCTACTACCGCAGGGTGACTACGAGAGCCAGTATTGCAGTAATCGCAGCTGTCGCAATTGAGCCATACGCCGCAGAAGCCCCTGAGCTCAAGTTTCCTTGAGTATCAAAAGGGCTTCCACCCCCGCTGTTGTCATGCAGATCGGTCTGAGAGCTTCCGTGCGAAGACGATGTTTCGCTAGCGGTCGTGGATCCGCGTGTCGTGGTGTCGACGAGAATGCCACTACTCGTGCTTGTGCTCGCGGGCAAAGTGGAAGTGCCAGTGGAAGTGCTAGTGGAAGCGGTGCTCCTCGTGGTCGTCGCTGCGGCGGTCGAAGAGGCAGTGGAAGCTGAAGAGCTCGTGGTGGTCGCTGCGGCGGTCGAAGAAGCAGTGGAAGACGGAGAGCTCGTCGTGGCGGGTGAGGACGTCGAGGCGGTCGAGGAATCAGCTGGTGCAGATGAGCTGCTACTTTGAGCTGCGGTTGTCGAGGCTTCGGTTTGGGCTGCACTGGAGCTGCTACCACCGCCCAGGACCTGTTGCGCATTGCTGCAAAGTGACTGCGGGCCATCTCCACCCAGAAACGCGACTATGATGTTTCCTCCCGTAATGCCCTGGCCTCCACACGCCGTTTGGACCTTTGCAGCTAGGGCAGCTAGTGCCTTCACACAGCCTTTGCTGCACGACGAAGACCCGCTGAAGTCGGAGGGAGAGCAGCCGTCAATAGCATCGGTATAGACCGTGTTGCAATCCTGGGGCAGATTCGACACGCGCGGCGTGAAATCCGCGAGAGTGACAGCGAGGGTCGCTACGGGGAGCGCCAGGAAGGCAAGTCGCGAGAAATGCATGGTCGAAGTCTTCCCGGGGAAGAGCGAAATAATAAGATACAGCACGGCCGGGTAGCTCCCGATCGCCGTCTTGTTGCAAGGGAGCGTAAAGAATCGAAGGGTGTTGTCGCGACTCGAGTCGTTCCAAGTCGGGTCAAGAGCGCAGTGAATGGACGTGTGACGGTCAAAGGTCACACAGGCGGCTGTGGCTGTATGATGAAGACGCTGCCTGCCTCGAGAGGTGTGGATCTTGGGGTTTCAAGCGGTCCCGCAGCGCAGCGCCTATAGCACCTGTTAGAGAGGCTCCCTTCGCACAAGGCAGATTCAGTTTGCGATGGCCCGACGAGTCCTGCGCGTGTCGAGTGTGGGATGCGTCGCGCATTCACATCTGGGAGCCATTGAGGAGCAAGCACTTGCCTTGAGGTGGATGGAAAAAGGAACGGCCGCCTCGAGCGCCGGGCTGCAAGGGCTGAGGAGCGGACCCGTGAGGTCGGAGGAGGAGGTGGTGGGCGCGCGCGGAGAAGAGAAATGCGGAGAGGGAGGGTAGAAGGGCGCGGACTGGTTGGTGGGCGGAAGCTTACAGTGGCCGAAGCGAAGGTCTAACGAGATGACAAGGGGGCCGTTGGGGGAATTCGAAATTAACATGTAGTAGTGGGTGTAGTGCGTTGCTGGATGAACGGCTGCTGTCATGGAAACGCCATCTCGAAGACGGCAGGCGCGAATCGATACCGACGACGAGTGTACATGTAGGTAGGTAACACAGTAAGGTACTTCATCGGTTGTGAGGCAAGGCGACACAGGCGTGACCTCCCACGATCTTCAAGAGAGGAATGCGCTATAGCAAATCGCGCACGCGCCTGGCTGGTCATATTATATTTGATGCTTTGAAACACCAAGAACCGTCGGGCGCCGCTTCCGAGAGCCGGCGCAGGTGTGTCATCTCGCCCTCTGCCCTAACTGCATGCGAGGAGGATCGACGGCGACAATCTCTCCAGACTCCGGCGGAATACTACGAGGCAGACGATTATTAATATATATATACATCACTCGTCAGTGGAAGGCGGACTCACGCATTGAGTCCGCCAAGACATGTCGGACGCTACTATAAACGTCCTCCCGCATTAGGAATAGCAGGCCATGTGCGGGAAGATCACTCCTTCACCACAACGCTTCTCCTACCTGTTCAAACTCCATGCTTGACCTCATGTCTCATCGCAGCAGGCCGGCGTAATCAAAGCCGGTCGTCCTCTCGCGTCCGTGTCGTCTGGATTGCCATGCTTTCTTACATAATCACCGGTAGGAAAGCGGGAACGAAGAGTTAGATGACGGCAGTAAGAGTAAGACTGCCAAGCAATCCAGTATACACGCATTATCTGTCTCTACCTCATACCGGCTCTTCTGCCAGCTGAGTGCGCGCTATCCGGGCTGCCACTGTTTGCAGCCTCTTTTCTCCTCAATGGAGCACGGACTGTTCCCGTGAAGAAATACCAAATGCCTGTCTTGCCTGCGTAGCCTTGCTCCTCGGCTCGCTTTCAACGCCGTACAATCAAAATGCCATGTCAATGCTAACCAGACGGCTTCAGCTGTTGGAAGCCCGGTTCGAAAAACGCCCCTGAATGCTCGGTCGCTACAACGCTCGCGGATGAATTTCTCAGAGGGTCATGTCTTGTTTACAAAAAAACTAAAAAAGCCTTTTCGGGGCTTCTGGAACGGTCGGCGGGGGCTGTGAAGCGGGAAGCAGGTCAATCAGAGATGTCACTGCTGCGGGAGCACCGGGTGCAAATGTTGCGATGGTGGCGGACCGCTCGGAAAACCAGGCCACTGGTGGATCGGTGTCATCTCCTGGGGTTGGTTCCCGTCCAGCCAAACATTCTGTCGGACGTAGGGAAGTCGACCGGTGTGTTGAACAGGTTTGCCAAGTGGTTGATACTGCATCTGGTTCAATTCGACGTTTGGTGGTCGGCTGGACGTCGCAGATGAGGGTGGTGGGTAGAGCAACGTCGACACATTGTGAACCGGGCGGTACGGCGAAGTTCGCTGCTGCAAGAAGTATGTCGGTGACACTTGGTCCGTCGGATGGAGCACAGTTGCTGATTGTGGAAGGGCACTGGATGGAGACACTTGCCCAGACCCTCCGTACGGGCTGGGGTGCCGGGAGGCGTACTGCGACTGTGGCTGAGATTGAGGTTGCATCGAAGCATTCGCCGATGCGGTCGTATGAGGAATCGGTGGCTGCGAGCTGCTCGAATGGTAGGCCATGCCCACTGACCGTGCGGGAAGTTGTAGGGGAGGCAGCTGTTGGCCTTGGCTTCCCGTTGGAGGGTATGCAGCAGATGATGCCTGAGATGTCGGGATTGACAGGCTAGGTAGAGTCAGGCGTGGTACTGGCTGGCCTGGGCCTGCCTGCGCAGGCATGGTTGAGTAGCGCTGCGGTGACGTATAATTCTGATAAGCACTCGCAAGTCTCTTAGGCGGGGGCTCTGTGGTATGATGCTCATCACGACTTCGCTTCCTCGAGCCTGCATGGACGCCATTCGCAGCGTCGTACAGATTGCCGAGTGGAGATGGTGCAGGAGTAGGGCCGAGCTGGCTAGCATTGCTGTATGCTGCTGCGTGTGGTGGGAACTCTCCAGAGTACGGAGGCGAGGCCTGGTTAGAGGCGGGTGGTGAAGGGAGGGCCATCGGCAGGTGGAGGGACGATGCTGGTGGTAGGATGGGTGCGGGCGGCTGTGGCCTGGAAGCCTTCTCGAAGAAAGCCGCGAATTTGCCCAGCAGTGACTGCCACCTCGCCCAGTCCTGCTCGCAAGTGAACAAGCAATACTTCATGTTGCTCAAAAACTCCACCTCCATGATGTGTACCTCCGCAACGTTGATTCCCGACACTTCAGCCCACGTCTTGTTCGTGTATGTATTGTCGTCCAGGAACTTGTTGCCCAACATCAAAGCCACCGTGAGCAACCGATACTCGCTCCCAGGCTTGCCTTTTACCGTCGGATTCAGCTTTTTCAGTCTGTAGATGAATAGCAAAGCCAGGACCACCACGTTCTGTGCAACCATGGTCGTTGAGAGAATAGTCGTCACCCATTTGCGGAAACCGGTGGTCGGCTTGGCGTCTGCTACGAGCTGCTTGAGAGGCTGGAGAGGGATCGTGGCGTCTTCCACCTGCTGCAGGAGATCTGAAGATTCGAACCAAAAAAGACAGGTGATCTGCGTTCTGGTCAATCGAGAACCTACGATGTATGCCAAGCAAGGCTACTCACCTGAGCTGCGAGCTCCGCCAGGCTCCCACCACTGTCGTTCACTGACCTCGGTACCTGGAAGTTGGCCGCAATTGCGTTTGCCTGGGACGGTCTCCCATGTGCCAGTGCGTCACCGCTTGTCTCTGCTAGCACCTGCCGTACGGGTGATGCCCGGCCATTGGACTGAGTGGTGGTGACCTGGCGGCTGGAAATGTGGTTGGTGATGACATCTTGGGGTTGGTATGAAGCTCCATGAGCTCCGTATGATTGCTGAGCAGGAATGTGCTCCGCGTGTCGGTAGCCATGGTCGTTTGCGTATCTGCTCGGCTGCGGCTGCTGCTGCTGCTGCTGCTGCTGAACACCGCTCATCTCAGGCGGAGGCGTGAGCGCTCGGTTCACGTCCTTGCAGCGAGAGTTGGAATACCAGTATGTGCGGGCAGGATCGTGGCTGGCAGAGGTGAGCTTCGGCGGCGTGAGGTCTTTGGAGACGACGAAGGGGTCTCGAAATCGGATTGCTGAGCCGGGATACATGTGAGGCGGTCGTTGTGTGCTTGTCATGGGGGAGAGATGTCGATGAGGGCACAAGCAAGTGCCCCAGAAGTCATGTGGTCAGGGAGGGGTGTTGTGGCTCAAGCAGGAGCAAGGTGAGAAGAAAGGTGAAGAGGGATGGGTGTGGGAATGGTGCGAGAAGTGAGGTCGGGCCTGTCTTCAGCGCCAGCCGGACACAGCGGTTGGGAGCAATGGCAGATGAGCTAGTAGCTGGCTGTGGAGCGGTGCTGGCGGAATGGTAATGGTAATGGTAATCGCTGAGAGGGCAGGTGCAGGCGCAGGTGCAGGTGCAGGTGCCGTGTGGATGTTCAAGGCAGGCGTGTTGTTGACAGTGATTGCTGCTCACGCAAGGGCGGTGGCAGTGAGGTGCAGAGGCATGTGTGTGCCGGATGGACGCATGCGGATTGGTGGTGGTGGTGGTGATGATGATGAGGAGGAGGATGATCCGACAGCAGCAGTTGAGGTGGATGGGTGGATGGATGGATGGATGGATGGAGACAGGACAGGCGGCAGGATGGTAGATGGTGATGGTGGTGGTGGTGGTGGTGGTGGTCGAGCTGCAGTGGTGGTATTAGTGGTGGGCAGCGTGTGAGGAGAGGCAGTCGACGGTCTGATGAGAGGCCCTTCGCGCCGGTGCATGATGCTAGCGTCAGTGGTCAAGGTCTAGGTTAGTAGTGTATGGAGCAAATAGCCATGCGATCATTGCGTCGGAGCACGATGGAAGCATGCTGGGCTGGCGCAGCGCAGCGTTTTGGAGGGGGGGGGGGGGGGTTTACTTTGATGAGAAAGGGAAGTGGAAGGTACACGCTTCAGCGATCCAAGCACCAGCAACAGCAGCGGTAGCGGTAGCGGTAGCGGCAGCGGCAGCGGTACCCGTCGTAAGGTAGTCACCACCACTATGTGATGTGGGCAAGTGGGCTGGCTCGGCGGGTACGGCAAGGAAGGGAAGGTGGCGGGAACGTCCCGCTGCCCAGCATCTCTCAGCACCAGCAGCACCAAGCACCAAGCACCGAGCACCCGCACCCACACCCACACCCACACCCAGTACAGGGGGCCAGCGCGAGCCCGCCACCGCGAGGTACACACGCTCTCCCAGCGCGTCAAGGTAATAATATTATGGATGTACCCACGCACGCACGCACGCCCGCCCGCCGCAGGAGTAACGTTGTTGGCTAGCAGCAGACTAGCCTCAGACGCGAGCCAGAACGACCCGTCGTATCGCGTGAAGGATGAAGGGATGTACTCAGACAGACCATGACCACCTCCCGCACCAGACGGGCAATGGATGCACCATGCGCAGCTGCCAAACTGGGTCTGCGCCAGTGAGCGTGTCTGCGTCAGCCCGGAAACCCGCACAGGACAGGACAGGACAAGACAGGACAGGACAGGTCAGGACAGGACGGGACAGGACAGGCGGAGTGCTAGTCGCAGCTGCTGCTGCAACTGCGGAGGCCGACGATGATTGATTGCTCCTGCGGTCATGTGAGGTTGAGCCAATCTGCCCTGGCCCGAAATCGAAACGAGGCGAGACGAGACGAGACGAGACAAGACGTGCCCGAGGCCGGGTCTGCGCCAACGACCGCGCGCGGTTGTTGCGTTGCGTTGCGTTGCGTCGCGGTGCTGGGAATAACAGCAGGCCACGATTCGTCGTGCAGGGCCATCGCATCGCATCGTGCGCCTCCGACGGTGATAAACCTGGACCCGCGGCCAGCACCAGCAGCAGCGCTGCAGCGACCAGTGGCAGCAGCGATAGTGCAGTGCAGTGCAGTGCAGTGCAAGGCTCAAGCTTCCGAGCCGCAGGTCTTCATCATGTGGATGTGTGGCGACGGCGACGGCGACGCCAAGTAGCTTTGCATGTCGCGGTGAATCAGTGACCGCGTTCGGCAGCCGCGTGCCCGCCGCCCAGGAGGCTGATCCCAATAGATTGCAGCAGCGGCAAGACTGATGTAAGTGGTAAGAGGCGACGGGGGGCAGGCTAGCAGGCTATCACGGCCGGACAAACGAGCAGCAGCGACGCAGCGCAGCGCAGCGCAGCGCAGTGCAGCGGCACGGCGGGGACCAAGGCGTGACGAAGAAGGAGACGAGACGAGACGAGACGAACGGCGAGACAAGACACCACCGAGACCACACGGCGAAAGCCTGGCCTGGTGCCTGGCCGGATCGTCCCATGACTTCTACGCCCGCAGCCGGCACCCGACCGTGGACGTCTGTGAGCTTGTTTGTTCTGGGATGGGGCACGGGTGGAATGAATGGATGGACCGTCGTGGCTGACTGCATCATACGAGTTGTCACTATTTGCTGCGTGAGGGTTGACCATGTGTGTGTGTCTCTCTACCTGCTGCCAGAAAGCCCGGCCGCGCCCAAACTCTGTCTGCTGCTGCTGCCGCCTCCTCCTCACAAGTTGACAAGCTGGTCGATTTGGGTCAAATCTTGCTGTCCGTGTCCCCGTGCCACTGCCCATCGGGGGAGCCGCCGCTGCGTTTGATGATTTGCTGCAGCCGCGACTCCTGGTCTGTCGAGAAGCTGCCGTTGTCCGTGCCTGTGCCAGACCAAGGCAGCCAACAATTGCATTCCGTGCCCAACAGCAGCGACAGGCGCACCACGAGAGATGCGTCTTCACATCCAACACCCTGTGAGCCTGTCCCGGCGTTGTGAGCCGGCCCGCCCTGCAATTGGCTGTGTCATTACGGTGGAGCGCCCGGCGAGAATGCCCGCTCGCTTATAAGGCCTCAGCTGGTCAAACGCAAAAGATTCATGCCAAACGCAAAAAAAGAAAGAGCCCCTCTCCCGGCGCGCGTACTCATCACCATCCCATCCATCGGCAATAGCAATACGGTACCAGGGCGACATGTTGGCCGGACCACCAGCTTCCTGTCAGGAGTCGCCCGGCTACTAGCGCTGGTGGAGACGACCGAGCGAGGCAGAAAATGAGAAAAGACCGTGTGAGAAGAGCGCCACCGGGGAGCAGAGGCCTCGTACTCTCAGCAGCTAGAACCCCCGTAGAGTAATAGCAGCCCGCCATGACTTCGTCCCAGCGGTTAGTGGCTCCGCGACCTCGGAAGTTAGGCGCGGAAAATGCGGGTGGCCTACGATAGACTTTCTAGTCGAGGTACAGGTGTAGTGTACACGACTACGGTGGAGGAACGCCCGCGGCCATGGGTCCTCCAGCGGGCGGCGTGAGACTCTTGTTGCCAGATTTCCGCGTGCACGCGGCTTTGCGGCTTTGCGGCTTGTCTCGAACGAGACGCGAAAAGCAGCGGCACACGAACACACGAAGGCGGTAGGTCCCGCTCCGACGGCTTGGCCTGCGCATCTGGCTCGGGATCTAGTACGACGGCCAACAAATGAATCACCGCAACGTGCGGCCGCTTACGGTTGGCGAGCTGCTCGGATGACCGCTGGCCTGCGCTGGGACCGCCGCAGATACTGCCGTTTTGCCCTTTCTGCGTGTCGGGTACATCACCAGATGAGCGATGTGTGAATTGGAATGCCAGGCCCGGCATCTCTTGGCGGTCATAGAACTAAAGCTCGCTTGAGACATGGTGTCGCCGAGAAAAGTTGTGGTCCCCCTCCATCCTGCGCCCGCCTTCTCCGCCCGGAGTTGTGGCAGCGTGATGTTGACACACTTCCGACGCAATGCTTCTCTCGACTGCCGAACACCACATCATCAGTCTTGTCGGCCCTCGTTTCATCCTCAACAAGTAAGCGACGGCATCGTGGTCATTCACCCGCCGCTCTCAACCGCATTTGCGGACCAACGTCAAAAGTGGATGGTGGGGGTACGACAATAATCACGACAAGATCCCATCATCGACACGCTGCTCGCGTCCGTCTGCTCCTTCGCTCTCCTGCTCATCCGCTGCAACAAAATAATAATGCCTGTGCTCCGCTGTAGATACCCCAGCCGTTAGCCTTCTACGCCTGGGCCGTCCGACACGCGTGGATGGGTAGTGGCGCGTGTCTCAGGCTCGCAGCGGATGGGGCCAAGACCAAAGTAAACCCTGCTTATGGGCGCACGCTTTCATGGGGAGTATGCATCACGGCACCACTGATCAGCAACACACGCAAATTGTATCGGAAGGATTGATGATCGCGTGAAAGAGGCACAGGCAAAGGAAAAAAAGAGGAACCCTGTCACACGCGAGCCGTATGACATATGGAGAAAGTAGGTCCGGCTCAAATGATCCAGGACAAGGCATGCACATACTGGAGTCTCACAACTCGCGCGCCGTGGAAGGCCCAGCGGATCCAGAACTCTGATATCGCGGGCAGCACTTGCCACTTCCAGGCAAGGGCTCATGGCCGAGTGAATTGGATTTTCACCTGGAAAGGGCTGCCTCCTGCATGCGCAGCTTGCTCGGGCCCAAGATTGACAGCCAGACCGCTGAGAGTCTGACGGGCTTGGCACAGCGAGCGGTGCACATCCAGGAAAGCGCCGTGGTAGGACACTAATTTAGCGATCGTTGTATGCGGTCCAGGGCGAATCCTTCGCGACATGCCGTCTCGGTGTGACGGGGAGAAAGGTTCAGGATAGAATAATGGAGTGGAGACGTCGACGATGCGATGCGATGTGATGGCGCGCGGAACTTTCTGCTGGACGATGCCCGAGGCAGAAAGTCGTGTCAGCCAGCGCGTGCGGCGCAGTGCGGTGCGTGGAAGGAGCAAGTGCCGATGGCTGGCGCATTGTTGTTCTTGATGGACTTGACTTGACCTGACTTGATTGATAGTGCATGCCTGCAGCCAGCAGCAGCGGCGACAGACTGCCAAGTTCTGGTGCATGATTTCGGTGCACGATTTTGGTGCACGAGTTAAACCCAGTCCCGGTCGCAGCGCAGGCGACGAGAAAAGGCAAACGCCCTCTGCCGACGAATCACAGGCGCGGTACGACGCTGACAACGATACGATGGATGGAAGCAGGACGGGTGAGTGGACACGATGGATGATGTATCACGTCTCCAACTCCCAGCGCCATGCAATATGTGATGCCCGCAATAGCAGCGCGCCGATACGTATCGTGCGTGTTCGTGTGAGACAACAGGACGGGCACACTTCCGCCTTGGACCTTTTCCACCCGTTACAGGACGTGATGCCGTCCGGCTAATCGATGTCACACTCCAACAACTTTTTGCGGGCCGACGAAAAAAAGCTACTACAGTACTCGAGCTGCACCTGCTGCTGTTGTTATTATTACACCCCGACTCATCGCCCTTTCTTGGTGCCCGGTGTGCGCCGTCGATGGGCAGTGGAGCGCGTTCTTTAGTGGAGTGGAGAACGGCTGCAAATCTCGTCGTCAGCCACGACGGTTACGACACCACTGGTCGATACCGCGATGATACCTTTGTGCAGCGTACAGTACATGCTCCGACGTCGAGCGAGTGATAATCATGATCGGCCTGCCTGAGCAAGGTTGGTGTCCCGCGATCCGCAGCCCCGAGCACTGCACCGATGGTGAGTGCTGAGTAGTAGTAGGGCGTGTACTTGTTGTTGCCTGCTGCTACTGTACGACCAACTCCTGCGTGCTGGCCTGGCATCCGACCGCCGAGATATGAGTCGCTGTCCGCCATGCCCCATCAGTGATGATGATGATGAAAGGACCGAGCAATAATGATCAGGTCGCGGCTGCTTGCACCTACTCCGACTCCGCCCTGCTGCATATTAACGCCGTGGTTCATGTGGCGCAGCTCTGCCCGGCATTGTGATGCAGCACTGGTAGAACCGCGTGTAACAAGGAAGAGGCCGAGCAGCCGTACGGTCGTGTTGGCACCAGACGTCGCTCTCATGCATCTCAGCTGCCGGCGTGATTGGCAAGCGTGCACTGTGGGTGTGAGCCGGAGTGTCGAAAGCGCTCCAGAACTCTCTTCGCAGCCTGTCATCTTCTCCGCTACCGTCACCATCTCATCCTTCGCTCCAAAAGAGCCATGCATCATCCGTGACTCCATCAAGATTGTTTCTGCGGCCGCGGGTGTCTGACTGCCACGATGGTCGTCTACTCCGACCGCCCCCGCTTATAGCAGCGCAAATTACCTCGCTCGCCGTGGCATCCTCCTCGGCATCAACTCCGCATGTGATAGCAGCCTTTCATCATGATACTTTACGAATCCTCCTCCTTCTGCGCCCGCGGCGCGCTGCAAGGTCAGGCAGGTCTGATTCCTGCTGTCGCACATGCACGCTAGTTTTCGAGGACATCTGGCGATAGGCGTCGCAGTAAATCCTTCTGCAGCCGATCAACACCGCCGCCTCCCCTCCTTGCACGACACGACAGGTCATCAAAAAGAAACCCGATGATGAAAAGCACTCTTCCAGTGTGATGTGGCGGATACTCCATTGGTGGCATCTGCACGACACCCAGGATAGGCTAACCGCACCGCACCCGCGCCAGCACCACCTGCACCTGCACCTGCACACTGGGGGTCGCCTGTGGCCTGGCCTGGCTTGGCTGGTGCTACGGAAGTCTCTGCTGTTCTCATATCATCGTGCACCTCCTCTTGTTGCGGAGCGAGCGCATGCCTTGTGCTTTGCCACCACAACGCGCAAGTCTCGATGATCTATCTGCCACCCTCGTCCGCCGCCGCCGCGCTCTTGCTTGTCACCTGCTGCGAGCCTTGTCGATCGGATCCTGCTTCCCGCTGCTGCACCTAGTCATTATTACTACTTCGTTTAGTCTGAAACTCTGTGGGATGTCCTTGGATGTGTGTGATGAACAAAAAGCTGAAAAATCACCTCTTTACCTCTTTCCGGACGACTCCCGTGCTTCGAGCAAACTCACCGCACCCCAGCCGGGATGATTGGCGCAAACTCAATCTCGTGGGCGAAGCGTAGTGTGTAGCGTTCGGGAGTCGCCTTGATGAAAGTCGGACGACGCGTCGTCGATGTCGAACAATAATCATGCAGCTACTACTGCTATGTTTCGGGGACCGGTCTATCCGGGCTTCTTTCTCTACGGTGTGCGGCGGAGTCAAAGTGCTTCTTTTCCACCGCGCCGCGCTATGTTCCACCTCGCCTCCGCCTCGCGATCCTTACCCTTCCACACTTCCATGCTGATCCGAGTGGTGTCACAGACTCACAGTGGGCGAGTGACACTGCTTACCACTCGTCCGTCCTCTTTGGGGTACCGACTGCAATCTCCATCGCTCTGCGCTGCACTGGCAACCGCGGATCCGTCTCAGTGCTGCCCACACCACGGCTCTTCCAAAGGAAACTCCTCCAGCTCAACGAAGTTTCCTCTTACTCGTTCGGCCTAGGATCTCGCAGATGAGGACCTACCATGACAAACCACCGCTCCACTTCTGGCTTTTCTTCATTCTCGAACCTCGGGATCTCTTGCAAGAAGTTCTTTCAAAGTATGGAATACTGCAGTCATCGTGTCTGTACGGTAGACTTGGCCAACTTCCGCCGCAGCCGCTGTCAGCCATGCACAGGATGGAACGCCGGTTTGGGATTGACGAAGCCATCCTGAGCTGGAAGGCAGAATCTCTTCGTGTCCACGTTTCAGCTTATTATGGCCAGAGCTCGGATTCTCTTGTCTACCCTCTTGCGTCCGGCCCAGTCAGTTGCTCCAGGCAGCGTCATCTCACACGATCATCCTGAAATGTCAACGAGGCGCTGTGCATTTCTGGGCAAGGAAAGGTAGGTAGGTCTACTTGGAAAAGAAGTCGCAGGTGACTGCTACTACTACTACTACTACTATCACAAGGTCCTCCACGGCTTCTAGAAACCCCCCCCTCCCACGACGTTCCGAACCGACGTTTATTATAGAATGTCATCCTTCACCACCACAACAATAACAACACCGGAATCCACCTCTGGTCTGGGCCACACACACAGAGAGACTTCTCACTTCCTCTCCAGGAAGTACAAGTACGCAGAACAAACGAGGTTTCCAGGAGTTGGTGATTCCTGTACGAGTACGAGTACGGTAACCCGCCGCCAGAGGGCTCTTCTTCTCTCTTCTCTCTTCTCGGCCCTCTCTTCTCTCTTCTCGGCTCTCTCTTCTCTCTCCTCTCTCCTCTCTTCTTGGCCCGAGTTGGCCAGTCTACTAATAATAACTCTTCGTCGATGTTTTTTTTAAATTTTTTTTCTGCGCATTCTTCTTCGTCTCGCTCGCTCGCTCGCTCGATCGATCGATCGATCGACGCGGTAGTATCGGGACCTCACTCTCAGTCTTGCCGGATTTGGATGTAAAGTGTTAATGTTCAACAAACAAACAGACTGCGCCCTCGGACCATATGAGCATGAGAGCATGAGGAGGAGGAGGAGGACCACACGACGTTCCGATTCTTGGACCAATGCCAAGGGATACTGAGATGCCTCCGTTTTCGTTTTTTTTTTTTTTTTTTTTTGCGAAACGCATCCCCCTCTTGCCTTCCCACATTTGGACTTTTTTTTTTTTTTTTTTTCACGGCTGGTGGGTAGCAAGTGGGTGTGTGTAAGTAAGTAAGTGTGTGTGTGTAAGTGGGAATAATGAATACTGGACTTGCTCGGTTCCTTTGTCTGCCCTGTTCTTTGTATTTCAAGGTACGTACGCACACATACACACACACACACACACACACACACACACACACACACACACACACACAATGCTTGATATGATGTGATGTGATGTAAGAATGAATGAAGAATTGACGAATGAATTTTCTCGCTCTTTTCCTTCGCCTGTGGAATTTTCTCGTCTTCGTTTTCGTTTTCATTGTCGTCGTCGTGACACGACCGACCGCACTCACTCACTCATCGCCGTGGGTTCGCGTAAAGGATCTTTGTTATTAGGTAAGGTATCGTATCGCATCGTATCGCATTGGATTGGGGGGATTTTTATTATTTCTTCTTGGAAGCGGAAGAGGAAAAGGGAAAGCGTTGTTGTTGAAGGTTGCTTGCTTGCTTTCCCCAAACGATACGATACGATACGATGCGATGCGATGCGATGCGAGAGGAGTTGGCCGGAATTTCTGAGCAACTCATCTATTATTGACTTCTTATTATTCTTCTTCTCCCCTATTTCTTAGGAGATCTCTCTCTCTCCCTCTCCCTCTCCCTCTCTCTCTCTCTCTCTCTCTCCCCTACTCTCGTATTCTCTCTCTCTCGTATTCTCTCTCCCCTACTCTCGTATTCTCTCTCCCCTCTCTCGTATTCTCTCTCTCTCTCTCTCTCTCTCTCTCTCTCTCTCTTACTCACACGCATCCTCACGCAGCGTAACAATATATATAATAACATAGCGTGTGATCCGACGTGCCATCGACTACCTACCTACCTTGGTAACTTCTAACCGATGCATCGCGGAACAGACAAGACAAGACAGACAGAAATGTCTGTTTGTTTCACTCCCTCCGTCCCCCCCGGGGCCGCCCGACCGCCCGCCCAAAGACGAGACGAAACGAAACGAAACGAAACGAAATGAACAGCTTTTCCGATGCGATACGATACGACAATATCCATCCACAACGACAACAAACATGGCCGGCTTGGGTTTTCTTTCCTCTTTCCTCTCTTTCCTTTTGCTTGAGACACAGGGGATTTCCAGCGTGGGAAAATTTCGTACATCTATCCATCCATCTAGGCAAAGAAAGAGAGAAAAAAAAAGAAGAGGTAGTCAGGACATGTCTCTTGCCTTGCCTTGCCTTGCCGTTTCTCTTCTTCCTTCTTCCTCCTTGTTCCAAAGCGCTTACTTACCAAAGAGAGGACTTCTTAAAGATTCAGAACTCCATAAGCCGGGGGAGAGAGGGAGGGAGGGAGAGAGAAATCTCACGGCATCCCGTCAGAATTCACCTCTCCATAACAGAAAGGTAGAAAGGGCCATTTATCAACAACACAACAACGCTAATCCCCGCTCATCATCATCATCATCATCAACATTATATGATAAAGGTAAAAGTAAACCTACCTACACCACAGCGGGATACTCTCGATCGAAAGCCTCCATCTCCGCCCCACCGTCCCCGACAACTCCAATGCGATGTCTGTTATCATCGATGATCCTGCCGTATTCCAACAACAGCCGAAAGACATAGAGTTCGATATCCTCCCGCCGGAGCACCTTATCCGCCCATTCCCGCCCCTGCTGCGCGAGCTTCAACGCCTCGTAATCGTGTCGCCAGACCGAGACGCCGTGGTTCGGATTCTGCGCGGCGACGTCGCGGTTCTTCGATGATGGGCCTACGCCCATGAAGTACGCCAGGAGGCTGTACAGATCATCATATCGGTTGTCGACCGGGACAAAGTGCCGCCATGCAAACAGTCGGCTGTCGTGCCACTCGCGGAAAATGGTGGCTTTGAGCCCCAGGGATCGCGACTGCAGGAATGCGCGCCAGCGGCCGGAGAACGAATGCCCATCGACATCAATAAGATATTTCGATCGGAAGGTCTCAGCAAAGGACATGGAGTTCTTCAAGCTGAGGAATGGGTTGTAAAAGTCGCAGTTCGGGATACACGCGAGCAGACCCGTGAAGCCGATGTCCGTGTGCTTCTCGGCAAAGGGGCCGATTCTGAACTCCTTGGGACCATATTCGCCAGTCTTGGGGTCTGTGAGAGCAACGATGGACGACTTGTTCTCGGCGACCTCGGTGCTGTTGGTCATCAGGACCAGGCGGTGCCGATGCATGTTCCGCCAGCGCCATTCGTCGTCTTGGTGAGTGTTGCCACCGCTCGTCACGCCACGCCAAATCATCATGTCGTTCTTGTCATCCCAGCTCAAGTCCTGATGGTCGTCGTAATTGTACCGCTCATCATCCTTCCAGTACATGTTGGCCGGGAACAGGATGTCGTTGTTGACGTTTACCTTGCATTCGCCAAACACTGGGACAAGCTTGTGAGTTGCGGTCAGGGACGTACTGGCGTACAAAAGACCGTGCAGGTTCTGGATCTGAGGGCCGACGGTACACAGGTCCGAGGACAAGTTGAAGTTGGTGATGAAGCCACCGAGTGGGTCTTTGTACGAAGCTTCAGTCTTCTTGTACAGCTTCGTCGAGGATGGCTTCCGAGCATACGACTCGGGGGGACACGCTTTCGCCGCAAGATCCATATATTGACCACCCGGGTAACCAAACCAGCCGTAGTCCGGTGGTGGTGGATCGTCAGCTGCGTCCCCGCGACGTTCATCGACGCCATACTGGAATGGATTCCAGCGATCTATCCACGCCGCAACGCCATCCCGCGGTCGCGGAACATGCAGCGCATTCGAATCCTTCGTAAACCCATCCCTTACGCCTGCTTCGCCCGTCGACCTTGTCTTCTCCTCAATCTCCAGGTATCGTTGCATGTCCTCCCACGGCACAATCACTCGCGGCTGGTCCATGCGGTTCATCGGTATGTCCATATCCGGGAGCCACTCGGCGACTGTCCCAAGCAACCTAATAAACGTTTCCGAACGCCATCCCCAAGTCCTCTGATTGACCTGTCCATTGCGAATGCTGATGGTGGAAAGAGCATGACCATCGTCATCCGAAGCATGAGCTGCTAGGTTTCGTATCTCGCGGGGCGGTAAAGCCCAAAACGGCCGTAAGTCGTCGTGTATCTGTTGAAAGTCGTCGATGTTGTATACCTTGCGCTTCCGTGCCAGCTTGTACCACTATCGCGCCGAGTCAATACCAGCCCTACAAGACAACATCTCCCGGCCAGCTCGACGTGAGTCGACCTACCTGTTTGAAGCCTGGCGGAGGGTGTCTGCCATATGTTTCTCGGTATCTCCGCACCGTCTCTTTGAAGTTCTTGCTCCTGTGCGCAATGTACTCCTCGAACTTCTTGTCGCCCTCCCGCATCAAATTCTTGATGGGGTGCTTATCTCGGACCTCGAAGTAGGGTGTAGGCTCCGTGGTCTTCTGCCAGACATTGTTCCCGATGCGCTGCTCGTGGGCGCCTGCTACGGAAGGCAGCCATTGTTCGTAGAGAATGGTGGTACTGTACTCGCTCCAGAGGATGGCGACGTCGGCTATCAGCAGGGCAAGCAGGATGACGGCGCCAAAGACGGCGAGGCGCTGCTGAGACCGAGTAACGAGTGGCATGGCATCATCGTCGCCGCCGCCGCCGGGTGTGGTGGTGTGTGTGTGTGTAGAGAAGACAGAGGCGACCTACGCTCGCCGTGCTCCCGCCATGTGCGCAACCAAGGCGGATGGAGGAGGGACAGCAGCGGCCGGTATACCGCATTTTACGGGTTAGTCTGCGTCTGTGGCGCTCTGGTAAATGAGGCGCGAGGCCTCGTGGTCCCCTACTGCAGTGTGCAGTGTTTGCTGCAGTCATTGGGCGAACGTGGTGTGTGGTGTGTGGTGTGTGGTGTGTGGTCGACGTTGGCTGCCGCTACCGCAATCCTTCCACTACATGTACCTTACCGCACAGCTGCCAAGCATCACCTCCCCTCCGCGGCGGACGGATGTGAGAGTCCGAGCGAACTTGAGCAAGCCGGTCGACCTCTTCCACCACCACCGCAACCACCACCTCCGCCGCACTCGCAATGCCGCCCAGATTGCACTTGCTCCGCAGAGCGGCGGTCTCAATATCGACGCAGCACTCATACCAACCCATCGCGCCCTTCCTGTACCCCTTTCTCCACCAGCAGCGCTCCGTCTCCATCCTCAGCTCCCTGTCCGACAACAAGGGCGCCTACAACAAGCGCATCCGCCGCGGTCGAGGTCCTGCGAGCGGCAAGGGAAAGACGTCCGGACGCGGTCACAAAGGCCAGAAGCAGCGTGGAAAGGTGCCGGTGGGGTTCAATGGAGGACAGACGCCCGAGGAGGTGGTGCATGGAAAACGCGGCTTCGAGAACCGGTTCGTGTCCGCGTCCGCCGTGGCTGCTGAACAAGGCTGGATTTGTGCTAACGAGACCTCATCAGTTTCTCGGTAGAGCTGTCGAAGATCAATCTCAACCGCATTCAGCTGTGGATCGACAAGGGCCGTCTTGACCCCCGATATCCCATTACCCTCAAGGAGCTGGTCAGGTCGCATTGTGTCAACCAAGTCAGAGATGGCGGCGTCAAGCTCCTAGCGCGGGGGAAAGAGGAGCTGCGCACACCGATCAACATCATCGTCTCGCGCGCCAGTGCAGAGGCCATTGACACGGTGGAAAAGCTGGGTGGGACGGTCACGACGCGATACTACACCAAATTCGCCATCGACAAGATTCGTGCGGGAGAGATGGATCCCGTGTACAGTCTCCAATCTCAAGTCAAGCTTTCATCCCCAACTGCACAGCGCGCCGAGAAGGCGGTCAAGTCGCTGGAGCAGGTGAGGAAGCTATATCGATACCGACTGCCAGACCCGTCCAGCAGGAAGGATCTGGAATACTACCGCGACTCTGCGCATCGAGGCTACCTGAGCCATTTGGTGGAGGAAGGCCATGGGCCAAGTCTGTACTTCCGGACGCCGGGACTGCTCAAGAGAAAGAAGACGACGGGGAATCAATCGGCACAGCAAAAGGTCGACAACAGGATCTGGTAGTCTATACCCTTACGCAGCGACATGTACATATCTACTTCGTCATCCGTCACTTTCGCTCATCAAGACATTAATACCTATATTCCAGAGGTCTTGGAGAGCGCGATGCTCGCCAGACCTGCACTCCCCACCTCATCATTCTAGTCACCTGCAATCCTGTATTGGGGCCATCTCACGCACTGTACATCGGCATCAGCCTCTGCCGTGCAGCAGTCCGAAGTTCCACGATGCGCAACGTGGAGCACGAAAGCGGCAAGTGCAGGATAGCGCTATCTAAATCTCCCTATGGCCCGCAGAGAGTTCCCCGGCGCAAGCGAGCGAGCGCCAAATGGGAATTCCGACCCAAACAATCGCGCAATCGCCCAACCCAAAACAAAGAAAGAAGCGAAAAGAAAGGCAATCATTACATTGCGTTGCGTTGCATTGGTTCTCACGACTTTGTGGAGTTGGAGTGGGGACGTTGCCCTGTGCCCTGCTTTCTTCACTTTCATTTCATTTTCGGATCACTTTTGATTCTGCGGAGGTCCGAAGCGGATCAGACTCGATCGCGAGTCTGGAGAGGGAGACAGAGAGAGAGAGAGAGAGAGAGAGAAAGATAGAGAGCAAGAATGCCTGTGCCTGGCGGACATGGTGATTCCGCGGCGGTGGGAGGAAAACCTGGCAATCTCGCGGACGATGGCTCGCTGGAGAAAGGCGGCGGCGGCGGCGGCGGTGGTGGTGGTGGTTCGAAGGCAGCGGGTATTATCTTCTCCAAAGCGCGAATCTTCGAAGCGGTAGAGAAGGATCGCGGGGATCTGGCGCTGCTGGCTTGTTGTTTCGTGACGGGGCTGGTGGACGCGGCGGTGTTTTCGAATTGGGGTATGTTTCTCATTGAAGTGGGACGTGGAATGTCGATGTGGATGAATGGATGGATGGATGGATGAATGGCTGGCTGACTTGTATGGTGGTGTATAGGGCTGTTTGTCGGGATGCAGACTGGTGAGTGTGTTTTCACATGGGAAATACGACAGGGATCTTTTGAGTAGGGATGTTGAGTGAATGCTGATTCTTCTCCTCCTCCTCGCAGGTAACACGGTCATCCTGGGCCTCTCGGCTTCAGGCCTCCCGGACAACCCGCACGCCTGGCTCACGACGCTCGTCTCCATCGCCTGCTTCCTCATCGGCGCATTCCTCACCTTCCGCCTCTCCAAAATCCTCACCCCCAACGGGCCCGCTTCCAACCGCCTCTGGTGCGGCATGCTCTTCTTCCTGCAGGGCCTCCTCATCCTCGTCGCAGCGGCGCTCTCCACCCCACAAGGCCTCATCCCGCAGAACCCAGGCCACACCAACCGCTACACGCCCGCTTCCATCTCCGTCAAAGACAACATCCGCATCGTCAGTCTCATCCCGCCCCTCGCTTTCCAAGCGGGCATGCAGATTGCCAGTTCCCGCCTGCTCGGCTTCAACGAGCTGCCCGTCAACGTGCTGACGTCGACGTATTGCGACATCATGGGCGACTTCCAACTCCTGGCTCTGAATAACGTCAAGAGGAACCGCAGAGTCGCGGCCGCGGTACTCCTCCTGGCCGGAGCGATCTGCAGTGGCTGGATGATGCGGAGCGCCGGCGGCCTGATGAGTGTCTTCTGGCTGGGGGGTGGAGTCAAGGTCCTCACTGGCGTGGTCATGTGGTGTTGCATGCCTGCCGCCGCCGCCGCGAAGAGCTGAAAGATTGACGCATGTACGAGGACCATCACCATCCCATCGATAGAGATAGAGATAGAGAGACGAATCCCGCCTTTTGCGCTGTATAGACGAATACCGATTTGCGCTGTAGAGATAGATCCGGAAACTTATTCATCGCCATCCCCCCAAACCCAGACTACGCATTGCCAGTACCTAGCTCAGGCACATCTTGGGGCCTCTTGAGGAGCCCTCTCTCTAGAATGATCGAATTTCTCCAGGTTCGTAGGGGAAAGATTTCAGATGACATTTCGGACGGGAAAAGTCAGAGCCATGCCAATGAGTGGTGGGTCTCGTCTGGAAGTTGCCGGCCTGCCATCAATGAAGAACTGGAACGACTCGGGGTAGTGGAAAAGGAACGCCTCAACACTCTCCTGTGCTCCCTCCTTGAGGATTACCATCACCCCTCCCACTCCTCCCCCTCTCCCCATCGCTTGCGTCGCGGGATAATCTTGTCAGATTCCAGTTGTCCGTGCAAGCATGCAGTCTTTCAACTCGTTTCTCAAGATCTCCGCTTTGGACAGGACAGGACAGGATATGATCTGATATGATATGCTCCGTTCCGATCATACATACATACATACATATATACCTAGACGTATGTACGTATGGCCCCCCTCCGCCCCCGAAAAGAAAAAAGGAAAAAAAAAGGATTAGCAAGAGCTTCTTTCTTCTTCTTCTTCTTCTTCTTCTTCTTCTTCTTCTTCTAATAATAAAAGTACTTTTCCCACGGGAAGGAACGCCTAACATAAGGTAGCTCTCTTCCCTCTCCAACTTCGAATTCGAATCCAAGGAACCGATTGTATAGATATCTTCCATCCCATCCCGAAGAGGAAAAAGAAAGAAACAATTTTCTAACCTCCTCCTCTACACGTGTTTCAGGCAATGCCGGAATAGAACACAACAGAACAGAACAGGACAGAACAGAATTCATGGCAGGCAAAAAGAAAGAAAAATCAAAAGAAAAAAACTTCTCGCATTCATCACCGCCCGCCCTATGATACCGCC